CATCTGATTAATGAGTATCGAGGAAATTATGTTCATCTATAAATTAGACGCAGCTTCATGTTTTGAAGACATCTTTCCGGAATATGCGTCTGTGAAGGCGTTCAGATAATGACGATATTGCACAGTTTTATTCATGAGATTCCTGTCAACAGTAAGGTCGAATAATAGATCGATTTTATTCAGCAGTGTTGGCCCTGGGGCCTATAGTACAATTACAGTTTGATTACTTTCACGTGGTGCTAGTAACATATTAAGTTTCTATTAGCATTGAATGCATATTTCAGAAAAAAGCTATGGTATTATTGTCACAACATCTATATTGTTTGATGTTAAAAGATTTGGCAATGTGTGTTCATACATTACAATTTTTGACAGACTTGGCAAATAATTAATAAATGATATTGATAGCATCTTAATGACTTGGCCATACAGTCATGACAATTTAAGGAGTGAAAAGTGAGCGATAGGTCTTGTGGGAATTCAAAGATTCATTAAGACTGTAGCCGTCTAAGCGTAACTCCTGTGTGTTATATTTGTAAATATTCTTTCCACTGAAAGCATGCTTCTACTATTAATATTACATATATTTTCATGGATGCATCATATTTTATCTATAGCTGTGCTATAGTTTCTCATTAAAATGTCTTTTCTGTTGTCGGAATTGAAATAAGTCCCACACAGAGCTGGGATCATATGTCTTTGAAATATATATGCAAACGTCTGGAATCTTGTGTTTCAATACAAGCGTTCGTAGCGGTACGACATTCGCATGCCTATTTTTTTCTCAATTAAACCATTATGATTGATTCTACCATGGCTACGTGAAATGCTCGAATTTGATTGGTCAATCAATAAAATCAGACGGTATCAATTTGGATTAAAAATGCGTCTGACTTCACGGCGCTTCACTGCGCACGTATACAACACTGCTGCACTACTTCAGTTTGGCCAACATGACTAATATCAACACAACAGACGTGATGGAAATGCTGATGAACAATTTATTAAAACTCGAAACATACAATTATACGATTTCTCCTCCACAATTATTAGGGAACCTCACTATCATATATATCAGAAAACCTTGTAAAAATACATGCCTATCTATCCCTATTTGTGCGGCAAAACGTTCGTGAACATTTACCTACCTGGTAAATGGTATATTTGTTTCCGTTTAGAATGGGAAATTCGCAAGATAACGGTCAAGCGAACAAAAAAATGTATGCCACTCATACTCCATCATGTCCCGTTGCATCGTTCAAAATGTCAATAAATTGAACCACGAGAATTCCGCTCTCTGCAACCTTCCCCGCAAGGTTGTCACTGCTATGTTCGTACACTTTGAAAAGCTTGGCCACAATCCAGTCCAAAATGATGAGAACAATGTTCCAAGGAATCCCAAGTTAGTCGCATGTGCACAAAGCAGCATTGTCACTCTTTCGTCGCATGCCGGGGTGGAGGCACGTACGTGAAATCATGATCGACACTCGCCGGTCATAAAAAATCAACAATCTTTGATGAGTTACAGGTCATAGATCGATCAGAAAAGGATTCTTCGATTCTGCAGGGTTCAGGTTCGACAGTCAGTCAAGTATTTTCCACTGTCACTTCGAATTTCAACATTTCGCAAAATGTAAACACTGGCTCGTCCGCCATTTCAAACTGTTGCATAACCGTCTACTTCCAAGAAAATAAGTAGGTCAGACGATTCCATTTTAGTGTGGCCAGGGGAGTACAGTAACACGGCACACAAAACAATAGGCTCGTTTCGGTCGTGTGGAGTTATGATTATAAAAACCAAGCTCTTAGGTGTTACATTATTTCATTGAATAAACAGTAGTTTGTTTTCTTTGGACAGAATATGTTTTATGTTGCAATGTTAAATAAAATACGAACGGCACCTACCACTCCCTTCACAGACGAGTTCAATTCGCCTCTCGTCCCATGCCGGATTACGCAGTGTCTTCCGCAGGACGAGGAAGTTCGTTGTTAAATCGCGTTCGGCTTCAAATGAAATTTAGAGACTATCAATTCGGTCTAACATTCATCTAATTTCCAAACACTGTACGTTTATCTCCTAAATAGATGTAAGTCTTTAAAGATCTAAACTAGGTCATCACCAAAATCAGAGCGTAATTCATCCGATATACATTCCATTCCCTGATCGTTCCTCTATGACCACCATCAACATCTTGTTGCTCACGTAATAGTCAGCGATTCTTTAATAATATACATGCTCCCAGTCATATTATTTAGAGGTGACTGTTATCGTTCATTTTAGAAATCATTTGTAAAACACGTAGAAATGTGGACAAACTGTACCAACTTAGAGGTATTGCACTGTTTGATATTCATGCTTCACTGCGGCATTGCATCTCAGTGAGCTGGCACTATAAAACCAGCTCAAGTCTGGGCTAGTACAAGCAGCCACGCACACACATGCATGCACGTCGTGATGTGAGCGAAATATCCGAAGTGCGCCGTTAAACCCCATTTCCCCCGCCTTGCCTCACCTCACTTCAGCTTGCCTGTAAACACCATATTTTGACTTAAAATACCTATACCTAACCAATCTATCTCATGAAACCAGGTCATCTATTTTGTAAACCCGTGAAGGCCCGGGTTAGAATATTGGCCTTCAGTAACCTATGCTTGTCGTAAGAGGCGACTAACGGGATCGGGTAGTCAGGCTCGCTAACTATCGGTTCCCAATTGCGCAGGTCGATGCTCATGTTGTTGATCACTGGATTGTCTGATCCAGAATCAATTATATACAGACCGCCGCCATATAGCTGGAATATTACTGAGTGCGGCGTAAAACTAAACTCACTCACTCACTCTATTTTGTAAATATGGAGAAAATATCGGTATCAGATTCATCAATGTCCGTTTCTTGAAACTCTTTTATCAGTTTTTCATAAATATTTTTATATTCTAGCTGTTTTATGAAACACAAAGCTGTTATACCGTGAACGAATGTGCCATTTGGTTGCGAATAGTATTCAGATTAAAAAGGGTCGTAAATGTAATGATTAACTAAACACTTTTGTCAAGACAATCGCGAGATCGTCCATCTGAAGCGCTTGTAAAATCCCCAATCATCTTATTTGCTGAGGAAATGAGCTTGTGGGCACAGAAAATGTACTTAGAGTGTCGTGCTTCATTTCAAAGAACAGACACCATATCCTCGTCCTCAACATCGTGATTTATGGCAGTGGATAAGTCATAGGCTGCAGATATTTCAGATTTGTACACAGAAACGTGCCGATGTTGGGTCACATGCACATATTTAACGTGTATGCATCCAGTTTCTGAGAACGCCTTCTAATGAGTTTCCGAGTTTCGTTTTTTGCCGCTAAGAGGAGTACTTCAGCAAAGTCAGGGCATGCTAGCTTAATAAGGGAGGGAAGCCCGGGTTGATGCAGGGTGTTGGCGTTTACCAGTACTAACAAATCCAGAAATAGGGCGAACGAAAATTCAAACCCACAATCATTGGTTTTGAGCATGTCTAAGGGGTGCAACCCTGCCCAGTCATTCAGACGACTGGGCCAAGAATGCGAAAACTGAATACTTCATTTCAGTGACTATGTGGTGTCGCTTCTGTGTAGCAACGAAAGTCTCAATACAGTCTTAAGAAAGGCAGAAGTCGGGAAACACCTTTATTCATCGTTCTTGAACAACTTGGACAAGTCATGCCTCGATACGAATGACAGACGTAGAGCTTTAGGCACGTGTCAGCCGGGTACCTCGCTTGGCGATTCAACGTCCAGTAATAGGCCATTTGGCACTTATGGCGACGTATCCTAATCAGAGTGAGTTTAGTTTTACGAAGCACTGAGCAATATTCCAGCTATATGGCGGCAATCATAAATAACTAGACAATCCAGTGATCAACAACATGTGTTTTGATCAACGCAGTTGGGATACGATGACATGTGTCAACCAAGTCAGCGAGTCTGGCCACCAAATCCTGTTAGTCGCCTCTTATGACAAGCATGGGTTACTGAAGATCAATTCCAAGCCGGATCCTCACGGGTCAAATATCCTCATCTGAAGAATGTTGATCCGTTACTCTTGCCCGCAAGATCCCCTCGTTTGGCACATATCGAACACGTCAGGGATGAAATGGACCGACGTTACGACGTCATCCAAATCCTTCAACGATGCAGGAACTCCGCAGAATACTTCCTCGGATATGGGGTTATGTTTCCAAGAACTTTCATGACGTTTAGTCTCCTCAATGAGGCGAAAGTACAAGGTGTGCATCAATGCACATCGTGAACACACTCTCTACTTACCGTTTGCAGCGTGCGCTGTTCTTGTTGATTGTTGATCGCTTCCACAGCTTGTATCTCGTTTAACAAACAATATCTTCACGACTAAAACAGGTTTCACATTGATTCTGTTTGTGTAACTTTTGCCTTTGAGTGTATACACACACAGCTACGGCTCATGCCTTTGTAACATTCAGCTAAATTTTGATTCCGCCGCTTTCCTCGATGTGTACAAATAAGAGTGAAGGAGCTGAATGCGGGTGGCGGGTGGCCGGGTGGCCGAATGGTCTAAGGCGCGAGACCTCGCTGCAGGGTTGCGTCCGTAAAGCGTAAGAAACCTATACTTCGAATCCCTGTTTGATCTCATTACGTTTCTAGGTTTGTGAGTATCACACTCGTGCTCATGGGTTCACCAAAGTGACAAACGTCAGGTTGCCAGGCAACACTTTTACATTGATGCACTCACTCAATATTGAGAAACACAACATAAAATAGGTCGGTAACTACAAGTGCACACTTCGATTTGCATGATTATATTCAGTGAGCGACTAAAGGTTTAAATCAGTTTGACACAGTGCTTCAGTGATATCAAGGCGTCGTTGTGCACTTGTTTGTCACTACGAATAGGTAGATGGTCAAAGAATCAAATTCAAGATGAATGCAGGATTCGAACCATGGATCATCGGATCCTCTGTACAGAATAATAAGGCGCATTAACCACTGAGCCACGAATGCCATCAATGATTTATTGCTACCATGATCAAGATGACAACACCAGCTGAATGACTGGTTTTGAACTTACTACTGCAGCTTACTGGTCCGATCCAAGTTCCTCTTTAAAGAAAAAGACCAGGCATATTCAAAAGTTGTGAAACACCACAAAAAGAGAGAATTGTTTTCAGTTTCAGAATGTTGTATTTTCAGTAAATCAAGCTTTGTTCACAGTAATAGAGGCCTACGTAAAATGAGCAAGATGATTCAAACACTTGTAGGGTTCAAGTGCGGACCCTAAATTATCTTTCCCTCTTTGCTGTTTAACGCCGCACTCAGCAGTATTCCAGCTGTATGATGGCGGGTTGTCAATAATCGAAAGACAATGATGTACTATGACTAGAAAACACATAACACACTTAAACCTGATGTGTTGGTGATGCCCCTTGTATGTGCGCACACATTCGGGGCTTCTAAACTATTTCCGTTATCTACATCATTCATCGACAGCACTTAGATTTTTTGTTTGTTGTTTAACGCCGCTCACAGCATTATTCCAGCTGTACAACACATGCATCAGCAAAGACTAACCACCCGATCCCGTCAGTCGTTTCTCAGGACAGTAATGGGTTGCTGAGGACGTCTTTTAATAAGGATCTCACAGGGTAATGTGAGTATTGATATGACAAAGTTTCACTGTGAACCGCCTGGCGCTACACAAAGCTCGTACAACGTAGTTGACGATTTTGAAACCATTCAGTCAGCTCCGTATTGAGTATTTTATGAAACAATCAACAATATTCCAGCAAACTGTTCTGTAAATATATGTGTCTGTGGATACGTAGAACCTGATCAGCTGATTTCCCGTACACTCGGTTGTTTTTCAAGCATGGGGGTAATCTGTTCATAACCATTTCACTGCCGTGGTTAGCACAGAAAAGCGATGCCTTCTCTAGTGAGAATGACAAACTGATATTTTTAAGCTTTTAATCGATACATATGTGAACAATCATCTGAAACACGGCTGGTCAAATATACTCTTTCTTTACACATTCATGACATGCACAAGGTAAACAAAATAGAAACATGGTATTTGTACCAGCTTGCAAACCAAAGACGCATCACATACGATAACAAATAACAAGTAAATGGGGTGGATGCAAAATATTTACAACAAACTTAAACAACAAACAACATTACGACCAGAGGCCATTACGTAAACAGCTGTAGGTGCAACAACTGGAAAGCCAGGGGAAAATAACAAAATACGAAGTTATTTAATGTACACTATGAAACAAGGATATTTACACTGAAGTCTCATTGACGTTTTCGCGAGAAGTCTTCGACAAAAATGTGACAAACGGAGAATACAACCGATCAAAACAGTGGTGTTAAACATACAAGTGGTGTATTTCATCTCACAATCATGTTACCAGTTACAACCTCCTTGGATCTGTGCCTGCTGCGTCTCTTGGGTAGATGGGTCACTTCCTGGGATGATTTGACTGGGTAACCTTCACGACTTGTTGTCCTCTTCCCGCCACTAGTACTTCCGGTGCGCTCTAAGCGGCGCATATCGGAACGGAGGCGCACAGGAAGTATCACAGTCACAGCAGAGTTCAGGAGATTGCGCAGTTCACGGTTGATTGTGTTTCCGGTTCTCCGAACTGATCTTTTCAGATTTTGGATCCTTGAACCGGTCTTCGATTTCTATTGGCAACGATAAATCAGTCGTTGATATCGCCTTGTAAAACCATAAAAGAACACTGGCCTTTCACAATTTCGAAATTCATTAAGCTACCCCCAAATTGTGGTCGAAAGTATTGGCATTGGTATATATGTAAACGATGAGCAGTTCAATGTTGACTTTTAGCAGCACTATCACAGGCGATGACACTACAGACTGCTTAAGGCATTGTACAAATGAGTAATGGAGACCGCCTTTTGAGTATTCTGTTCTAACTTCTGCGAAATCCAATTTGGCCCATTGGCTTGAAACCATATGTTTCAAAACGAAAAAAGATCAAATATTTTATATTACAAAGTGAAACTCCCCTTTTCATTTCGAAGATGTTTTCATATATTTAAGACCTGAACAACTGTTCAGTATGATAGTAGCCCCATTGGCCACAGCAGGTATAGACAGGTGTTGTTAAAACGTATTTGGGTCTAAAATGGAAAACTGTCAGTTACCAGCAATCTGAAATGTAAACACGATCAAACTATATACAAATGTATAAAGAGCTGACACATCGATTCATAACTCCCATGGAGATTATATCTAGACACGCACTTCATTCGAATAGTTAAATCCCTCGTCAGTAAACTGGAGTAGACTCTAAACGGGACTCGAGTCTCAAAATGGTTCAGCAATAAAGGAAATTATACTGTCTAACCAGTTGCTTATTATTGAATTGTTTTAGCGACCGCTCTATCCATCCATGACCAAATCATGTTATTCCGGGACAAGCCAAATGGCGATTGCTTGCGCGTTACGAAAAGGGCGTTAGGTGACGAATGAATAAGATATTAAGCAATTGATATTATTGAATCGGTGTCCGAGAGACAATCGAAAATGTACGGATAAATAATGATACGTGAGATAAAAATGGCGAAAAAGGGTTATTAAGGTCGATATTCTTTAGATATTCTGCTTCGTACTGATTTAAACAAATTGCTCACCTTTCTACTGGCCTTGCTTGTACTGGAGGTGTTAGGAGTTAAGTCCCTTTCCTTGGGAGGCTTTCTGCCGAAGTTCAGTTTCCGTTTAACACGTGACATGACCCGCTCTGGCAAAATATCAGTCATTGTGCATCAGTTGGTGTCAGTAATTATGCGATATATAGAAGAAGAAGAAGAAGAATACTTTAATGCCTTTTCAGGAATTTGTGTTACATCAGCAGAGCTACTGACACATTAGAGAGATACCAAACATATTTACATAAATTCTTTGATTTAGGTACCTTCACATTTGTTTAAGAGAGATATGGTACTTGGAATAAAGGATGTACGGGCTCTCTTAGTTTTCACAATTGGAACTTTGTAGCGGCGGCCTGATGGGTGGAGGGTGTATTCCGAATATACGTAGTGAGTACGGTCAGATATGATTTTGACAGCTTGATTCACGATTTGCCGCTCATATATTGATGATAAACATTCAAATCTGACTCCAGCGATTTTACTTGCAGTGTTAACAATCTTTTACTACAATTTTGAGGTTGAAGACTACGGACTGCACATTTTGTATGGAAAGATATGTGTATTTACATAGCACACATCGTGTCCTTCTATGTATCTCGATGCATCGTATTGTCTATATAACAACATCACTATCCACATCGAAATGTATGGCGACATAGCAGTACAATTTGTGATGAGAACTGTTTCGTACAACGAAAACTATGTAGGTATCGAGCTGAATGGAAATACTGGAAATAATTTCCGTACACCTAATGACAATAAACGCATGAAAAAGACAAGAAATATACTTTATAATACACATGACACCTGTCTTTCCAAGTGTTTATCTCATCTCATGAGCAGGCAACCTTTGACAACTAACTTTATGGCTGCTGAAATCATGAAAACATCAATATGGCCAGGTCACGAAGGACATACACGTTATTTGACCAAAAAAATCCCCACAAATATCCTCTATCAACTACACACCCGTCGTCCCAGTGCTGCTGCTGCTGTCGGTGCGGGGAGGGGTGGTGTTGAAGTGTCCGTTCCTCCTCCCAGCCTCATAGCCCCGTGTGATGCGGCGGCCACCGGTCATCTTTACTTGTGCCACGACAGCGCCACCAGGGAGCGGGGACAGGTATACTGTGGAAGAAGACGGAACACAATCAGAACCTACTGCTGGGTCAACAGGTACCTTGAACAACAACACTGAAATTGCTTTACCAACTGATAACGTCGCAGAATTCTGCTCAACACCGAAGACAAAATGACACCGGCCTGTGTTGAAGTCGTGATTGTGACGTCATATGTTTATGACGTCAGAAATGTGTCACATATAATATATAAAGGATTGACTGTGTATCTTTTGGGTTCAGTGAGGTTAAATCGAAGATAAAATCTGCAAACTGTATGAATCTGCTTATATATATCATAAGTGCCAACGCCGCGATTATGTAAAAATACAACTCGGAAAACAGTGACGTCATTATTCTATGACGTCATCACAGTCGGACGAATCTCCCATGCCCGGTGTGCTCACACATATAATGGTATGATGTAGAGATAATGGCAGCCGGCGTTTCAGAAGGCGCGCCAGGTAAGAGTGGAAGTAGATGTTTTATTCGTCAATGTAAAAATAATAAGACTAGACTTTTATAGAGCCGAAATGGCAATATTTCCAAACCTTCATCGCTCGAAAAGTATCAAAATATTTCATATGTCTCTTAGACTACATGTCTCAATTTCATTACGCGAGCTATGAAACAAGCAAGAATTTGTTTGAATAATAATACAAATATTTTACCTTGTATTATGCTGCTCCATATACTGTCTATCACCACGAACACAACAGAAGTTCAAGTAAACGTACAAATTAGGCTTCCGGCCTGTAACTAGTCAGTTATTATTATCTGCCAATGTCGGTCAATCAAATTAAAGCAATGGCAGAACCATTCTCTGCTAATCTTTCAAGTTAACGAGAAATTCGATGACAAATGTAATTCAAAATGTAATGTATTAGAGACTTTCATATCAGTGGAATAAAACAATATTTAAAAAATCATCGATAATTATAATTACTCCTATTACCAAAAAAAACAGAACTGTACCATTGGTGATAATATGCATTATACATGTATTCTAGCTGAACGCAAACGTATAATACGTGCTAAATTAAGTTAGAACATTAATTGAGTACATAAAGGAAGCAAAGAGATAGAAATAGTCTTTGATCAAGCTGTCTATAACAGATCAATACTGATCATTGTCGTTTGTTTTCTCCATTACACAGGCAGTAAACATGTTACAGGAGAAGGTTCCTCGCACTACAAAGATCTTAGTATTAAGGCGATCGTATGTGTACATGTACTTGGAAAATGGAATTTACGACAGTCTTGCTGCTGAAAATATTCCTGTTTGTCTGCTTTGTTGTTTAAAGCCTCATTCAGCAACATTCCAGATACACAGCGGCGGTCGGGAAATAATCGATTCTGGACCAGACAATCCAATGATTGACATAGTGAAAATCGATCGAAGCAATTAGGATACAATGCCACGCACCGACCATGTCAGAGAGCCTGATCACTCGATTCCGTTAGTCATATATTATCACAAGCATGGTTTGCTCATACCAGTTCAAACTCAAACGTCTAAGTCTACAGTCATGGTGTTATCATTTACCTATTAGACTCCCAAAGGTGGGGATACCTGCATTAATTCCATGACGCATTCCGGTCAGAGGTCTTGTTTCAAAATAATTTGTTGATGCCGTCAAAATCAAAATCTACAGTATATAGATACTCGATTTTCTTACTAATATGTTTACTATATTAATGTATCACTTTAAAGAGTCTTCTTTAATGAAGCTGCTCTCACGCAACTTAAAAAAACAAGTTTTCAAGAATAAAATACAATGTCCCTTTTGCTTGTTAAATCATCAACACTGTCCTATCACAATCCATAGTCAAAGCGATAGTCTCACGCCTTGCATGATGTTAGTAACCGGCTACCCAATATCCCCTTCTTATCGGTCGCTAAGACCACCCTCCCTTGCTCCCCCTTCTACACTCGCCAACGTTCGCACCGGGATAATCTCGATAATCCAACTAATGATCGCGTGTTAAGAGGATCAAAGTCACGTGACGTAACAAGCGCGTGTGTTGCTATGTGACGTTGGGGTAGGAGCCGAGCTGTTACAATGGAGTAGTCAAACTGGAGGGACGAGATAGGACAGGTGGAACACGCACCGAGAAGCCCTGCAACAAACACAACCATGTCAGGTAGGATCATATTACTCTATTTTATTATAAGGACAAATTCAGGTGTATATGATCCGTGTAGTGGCTTGCTAGAATTTCAGCTTCATGGGTATTAGGTTTATATCAACGAAACCCGATACCACTGAAGGGTAGTTTTGATAGTGTGATTAATTGACGGACCAAGTCGACGACTGCTCGGCAAAGGTCTTGTCTGATACGAGTCAATAAAACTAAACTGATATGAGTCGATTACAGTAAGTCACTGGACCATGAAAAATATCCGGTTACAGCCATCATAACATATAAACGTAACTAATAATGAAATTAAGAATGATCATCTTTTAATCGTTGCCATTGCTTGTTATACTGTATATAACAATTCTAGACCTGACCATTGCACATGAGACAAAATCATGACTCTAATACATGCATTGGCCATTCATAATTGAAGTTTCTGCGAGTTAATTAAAATTTGTGGGAGTACCAGCAAATCAACAAACATACACTCCGATCAAATTCAGTGTTTTGCTAAGTTACTATGAGTCTCCCAAGCAATGTACGACTCAAAAGATCAATAGTACTGATTAATTGAACAGACGCACTGACAAAACTGTCAGGTAATATCGACTGATTGAAATGCTATCTGACAATCTACATAAATGTTTTATAAACCCACCTAATCTCAGCTTATGTTGTGGTAGCCGAGAAAAGGTCGCGACGTCGTCCCTGTAGTATATTATGACCACTGTAGGAATCCATACCAACAATAATGCTGTAAGATTGTAAACACAACAGCTAAAGGCTTAAATAATAAATAACGTCGTAAGCAACAAACTCACACACAACGTCCTAGATGTGACTGGTGTATTTCAAAGTCCCCGTTCACATAGTAAATTTAACGGACTGATTATATCTATATGGTTGAGAAAAGAAAGCTTTCGTCAGAAACAGTTTCTAAAAGATATTCGTGTTTTAGAAACTGGTGTATAAAATATATCTGTCCAGATACACAGCTCAATAGTGTGCTCGAAATCCACTCGCTCAAGACATACTTCAAAGGTGGACGGGATAAAAGTGCTTCTGAGAACCGATAAGAGCCGTCTGACATTAGACAGATCTGGTAGTAACTCGACACACTCAACATTTCGAGTGCGACCGTGAAAGCCTATTGCATTTCTAACAAGTCATCAATGACATATTTAAACCAACCGCTCCTGTCAGTTAGGACAGGTTCATTCAACAAAAGTATATATTCTTTTGGCAATTTTCCCGTCCATGTGCATTTACTGGACAGAGAATACCAACATCCTTGAAGACTGCCTCATCAATGTATCCCCCGGCACGGCCAGCCCTGGCCGCCAACAACCCCTCTCTTCACATGCTTCCCTGTCCCAACAAATATAATCAATACATGGGTCTACGTGGGTGCCGGATGTAAGGGGTACTGACGGAGGGGGTAGGGTGGAGGGATTAGTTAAGCCATATCGCCTCCATGTTTGTCAAACATTGATTACCACTGTCAGACCTCATTTCATAACAGCTCTTACGACTTCTGAAGTCTGCAACGATGTCTTTGCTTTACAGGAGGAACGAAGCCAGTGCTAGTCGAGGTAGTTTCTCTTTTATCGTACATCTATCATCTCACACAGCATAACCAGAATAGTATATATTAATTAAGCGGTACGTGTATGTGTGTATAGTCCCATAGCAGTCTGAAGCAGCCTCAGACCATCCATGCCTACTGCGAACAGAGGGACATTACTGTACCGAGATGCTCCAGCACACCCAACTATGTGTACATACCGACAAGTTCATCATGCATGTTTCATGATATTAACGCCATTCTTTTTCTATAGAAGTAGACGAGACGGAATCGCGTGGAGAAGGCTTCCCTGACAAAGGTAGAAAGGATGCACGAACAGACTCACCATTAACCCACAATGTCGTGCATTTACACGTGTTTCTTTTGTTGAATAATCCCTTTCTGTTGGTTGGCTTGTACCTATTAGCACTCGTTACTCTGTTTGAATGAAGAGAAGGAACTATTAACTCCTCTTACACATAACCCGTTTGGTGTGTTAAAACAGCATGTCAGTAGATCAGTAATCAACATACATACGAGTGCCAGTCCCATCACTCTGATGTGTACTGTGTAGCCTGTATGACGTACATCACGAGTGTCAGTCCAACCATCCCGGTATATACAGAGCCTGCATGACGTATCCTTCGAGTGTCAGCCCTACCATCCCGGTATATACAGAGCATACATGACGTACCCCACATTATTGAGTCTAACCATCCCGGTATATACAGAGCCTACATGACGTACCCCACATAATTCAGTCCAACCACCCCGGCATATACAGAGCCTGCATGAAGTACCCTACGAGTGTCAGTCCAACCATCCCGGTATATACAGAGCCTGCATGACGTACCCTACGAGTGTCAGTCCAACCAGCCCGGTATATACAGAGCCTGTATGACGTACCCTCGGGTGTCAGTCCAACCACCCCGATATATACAGAGCCTATATGACGTACATCACGAGTGTCGGTCCAACAATCCCAGTATATGCAGAACCTGTATGACGTACGCTTCGGGTGTCAGTCAAACCGCCCCTGTATATACAGAGCCTATATGACGTACATCACGAGTGTCAGTCCAACCACCCCGGTATATACAGAGCCTGCATGACGTACCCTACGAGTGTCAGTCCAACCATCCTGTTATATAGAGAGCCTGTATGACGTACATCACGAGTGTCAGTCCAACAATCCCATTATATACAGACCCTGCATGACGTACCCTATGGGTGTCAGTCCAACCACCCCGGTACATACAGAGCTTGTATGACGTACCCCTCATGGGTCAGTCCAACCACCCCAATATCTACGAGTCTACATGATGGGATGGGGATACGGCACCTGAAGATGTATGTTTCCCTCGCGTAAGGTAATGCAGACTATTCACTGATTAACACTATTTGTTCTGTGAAGTGGTTACACCAACGGGTGATACTGATAGTGTCGTCATATAGCGTGGTAAACAGTTAACAGGTTACACTTCAGGAATCTACTTCATGGCGTCCATGGGGTATTCAGCGCCCTACTCCCGTAGCATCACATAGAGACTTGTAGGATAGCAGAATAACGTCGCCTACAAGCAACGAAAACCGTTGCCATAGTTATAAGAAATGCTGCTGCATAATAAGTCGATTGTACGATTTGGCAATATGTTGAGCAGGTGTTGATGAATCACGACTAAACAGCGATGACATCAAGTGTTCGGGAAGTATTACAGCATCATACTATAATAAAACACTGCTAATTTGGAAGGATCCGTTCCATTAAATCACTCCACAGTAACATTGTCCGGAATAACTAATTATTGTTACGGAATGGTAACGTACTTGTCGAAACGTATTTAGACCAGTTGCAACCTCCAGTTTTGTTCAGATCAATGAACTCATTTATCACTGTCACTATCATATATTGATATAAGTTACGGTTACCGGTGTTACACTAAACATCTACCCATAGCAATCGATCCGGGTGCATTCCTATGAGCCTTGATAAGTTCGTGAGAGATAATCAATACACACTGCCATTAAGACGAACTGTAACGTTCGTGATTAACACTTCTACAATTGCACACTTAGACACGCAACGACGGGGCCTGATACTTGAGATCGTGGCTATATGCCTTCCTCATTCAAAGATTTGGACGAAAAACAATCGATGTTATTGGGGATAATTTCAAGCGAAAATCAAATATCCCGCACGCGCAACACAGTGGAACAAACTGATATCAGCTGTCCGAGGACACCGTGAATCAGTGTCGCCACAAGTTAGAATTATTTTCACAGTAATAACACCATCTTTAAACCGCCAACTTACGACCAAACATACAATATGCCGTGAATGTCAGAGACATTCGGTGAATGGCACAATCTTGCAGTTGCGATTGTCGGACTGACTGACTGACTGACTGAGTTTTGGTTTTACGCCACTTTTAGCAATATTCCCCAGCAACATCACGGCGGGGGACACCAGAAATGGGCTTCACACATTGTACCCATGTTGGGATTCGAACCCGGGTCCTCGGCGTGACGAGCCAACGCTTTAACCACCAGGCTACCCCAACGCCCTACGATTGTCGGAACACCTATTATATGTATATACTTATGGTTGCTGTTCTACGTTCAAAACGTTTTGTGACACAATGCTCTTGTCCCCCTTCCCTTGACACAGCACAACCACAAATTGGGTTGTCACGACTTGCGACAGTCGACGTATAACCACGCCTGAACACACATTTACCCAAGATTTAAGAAGCCTTTGGCCTTTTGAAGAGATCGAATGTAACAATGAATTTTCTATTGACTTATGTCAGACACGCAAGTAGGACATGGCCGATGAGCAAAGTACCCCAAGTCACTGGAATTGTGTGATAAGGGTATTGATTGTACATTGTATAATCTGCGTGTTCGTTATACGTATACATATATCCTCTCTCGTGTATGAGTTCACGATGAACTTACGTATTTGTTGTGTCCGGCGTTAAGACCACAGGTTGGAATATGGATGACGCCTGTCATGAATATGCAAACTTATCATTAACATCACGGCTATTGGTTTTGTTATTGCCTTGACTTGAACAATATCTCCGTGTGAACTAATGAGGTTAACATGGCAACAGTTGTCAACAAAACTAACCCACAACTCTCCCTAAATGAATTAACCCATGCTAATTCTTTTTATGTACGCTACAACATGAACGACAGCAAACTAGGTCATTAACCACAGTCCATACCCGTGAATGTTGTACACCTAATCCCCGGTGGCCCAGTCTGTGACAGAGACCGGTATCCTGGACACGGCGTATCAGTTACACATGGAGCTTCACGCTTGAGTTTACAGCCTATCCCTTTCAACACTACTTCTTGACTGCATACACTGAGACCTTGCCAATTCGGAACCCGTTCATACCAAAAAGCCCTTTGAGTGAGTTTAGTTTTACGTCGCCTTTAGCAATATTCCAGCAATATCACGGCGGGGAACACCAGAAATGGGCTACACATTGTACCCATGTGGGGAATCGAAACCGGGTCTTCGACTTGACGAGCGAACCCTTTAACCACTAGTCTACCCCACCGCCCCAAGAGCCCTTTGAAGATTACCTTCTGCAACGTCTTCATAATGTCCATTGCACCATAGCCATCATTGCTAGAAATGGGAATTACTCCGAGGCATTCACTTGACTCTGACAATGGAACCACATCGACCGGGTTAACGGGTTTCACCATGTCACATGTCTGGTATATCAAACCGACACTGGTGGTTCTGAGCGTGGCATGCATCCCTATCCTATAGAGGTGTGGGACGGTGGGGTAGCCTTGTGATTAAAGCTTTCGCTCATCACGCCGAAAACCCGGGTTCGAGTCCCCACATGGTTACAATGTGTGAAGCCAATTTCTGGTGTCCCCTGCCGGGATGTTGCTAGAATATTGCTAAAAGCGGCGTAAAACCAAACTCACACACTATTGAGGTGTATATGGTCATAGTGCTCCTGAATATCACACTTACAACGAAGCATTGTGTTATACAGCTGTGAAGGTAAACCCTGTAACGGTGAGGTGTATATTATCCACCGTCAGTTGATTCGTTTAGGTTTCAAATCCCCAATTGATTCGTAGAAACACTTTTCAGATGTGAAGCCTCAATTGTGTACACTTACAGCAACATACGATTTACCTATATTGTATTAACTTTAAGTAAGCTTTGTTCCCACTTTAACCTCAACTGTACTTTCCTTTCAGCGGAATTCGAACGAATTCGGCAACGGGGGAGGTAAGACAACCAAGCTTCTAATATATATTCCAGCATATTTAAGTCAATGACAATCTAATACTGAATTCATTAGGCGTTTTAGCAACATTATCTGAAGAGGTAACCTGGATAGGTCTGAGGAACTCCAAATGAGGGAAGACTGCCAAACAAATTGAGATCGATTTTTGTAGGTCCATAGTTGTTGCAAGGGAAACCTGGATAGCTCCAACTCCACATGAAACAAAGTTCGACTCAGTAAATATTAAGGTCCGCCCGTGTCGATCTTATAGCGACATTTTTTGGTGGCCACTCGACACAGATACGGGAAGTAGTGTAGTTAAGCTTTCTACATCAAGCCTACATCATAATATAAGCAAACGTTCCGTCGTATTTATTTATGTAAGTAACCAGTGTCACCATATTGCCTTCCAGGGATCGCCTTCTGCAGCTGTCCAAACCGAAGGAGCCCAAAGTGGAATGGTGGACCAGCGTCGGGTGAGTTACGTCACAGAATTACATCTCTGGCACTGAACAAATGATCAGTGTTGACCTTGTGGAGCTTAAATCTATTCCAGGGCAAATTGTGCCATGTGTTAACCGAGGTGTTGTCGGTGTATATATAGTTAAGACTAAGCACACCTTGCTTTTACTCCCTGCTCGGTAGAGACATACTCTCAGCACAAGTAATCGGATCATATTAAACGAAAACAACCCATCTGTCCTCCCCAAACAGTGAAAACATCCTCCACATATCGTGTCCACATGTAAACATGAATATAATACGTATGCAAACATTTACTGGGTGGTTAAAAGATGGAAGCGTCGGTGTGGGATCCCTTTGACATTATATCCGTCCCATAGACCTGTCTGTACTTCCCAGTGTCACCCACAGTAAGACTCAGCTGAGTCCTAGGTGTTGCCACGTATAGCTGATGTCGGTATGCAGTTTAACAGAAGGAGGGTGTTTACTTTCAGGCCGAATGTGAAGTGGGGCACCCAGGACATGCTCTGGCCGATCCCCAAGTCTGCCAGGACAACAGTCGCCTCAAGCAGGGTATCGGAGCTAGCCACACCAAAAAGAAACTTCCAGAAAGAAACCAACATAGACAATCAGTTAGTTCCCTCTTTGCTTTATTATGCATGTTTGTGTACCAGGTCACAGCGTTGGGGATGCACATGTGGCCCAGTCATCAAGTGAGTGAGTGAGTGAGTTGGGTTTTACGCCACTTTTAGCAATATTCCAGCAATATCACGGCGGTGGACACCAGAAATGGGCTTCACACATTGTACCCACGTGGGGAATCGAACTCGGGTCTTCGGCGTGACGAGCGAACGCTTTAACCACTAGGCTACCCCACCGCCCCTCATTCGGTATGAACGTTAGAAGAGTCCAGCGTGGTTTACTACCTTCAGCTGCCGCCATAACGAACTGATGGACCCCTCATCTTGAACATCATCTTAACGTGCTAATTACGCGGACTGTCCCCGTCCAAGTAACGGTGTATTACGTCACCACTATACAGGAAGGTAGAGGTCGGATCGGGTCAGCTTGATTTTTAGCAAACCATATATTGGTCGAACACCAACTTGAAGGCTCAATAATCTATAGTTTGAATACACTTTCCTCAGCCATGGAACGTAGCGTGTACTTAAACCTATGAAGTATTGACGGTGTTCCCGAACATACCACCAATATTACAAAGACATGTTGGGCGCGGGACATCATGATTCAATAAATACAGGTTGTCATCTAGCCCAAATACCGAATCTAACCAACTTATCCCATTAGATCAACAGAACTTGATTAAATCTGACAATAGTAAGCAGAACAGTTCAGCAAGTGTTTGAATTGGGTACACGCAAAGCTGAAGCGCATTACGATTTCTCATAAATTGATATCCGTGCCTAGCACAAACAGCACGTATTCCGCATGATCGTATGAAATGTCCTTAAGTGCACCAGGCATCTAATACGTGATCCCAGATCGTGTGTTCCACGCTTCAGCAGTCTGTGAACCAAAATGCCTTATCAGAAACAGACACCGTGTCATCGACATACAATAGAACACTCTTGTAATCTGTGAAAGGAAGCAATGGGCTGTGCACGGTAAGCTTCTTAATACACAACTCGTGTTACAAGAACTGTTACTAATACACCTCGATGATAGCAGTGTATCAATCCGTCATTACTGTTACCGACCTACAACAAAAGACTTGAACGGACTGACGGGCTGTCATGGAACTGTGCCAAGCGTCTTCAAAGGGTAATCAGCGTTACGTTTATGCATCTGTAACAGCACCGACGGCGATGGGATCGGGTGTCGTGGTGGGGTTGATACCATAGTTGATCGGGCAGATGTGAACCTAGATTTCTGCTCTCCCACCCCGAAAAGAATGAGGCGTCGGTTTACGGACTTAACAAGGTCTCGTTTCATCAGACCAGGGGTAGGAGGTTTTGAGCGTCACTGTAGCGTTTGTTTCACTTGACAACAAGGCAGCGGTCCGGTTAGTCAGTATCTGTGGGTAGGGAGAATACAGCGGGATTACTTTAAGCAGTAAGTGTTGAAGATGGTACCGATAGTCTTTTACGAAGAGTTCTTTTGTTATTCTGAAACACAACATGAAGTGGTCTGGTGGCTTTTAAACGGTTTGTTGTAATCTTGAACCGTATGAATCGTTGGCAAAGACAGGCTTTTGGTGTTCCAATTGGCTGAATGAGCAACTCTCATGATGCTATTGGTGTACACGTTGACAATTCCGATGCCTTTATGTCAAAATGAGAATGTTTACATATTATGCAATATTCAGATGCAGACGAGTCGATCTAACACCCGCTCCTCCCGCCCACAGTCGGGACTCCTTGTACTAGTCCATATTGATGTCGGTTCCAAGCGCCAGATATGGAACCAACAAGTGCCATTTTTGACGTCTGTTGCGCGAATCGATCTTCCACTTTCCTTGCAGACGTCTTCTCCACCAGACCTCAAAGTCGATATTTTCCATCATCATTCCGGTACTCGTTCCGGTACTCGTCAGTATCAACCGTTCAAACTGCAGAGTTCAGATCCTTTTTCTGCTTTCAGTCCAATATTCTTCTACAGCTGTGGGAGGTCGTCGGTGCTATGGAACGTCAGTCCTAAAGCCATGGCGACATCCGCATCGCAGAGAGTCACAGAACTTGCCAAACCAAAGAGGACACATCAGGAATATTTGGAACACAGGTAGTCATAGCAACTTTGGATTTCTCTCTTTGTCTCCGACTGCAACCCATGCACTGTCGCTAAATGTGGTCTGTTCATATACGTTCGTTCATTTTAGACACGGTTGCTGATTCATACTTCAGGCTTACTTAATTTATCAGTTATCTGGTATCCTGAAATCCAGTCATTTCAAAGGCAGTTACATTGTTTCTGGTACTCCAAGATATCTCTAAGCTACTTACCAACTACCTAATGACTAGATATAAAAACCTGAAACCGACTTATTGCACAACCTTTTTACCTCAGTAATCTCACACCCATCTATCTAATTTATCTCACACCCATCTATCTTGTTTATCTCACACCCATATATCTTGTTTATCTCACGCCTGTATATGTTGGTTATCTAACACTTATCTACCTCTGTTATCTCACAACCTTTTAGCTTGGTGTTCTTATTTCCCTCTATCTAGGTAATTTCAAAGCCACTTATCTCAAACGTTTTATATTCTTAAAACATCTATTGCTATCTTCCAGGCCAGACTTTTTCTACAGCTGTGGCAGGGCGAGTCCCATCTGGACGGTGGAGAAAGGAGCAGCTCAGTGTGGCGAGCGAGCCCACACAACTCAACTGGCACAACACAAACCATACCATAAAGACTTCCAGCCTTCCAGACAGGTGCAGACCGTCATACCTGCTCCTGCTCTCAAAGGCCGGGCATCCGAGAGGGTTGAATCGCTCGCCACACCCAAAGAAAGGAACCCAGGGCCCTTCAGAGAGCCACAATGGACTGTACGTATTACTCCATGTCTGACACATCTAGTCATTTATTGTTTGTTTAGTTGGTTAATACAACAAAAAGCAAATCCAGCAACACGATTTCAGTCAGTAAATAATTGAGAATGGACCAGAAAATCAACTGACTGACATAAGCATTGATTTATGCAATTGGGATATGATGACAAGTATTGGTTACTGAACATCAGTCATACCATGATCCTCATTGAGGATGTCCAGAGGAGCAAACAATATACATTGAGTGAGTGAGTTTGGTTTTATGCTGCATTTAGCAATATTCCAGCAATATCACGGCGGGGGACACCAGAAATGAGCTTCACACATTGTACCCATTGTACCCATCTGGGGAATCGAACTCGGGTCTTCGGCGTGACGAGCGAACGCTTTAACCATCAGGCTACCCCACCGCCCATATACACTGAGACAATAGAAGTTCAATGTAACCAGTCAGTCCAAAAGTGGTGATTATTGTGTACTATGCCACACTCAGCACTACTCCAGCTTAAGGCAGCTGTGTGCAGATACACAAGCCTGGACCGGATAATCCAGTAACTGACACATAATGTACCCCAGCTTGCAGAATCGTGGCCCATATGAAGCTGTAAAGCAGCCATGACAAGTGTTGACTTAAAGATTTCAACTTCATTTTCCTTCTTCTGTGACAGAGCGGTGGGGTAGTCTAGTGGTTAAAGCGTTCGCTCGTCATCCGGATTCGATTCCCCTCATGGGTACAATGTGTGAAGCCCATTTCTGGTGTCCCCCGGAGTGATCTTGCTGGAATATTGCTAAAAGCAGCGTAAAACCATACAGACTCACTCACTCACTGTTGTCTGACATTTGGTACAGGTACTAAAGGGGAAACGGGTGGCCCAATAATCTAAGATGCAGTTTACTGTTGCAGCCCTTTGGCACACCAGGTTATGATTATGGGTTCAGATCACTGTTTACAATACATTATTTTTTCAAAACTGTACTTACACCAACATTTCCTTGAACCTATTACAGGTGAGTGCTGCTGCCAAGAACTCATCGGCCAGTACAAGAAGCATGGAGTTAGCCCGAGCCAAGGGGACAACTGAGGGGTTCCAGGCTGCCCGGGAGGTGGAATGGCCAGTCACACGAGCAGCAAAACGTGCTGCAGCTTCAAGTCGGTTGGAAGAACTCTCACAACCTATTGTGCGAGCATCAATGGACCATGTGCAATTCAATCCTGATGCGTTCATAGTGAGAGAATCTGCTCTGAAGGGTGTTGTGCCCCGACGAATCGAAGACCTGGCACAGCCAATTCAGAGGGGGTTAACATGGCTAGGGTATAGGGGCGAACAGGATATAGGGTTAACTGGAGTATATAAAGGAGGGCTAAATGGGATTTAACATACTGAAGAAGCACAATGTGTAATTAAAGAACACAACTGTAACAAGAATTGCCATAAACATTATCAGTGTGTTGAAGGATTTTCCAACTAAATTTTGTATTTTAATGTATTACCTGTTCAGTTAAACACTGTCAATGTTAACTGCCTTCAGAAATCAGAACTCATTTCAATAATTATTAACGCCAGATTAAAGGTTATCGGATATTTGTGGTCTCTTGAACTGGACTAACATTATATTTATAAGATTTCTACTATTCTTGATCCATGTATATGATTTAATGTAGCAATATCTAATATTTATTTCCATTTCTTCGATGTCCATGAACGACAATTCTGTATTACCAACCATATTGTGTGATTGTTGAACAGAAATGGCTTCCATTTTGATTTTGGTATAATTGTTGAGGCCAAATATTTGCTTCTTTGTTAGTCTTCCACCCAAACTACAATCTATTTTCACAAGTTATTTACATGCATAAATTATCATGGAGAGAAAATTGTAAATGCTTTAGAGACACAAAGCATACTATGTGATGATGCTGACCAATGAGAGCCATGCATTCAATTCACTTTGTGTTAAAATATCAATTACTCGATGATACAAGGTTCTGGATTGGTCAAACACATTCAAGTCAAACAGATCTACTGGTATTGTTAACAACATTCATCTATTCCACTCATTTATGCACTACTAATAACTCGAAAGATTAATAAGCATTGTCATCTCATGACCTCACGTTTGCTGAAACCTCAGGATTGATTTTTCAGGACTATCATCAACTAAGGCCAGAGTATTAAATTACCATTCAGTATTACAGCTTTTTATCAGGAGTTGTGTTGATGTATTTTGTGTGCAATGTTGTGACACTATTGTTGCCTATTTAATTTAGCTATGGTAATATGACCCTAAAACCATCTAATATGGTATATATGTATTATATATTTTTGTACTTTTCCCAAATAATTGTAATCACTGACGTGCACTGTGCACAGCACAGGCCACAGAAGGACCAGGCTTCAGGGAATAGGACTTGAGAAATGTCTTCAATGCAGTTAGAACTGTTGTGGTTCTTCCCAGCATACTTCGGCAAACATGTTCCTTTCAAACAACTTTAGTTCATAATCTAGTTATCCTGGTGACTATCAAAGAAGAAGTTTCAATTGCATCAGCATGAAATAAGAGACCATTATTTCCTGTGCGGTGTTTTTTTTTCATGACAAATGTCTCTATTTGCAATAACCTTGAAACTTTCCTACATGTCTCTATCTCTGTGGCTGTAAATAAATTGTTTTTGTTTCCAACATTTAAATGGGTTTGTGATCGTTTTCATTTTACACTTGAGTGGTGGAGTTCAGGGCAGTTTTAATCAATAGATGACATAATTAAGTGTCCCATCTGCCAACATCCCAACCACAACGTTGCTGGAACCGTAGCGATGCATCTTATACAAACACAATTAAATGCTGAAGTTTAAAAGGCGTTGATCAGCTGAAGAAGACAATGTCTCAAAAGGGCAAATTCTATGATGCGGGAAATAAACAACAGTTGGCTTAGTAGTGTTCATCTGAGCAAGGTCAACCGCTACTGTCAATACGATGCATTTCAGTGTCAACATTTACTGTAAAATAACACACGCTCACATCTTGTCTCCAACTAAGATCTATAAACTACGCCCTACCCAAGATCGCTTTCGCCACATGGCTAAACAGCCTATTGACAATGAGCTATCTACACAAATATTCATTAATCATTGAATCTGGTGAATTGCAAGATCACATCATGATGTTAATCACTGGATTGTCTGGATGACAGACCACCATCCTATAGCTGAGAAACTGCTGAGTGTGGTGTTAACAAACAAAACGGAATTGCAACAAATCAGACTTTGTCTAAATGTCCACTGATAGCTGATTAGAAAACTTTGTTTAACTGTGAGGCTTGAAGATGATATGCAAAGAACATTAAACCATGACAAAGTGCAATCACAACAAACACTGAATTTATTCAACAGAATTTATTGCCTTCAAATTACGTTTTTTCCTGAATATTTATTTTCAATGTCGAGGTACAAGGCGCTCTTCCATATCAATGAGCACATTTCATTTTGCTGACACAAAATGTCATAGTTAAACCATAACAAACATTAACATCAATGTATTTTTTCCCAATCCAGACAATTAATCAAAGTTTTTCTTCACAATGGACATTTAGCAAGCATGTAAATTCACTGGAATCAAATTACAAGAGGAGTTATTCCCCTTTATAATGTTTGCTTGACAACGATAACATGGCAGCTAGCCATCCAGGGAGCACATGCACACCCTCGCTAGTTTGGTGGAAGCCACACATTACATAAGGTCATTCTATCTAGCCCATGATACTGCTGGATTTGTCAAAGGACATAAAATGGGCACATCATTACAATTCACAACAATGGGAATCATGAAAGCTACCAGCATATACATACATCATGTACATGAACAAATCATGGAGCTCTCCTCCACTGTCTGGTGAACTCTCATGTTAATCTTTACTCTGCGAAGAAGGATGAGATTGATGAATCACAAAATGAAATCTATTGAAATCTTCTGTTCATACGAAACTGACCAAGACCATTAGCTATAGTTAGTATGATACAAAGTCTTGTCAGAAGAAAGCCAGTCACTACACTAGCAGACAAGAGCTCCCTCATACAGCCACGGAGGGACTGCTTGTTTCAGGTGCCACCACCTGCATGTGTATTAACCCTGAACCAGTTCCCCCGATTCAACAAGCACCTGTTTCTAGAGACGGAGACACAAGTGTCCCATGTGTGTGCCGTGTCATGTTGTTTCCATGGTAGATCCACTCTCACCTTTTGAGCGAAGGTAGGCCTCATACTGCTCGGGAATGTTCTTAAATCGGTTGATTTTCTTTTTTATCTGTTTAGGTGTATCCTGGTAATAGTTCTTTGGGTCCCGTGCCATTGCCTGTGAAAAGATTATTCTTTGCATCAGTATACCATGCTTACTTAACATTGCTAAAGGAGGTTGAATATATGTTCCACAATCACCTTGATTGGGAAAGGGTGTCATTACACTGGTTAACAGTATCTACTGATTGATTGTGGTACCTGATCTGATGTTTATCATCTGTATCAATGGTTAGTGAGTGAGTACTATGTTACGCCGCTTTTAGCAATATTCCAGCAATATCACGGCAGACGACACAAGAATATTGGCTTCACACATTGTACCCATTTGGGAATCAAACCTGGGTCTTCGACGTAACAAGCGAACGCTTTAACCACTAGCCTACCCCATCGCCCCTCTGTATCAATAGACTACTGATATAATTAATGTATCTTCAATCAGGTATCACAATACATACAACACAGTGACTATTCAGTACACCCACAGGGTCATGTACCACAGACATACTGGCATCAAGGTAGGTATAGACTGTTACTGACAGGCTAAATCAGTGACAGTATATCTTGATGCCAGATGCCATGACAAACTTTCAACCATCCACTGGTAGGGCTGGATATCAATGCAGGTCACACAGATATTGATCAGTTATAGATGTATATCAGAGAAGATAATATGTGAGAAAAAGTAAAAATCAAATCAATATATTTCATATCATTGGTGAGTGGTTACTTATGCATGGATTGCTTACAAAAACACTGCATCACAATATCATAGAGGTCAGTATTCATAACCAGAGTTGTAAAACTTTTTCCTCAACAATATTTTCAAATATTGATTGTTTTAGCCAGCTCCATGATATCTTACAATGATCCGCTCACACACCTTATAGTCCTCCCCGTGTTTCTCTATCATGTGTACACAGTATCTGACCTCCAAGTCTGACAGTCGCAGCCTGGCCTCCTGTGGAATATTGGCCTGCTTCTCAAGAGCTGAAACATCAACATGTCGTAAGATGAGCCTAACGTAGATCTATCAGAAGAGTTTACTCAGCATTTTGAACGGTACAATGCTATCAACATGATGGAACTAATGAATGCAGTATGTCACACAGACACTGAGCAATATAAGCCCTACCATACAGGCTTGTTCAAAACCAAGTCAGGTAAAGAAAGTGGTTGACAGCATGGGCAACCATCCACACTGTGTGACACATGCAATGCCTCAGCATTGCAAAATGCAATAAGTGATTTTAACTCACTAGTTCAACATTAATCACTCCTTTTCAAATGCTTATCACATTGAGCCAGAGAGACCATGACTAAATCAGGCATGTAGCTTCCAACTGTCATTCTGATACCCCATGGTAACCTTTTGGCAACTAACCTGTTTCTATACATATATTTAAAATAATAATAACCAAAGCATTGACCTATGGTATACTCTGTCATATTTTTCTGCATGTAACACTTTTAGGAGTCACCGTTAGAGGCTTCCCATAGCCTTGACATTTTGATCGAAACTAACAGTATAGGTAAACGTACAACAAATGTGACTTCTTTTGAGTCAAAGTATGGCATGTATAACATACACATCCATCAACAAAGGTTCACTTCAAAGCATCAGCTGTAGTAATCTTGGTGCCGTTGTACAAAACAACCTTAGCGTTAAGGCTATCCTTAAGCCTATGTTAAGGTATTGGAGTTACAGTAACCTTAGCGTTAAGATCACTTTGTACAACGGCACCCTGATCATGGCACCTGGATTGGTTTGTTGTTTCATGATTGCATGCCCCACTGAGTGAGTGAGTGAGTTTAGTTTTACCCCACACTCAGCAATATTCCAGCTATATGGAGGCAGTCTGTAAAATAATAAAGTCTGGATCAGACACTCCAGTGATCAACATCATGACCATCGATCTACGCAATTGGAATACAATGACATGTGTCAACCAAGTCAGCGATAATGACCAACTGATCCCGTTGGCCGCATCTTTCGACAAGCAGGTCTCATGTTAGCTGGAAATAACAGTAAGCTCATACTAAGCTGGTGAGATCTGCTCATATCCACAGTAACAAAAGAAATGATGAGTTTATTACCATCAACAACATGATGCTTGAGAGCTTTCTTTTTCTTGGATTTCATTGCCATGACAACTTCAGCAGACTTTGTCAGAAATTCCTGAAACACCACAAACACCATGACAACTGCTGACAATATGACACATGTGGTACAATCATGATACAATTTGTCTCCATTAGATGGAAACCCTCCATGACATGGTTAAAATGGTGACTCAAGTTCTACCTATTTCATCTGGCGAATGGATACTGAAATTCAAGCAAAAATGGCATGTTTTTTAAAAAATCACAAAATTAAGAAGTTGTAATTATGCTGTGTTGATGGGAACATGTATGCTTTATAGACTATATTTCCACAAAGCCCAATACTACCGTCTCCTATCAATTCTGCTTTGTCACAATATATCCTCCATATCTAAAAATGGATATTAATAGCTGTTACATATGGGGCAAGTTTGAAAATAGAATCTGAATTAGACCATGAATAAACGGACACCGCTGGATGTTCTGGACAAAACGGTTCACAGCTGACCTCTGCAGTGCCAGAATTTGCTCCAGCTTGTGAAGGCCATACAAGAAGCACAGTGAGGGATACCAAGGGAGACAATCCAGCATTTGTTATTCAGTATGCACAGATAATGCTGTGCCTGTACCGAAAGTCAGGAAACTTGTGTATTGAAGAAAGTGTTCGAGAATGGCTTTGAGCAATAAGCACACCTTAGTTTTGGGGATCCTGATGGTCTTGTTGGAGTCTGCTGACAGTCCCATGTCATGCATGTTCTGTGCCACAGACTTCTTCTCATCCCAAGATTCTCTCACAGTCTCACTGAAAAGCATTAGATCATAATACACAATAATCTGACATACTAGTATTCCGAGCCACCCATTTCATTTGAGTGGACACGCGTACTGAATTTATGAACAATATACAAATTTTTGTCTATTTTTTGCCATATTTTAGCATTCGTACTAACTACTAAACCCCCTCATCCAGTTCTACTTGGGTGGTACAGCTCTCAGGGTTTGAGGGTGTCACATTAACTGAAAATGTACTCGGCTTAAGACATATAAGTAATAACCATTTACTTCCAATAAGGCTCTCAGTATATACGTCTTTGTTTCCCATCTGCTGCCCGACAAAGCGTCACTGGGGTGGGAGAATGAGAGTTAAGGAGAAAACAGTCACAAAAAATTAAAAACATCTTTTGCCCGAATCATCCTGAATTTTGTATATTAGTTGAGATAGGATACACAGGTCATTAGTTCATGGTTTCTGAAGAATAACCAGTGCATTTGTTACCATGGTTACAGTGGAAACAATGCATTGTGGCCATGAACTTTACAGAGCTATTCCATGAGAATGGTTGTTACTTTTATCTACTGGTGGGTACCCCCGATGATATCCCAGAATTCTTGACTGGTTCGTGACCTCTGATGTGCATCCACTAAGCTATCAAGGAGATGTTTAAAGAGCCTGTTTGTTTCGTCTTGTTTGTTGTTTTATGCCGCACTCAGCAATATCAAGTTCCCATACGAAACAGGTGATTTATGTTGATGTACTGTATTTCAGTGTCATCCAAAAGGATCTAGCATCGTCAACATTACATATTACTTACCAATTTGTTTTTTTATCATTTCCAGATACAATATTTAATTTAGACTGTTTCTTCTGTTAAATACTTACATCTTTGCATAAAGTGAGATTCAAAGAGACAAAGAAAAAAATCGCTAGTTACAAATTCCCATGACAGACACTCTCAGTCTCACTAGTCTCAGATGTTTTGACATAAAAATGTCAAAATAATACAGACAATTGAGATGCTTTATCAATGTGTATGGATGACAACTTCTACAATGAACCACGGGAGAAGTCTGTGGATATACAACTTGCAACATCGCATCATAATACAACAGTGTATTAAAACTAACAGAGAAACTGTCATCCACAAGATATCTTGCCTTCAATCAAAGTTAAGTTGAGTTGTCCACTGCGAAGAGTGTCCTGTTTACACTTCAAAAAAGTTTCTAAGGGACTTACCATGTAATTTTTTGTTGTTTGCTTTTGTTTTTCCAGCTTCTCTTTCGGTCTTTTGTGTAGTTATAAGTCTTATTTCTGCTCTGTTTTCGTATTCTCGCCATGGTTCAGTCACCGAGAAACAAGCAAAACATCAACACGTGCTCAAGGACGCGAAAGTGGAAATCTTAAAGTATGGAATCATATCCGAAACAGAAGAAAACACTAAGTGTCTATTTTGCCGTTAAACACATTAAAACTGCTATATCATACTGCTATCAAGTTACTATCTCCTGTGTTATCTCACTCTAATACAGTTTTCATTTATAAAGATAAATATATTAGCATTCAAAATTCCAAAACCATCCAGATTTATTTTACTATATTCCAACCGGATGTTTGCGACGATCTCACGCTACCAAAATGTGAGATTAGTACATCGGTGGAAACCAATGTAATAATTGTTCGTATAAATATTGTAGTGCGATTCTTTCACTCTAAATCCATTTTTACACTTTAAAAAAAAAAACTCCACTCTTCTAATTGTAAGCTGATAGATACCAACTTAGGGAAATCATAACGGAATTATTTCCGGATATTTGTTCCTGTGTCACTTTTCTATCTTCTAAAATGGCGACCTCTACAGAGTCAAATACGGCACAGAAACCCCCACCTCAAGAATTTGCATATTTACCACCTCCAAGAGATGATATTGGCTACTACGATGAGGGTTTAAAGGACAAGTTTATCAGAAAAACAAAGGACAATCCATTTGTTCCTATAGGTAAATGCGGCCACTTTGTTCAGTTGCATAACGTAATCTGTGCAATGCTTGTGTTACTGACAAGCCAACTTGACAGTTTGTCCACAACTGGGCAACAGTGTAACTTCTTTCAATGGCATTTAGAAGCTGATATGACGAAGGGGAGAAAATGTTATCGACAGATTTACAAGATATGCAACCTTTCGCAACGGTGTAGTCTTATCCCTGCTTGACTATGGAGTATGGTACAAGAATCGGTATCGAAACGTCGCACTCACGAAATAAGAAGTTGTAGATCTAATCCATAAAGTTTGTCTCTATTGTTTACTCAGCATATACAGCTGCAAGACTCCAGTTTATCGGGCACAAATTGGCACTGGGTATGAGCTTAAATGACCTTCAGTGCCTTGGTTTAAGGGTGGAATATAAGACATCGCCTTGTTCCACTAAGCAATCTTAGCAGGACAACTTCTGTCAGTCTATGTAAAAGAATTACAAACGTCTTAGTGTTAAGATCCTTTTATGGAACTGGACTCTCCAGTGAGGAATCTCAGTGATTTGATCCTCTAGCTGCACGACACTAAAAGACATCAAAGATGGTGCTTGTCACAAATGTGATAAAACAACTACCGGCCAGCTCATGATTTAGCCATGTATCATTTTTATCAATGTTAAAACTGCGGCATGATATCTCCTTTGGCTAGTATTATAAACTTGTCATCATCCTAGACTAATGCAAGCATGTAATACATATAATTGCATATTGTGAGGTGCAAAATTATGCGAGGGCAATGGTTTAAATGTTGGGTTAAAAGCAAGTTCTCCTCAGCTTCAATGAAACAGCTCAGTAACACCAAATTTTCTTTGCACATTCCAACTTTCAACCAGTAGTACTGAGTCATTTGGAAGCATGTATATCCCGTCCAGACGATACTGCATACTGTGTTCATGGTATTAAGGAGTCAATATGTATGTTCAGTTGTGTATTTTATTACTCTTTGTGGAGAAGAAGTAAACAATATTCTTTCCTTTGAAGAAAAATTCCTCAAGATACTTTTAGATCTACAAGTCCATAAAAAAAAGGGCATCACAATATGTTAAGAGAATAAAAATGAAATTACATTGTTATTGTGTAATCAATGACAAAATGCTGAGCACCTCAATATATTATATATATATCTGTGATTGAAGTGAGCTTCAGTACATTTCATTCTCTGGTTATTGTGTTTTGGGGTTGTGAAACACTATGTCCAAATTAATGTTTCTCCCAAATCAGTATGTGTGGTAAGTTCAGCAGTGTTCCGAACAAATATTTTATGAAGGCACATATTTTCAGGTGTTGCCATGACAACTTTTGCCCTGTCATATGGTCTGTGGCAGATGAAGACTGGAAACACGCGCAGATCACAGACCATGATGCGAATGAGGATTGGTGCACAAGGATTCACTTTGTTTGCCGTCTTGGGTGGAGTCTTCTACAGCACCCTGAAGGCCAAGAAGAAGCCTGAAAACTGATGTACATTAAAGAGTGCTCTCAGTGTATAGGTGTGCGGCTGTAACCATTGTGTCTCTGTGTGTAAGCTTTAAGACTTACAGGCAGTACTCCTGATTACAACATATACATGGAATAGAGCTGCCAAGGTGGAACTTGTAAAAATGAGCAATATTTATGGTGTTGTAAACATGCCATGATTTAGAGAATATATAAGACAACATGTTTTCATATAGAGATTGGACTGTAAGCATTTAACAATTTTTGTAGGTGTATAATGCTGTCCAGCTCAGGGAAATAATAACCTAATAATATCTGTTTGACACAGCATCTTTTCAAAAAATACTGGCACCTATTTCATACTTCACATTGAAGCATGTGAAATAAAACAATATATTTTAAGCCCTGTTACTGTCCTTAATCACAAAGAGGTGTGATTCAGATATATGAAAACTTGCAAAATTTAACAATTACTTCACACTGAAGTGGATCAAACTCAACATAGTATTTTGAGGCCTGTGACTGTCCACAATCAAGATGTGTGATTTGGATATATTGACGATGCCTCATGTTTTGTGTTCTTGATATCAATATTCAATTAACTTCACCACTGCCTGTTTTCCATACAGTTTTAGTACTACCTTGTATTGACATATTACCATGGTAACAGTAGCAAGTCAATAGCTGAGATAAACTGTCTCCATGGTAGACTGTTCATGTGAAAGCTCTACCTCTCTCTGCAGCATGGATATGAGTTCACATTTTGAGAGAAGGTACAGAAGTTAGTATTCAAATCTAATTAAATATATCACAAAGGAGTACTAAGTTTTTGGATAGTTATCGCAGACTGTTTTGTCTTCCTCTGCGTCTACCTCTAATCAGTGTTACCTGTAGTAGAATCAAAAGGATAGTACATGTATTGATAGCTTAATGCAAGTTAACATAGTATTTACAAGGCTCTTTACTAATACTTGACAGAGGGAATGATGAATGCTTCAGTCAGACCGAATGGTATTTGTTTTTTTTAAATGAGTGCTGTGATAGTCAATACATTAATGTATATACATTGTTAAAAGGGGATGATATTTTAATCTCACATCATGATGCTCCACACTAACCTGATAATTCAGGGTCTTGTTGTCTTGAGATGAGAAACATTTAAAGGAAATAGGCTAAGGAATACTGGCCTTCTCCCTGACCCATCTGTAACGTGTAATGGTGTGATTGATTGAGGTTGAATTTGAGAAGTGAGGATGGTATTTATAACCAAGAAATAGGTTAAATGGCTTTGTAACATGCTGCATTATGTTATCAATAAAATGTTAAACATATAAACAGTGTGTTCATGGTATTTGTGTAAGATTATTAGTTAGTTATTGATAATGAGAACACAGATTTCCTGAGAAAAGCCAGTGACTGGTTGTTGGAGAAGCAACCCATGTTGTCCAAGACAAGTTACCAATGGATGATAGGGGGAGGTGATTAGGTGCCTGACTCTGAGGGTGTGGGTTCGAATTCCAGATGGTACTCTACCCAACAAAAGTACTAGAATCTGTACTTTATTAAGAAAGTGTAATCCCAAATATAACATGTTACATTTGATTACTTTCTACATGGCATTGTGTAATCATGGACTCACCTATGCCCCCAGGTGACAGGTGGTCTTACTAACACCACTGGTAGAAAGATTGCTTGCTTCTTTACAAAGAAGTAGTTAACATCCAAGACCTGCTTCACTTCTGGGTTTGCTCCATGAAATGTTGTTCAACCACATCAGAGCCACAGTGAACCAAACCCACTCAAATGTCAGATACCTCATTGCTGGCAGACTCATGACAAATGTGATGTTCAGCCCTAACATTCCTGTTTGAAAACGACATAAATGCAGAAATTTTTTAACATGTCTTTATTTCCAACATATCAACATGCTTGTGATGACATTTAGACTATGTCTATTGATACATTTGAGCATTAAAAAATGTTTCTCGATAATGTCAGTTGGCACATGCTGTCACAGAAATGTTCAAACAAACTAGTCATGGTGTGTAAAACCATGCTTAACAGACAAGGAAACAAACATACAATTATAATACACCAATAGCAGAATAATAATGAGGCAAATTTTCATTAAGCGATGAATGAGTGAGTGAGCATGAGCAAGTGAGTTGGGTTTCACGATGCTTTTAGCAATATCAGGGCACCAGAAATGGGCTTTCAACATTCTACCAATGTGGGGAATCAAACCCGGGTCTTCGGTATGATGAGCGAAAGATTTAACCACTGGTCTACCCAACCACAACCATTAAGCAGTGAGGGGCGGTCGCGGTGGAGTAGCCTAATGGTTAAAGCAACTCATCACGCTGAAGACTCGGGATCAATTCCCCACGTGAAACCCATTTCTGGTATTCCCCACAGCGATATTGCTGGAATATTGCTAAAAGTGGTGTAAAACCATACTCACTCAGTCCCATTAAGCGGTGAATTTACAGACCTTTCACAATGATACCCAAAGATCTTTCAATACAGGATGAAACACTGTCACAATATAGACAAAGTCTAGCAATGTCCTGATAAGAATCACAATCAGTGCTGCTGGTGGGGTGAAAAAGGGTTAAATGTCGTGTTCAAGATTATTATATTTGTATGTCGACATATGTTCATGTGTATCATATTTTAACGTTTTTGATTTGACGAGGCTGGTGATGGAAGCACTAACCTACCCCTCTCCACACACACACTTTGTTCAGTAGACCATAGAGGAGGTCAGTAAAACCAGTATATGATGATTGTCTGATCATTGACTTTCTTTCATTGACCATGCTTCCTCTACATTGTAGAGATTGCTTTTTAAATTAGGAATGTGACCAGATAGTAATGTTTCATTGTGATTGATGATGCTGGTATGATTCCTTCACATTAAACACAGCAATATTTTTTCTTCAACAAAGAAAAGTCTTACTTCTTTTTGTCTGATCATGGCAGAATACACTGTCATTACAGTTTATATGACCTACTGGGATAAGATTGTTGTAAAACTGTCCAATTTATGTTGGATCCCGCCTCCACTGCACAGAGGGAGGTACCTGGAAAATGTAGATCACCTCCTCCACTGTATAGATGGAGAGACCTGGACCATATAGATCCCCGCCTCTACTGTATAGATGGAGAGACCTGGACCATATAGATCCCCACCTCTACTGCCCAGAGGGAGGGACCTGGACCATGTAGATCCCCTCCTAAACTGTATAGATGGAGAGACCTGGACCATATAGATCCCTGCCTCTACTGTATAGATGGAGAGACCTGGACCATATAGATCCCTGCCTCCACTGCCCAGTGGGACGGGACCTGGACCATGTAGATCCCTTCCTCTACTGTATAGATGGAGAGACCTGGACCATATAGACCCCATCTCCACTGCCCAGAGGGAGAGACCTGGACCATGTAGATCCCCTCCTCTACTGTATAGAGGGAGAGACCTGGACCATATAGATCCCTGCCTCCACTGCCCAGTGGGACGGGACCTGGACCATGTAGATCCCTTCCTCTACTGTATAGATGGAGAGACCTGGACCATATAGACCCCATCTCCACTGCCCAGAGGGAGGGACCTGGACCATGTAGATCCCCTCCTCCACTGCATAGAGGGAGAGACCTGGACCATATAGATCCCCGCCTCCACTGCCCAGAGGGAGGGACCTGGAACATGTAGATCCCCTCCTCCATTCGCACACAGAGAGGGATATGACCATGTTCATCCACTCTTCCACTGCATAGAGGAAGGTACCAGGACCCTGTTCCTCAAAGTGATCTTAACTCTACAACTGTCACATATTTTAACACACACTTCACAACATTTGTAGAGTTACAATCACTTTGTGAAAAGGGGTCCTGGACGACGTTGAGGCCCCTTCCACCGTTTATAGAGGATGTCTGGAACATGCAGAGACCCCCTCTTTCAGTACATTTAGGGAGGGTCCTGGATCACATTGATTCCCTCTTCTAATGCATGTAGGGAGGGGCCTGGACTATGAGCAAATTGTGATTTGGCAATCCAAGTTCACTGGTCATATAAGTTTGTGTTTCACAGTATTCTTAGTTGTTTACAATTTGTGAAAATGTAAAAACAATCAAAAGTGGATGTCCGCATCCTTGCATCCAACCTATTCCTTGGTTTTATTACAATTTACAGTCAACTGTAGACAGGTTTGACAAATTCAAAACAATACTGATCTATAAATTAGAATGTTTGTGCTGAAAAAAGTGCATATTTCAACAAGAGCCTGGCAATAAAAGACAAGCAACAAAACGAAAACAGTAAATAATAATCTATAGTATAGCACATCACCTTGAAATAAAGGTAAACATATTGTTACAATATATACTGCATGTAGATTACAGTATTTTTAATAATTCATTAGAAGTTTTTACCTGGCTGCATGTGTAAACATGTCAACAGCCCAGGGTCATATCACAACCAATATGTAGATAACATATGTAAAAACATGATATGTATTGAGATGATTAAATGCAAAATACATTGAAGTGGCTTGGTGCGGTGCACAAAAATGGCAGCAAACCTATATTGAAAACTATTCACATAAAAGGATTCTTAAATATTTTTGTAAATATTTTCTAAAAAGTGAAGTATTATGACCATCACAAAAACTTCTAATAAAGATGAACAGGACACAAATGTAAATGTATACTAAACATAGTAAATAACATCACCATGGCAACAAGACAACAGCAGATAGATTGTACATGGTGTCAGGAACACTAGAGAACTGTACATGTTCTATTGTGAAGACTCAACAATCAAGCAGACTTGTGTCTCCGCCTCTTCTGGAGACTCTCAAAGATGCGATATGTTTCCATAAAACCCTTGCGTTGTCCATGGTCTGGTGCTTGGACTGAGACAAGGTGGATTGGACGGGTCTTGGCAAAGTTGTCCAGCTGCATATAGCTGTACACCAAGTCTGGTTTCATTGCCAATGGCTTATCCTGCAAAACGAACAGTCAAATAGGAGTGAATATTTTATTTAATAAATGTTCATGGGGTCTTTTAAAGAGACTACACATTATAATAAGCAAGAACACATGAAAATATAGAACATAATCTTGGGCTGATGACACGTGATTTCATGAAAGTCTTTAATGTATTTCTAAACAGATGTCAGAAGTTTAATTTCAAAGTAATGTCATCCCATTTGTTACGATGGAAAGATGGCATATATGGTATTTGGCATAAGAGTTTAGCAATATATCAAAAACATCAGACAACATATCACACCTTGTGACTGATGTTGATAAGAGTGAGTGAGTGAGTATGGTTATGCAAGGCTTTTAGCAATATTCCAGCAATACACCAGAAATGGGCTTCACACATTGTACCCATGTGGCAAATCGAACTCAGGCCTTTGACATGATGAGCCCACGCTTTAACCTCTAGTCTACCCCGACGCCACGATGTTGACAAGAAGCATTTGAATTGATACATCAGCAAATGAAACCATATGCACTAGTTCATGCAATGTTTTCCCTTATTTATTTCCATCAGTATCACCCTGCATCAGGCACCAGTCATGGAGACCACAGAGGGAAGTGTTCCCACCAAGTGCAGGAGGACGCTCTACCTGTTTGGTGGCCACAATAATGAGAGGGATGTTCTCTGTTCCCTTCTGGATGAGGAAAGCGTGGAGCTCCCGTCTTGACTCATCCAGGCGGGCTGCATCTGATGAGTCCACAACATAACAGATGGCATCCAAGTCTAGCAAGAACTCCTTCCAGTAGGTCCGGCACATATCCGAACCTCCCACTGCAACATGAGAATTCCCAGCATAGCATGTCTCACTCAGTTTTAATACAACCAAGTCTGCAGTATCTATAAATGTTATCATGCATTAATTTCAGATATAACAAAAGACATTTCCTGAGAGTTGTCTTTTAATCACCACTCTTCTACCCAGAGCAACCATGTACATCTGCCACAGGTCAGCAACATATCCATCCCATCTGAATCATCACATCTTTCAATATCCTTTCAGTATTTTCACCTGCTTCATTTTTGTCAAGTTGACACTTCACTTTTGACAAGTCTTTAGATAAATGTCATGAAATGTTTACCTCTCACTGAGAACATGTCCTAATATGTGATAAACGTAGATGTAAAGAACGAAAAAAAGGCTTGAATTAGGCCAGTCAGAATTTCAGAATAAGTGCATCCGTTTACAAACAAGAAAAAGAATCTGGTGATGTGACATGCTAATTACCATGTGGCAGCTGTGTAATGTGAAATCATCACTCGGTCAAAGTGGGATTAATTACATCAATAACAAAGATTATACATCTGGGACAAAGTCCATAGTACAAAGCAATCTTATTTTGTATCTTTTCCAGACCAGTTTATTCAGTAATATTCCCGCTGTGTTTTGCTGTACGACTTTTTAACCAATGCTGTGTACATAAATAAGAAAGATACTGAGTCTGAACCATAAAATGAACCATGAACCTGAGCTAGAATGAATGGTTGTTTCTAACTGTATGCACTTATGTTTCATAATACATTAATAATTGTATTCAAGGTGACATATTTGATTTGAATTGCAACAAAATCATCCATCCATATGTTGGAGTGCCACTGTTGTGAAAGTGGTCAGCACTTCAGACAAAGACATAGGTACAAACACCCTCTTACTCTTAACTCAGCAGCTGTAGGATGGCTACAAGTCTATTGCACATATTTACAGCTCATGAAACTTGTCACCCACAAATATCATATGTCTGGTAATATTTCAGACCCAGGTTATATTGTCCATTACAGTATTACTTATGCGATCAAGTTTTCAGATATATAATTTATCACATACCAATTTATCAGGATAGGAATACAAACATCAAAGCGCCTAGTAGGGATGCCATGATACATTGATACGTCAATACTTTTTCTAAGACGATCCAATTATCGATACATTCAAACTGTATCGATATTTAGTTTTGAAAGTATCGGTTTAAATATGTTTATGCATCGTTTACATTTTGCAATGGTATCATGTTTTTGGACGTTATGAGAGTTATAAATGATTATTTTTCATGCACAAAGATGGGAAATTAGAACGTTTTAATCTCTGAGAATCAAAAATGTAGATCTTTTCATGGACAATATAAAATATGAAATATTAATGTTCAAAATGTAACTAAATTTACACAATAATGCCACGAAAATAGGTATCGTGATGCGTATCGAATCGTGACATGGGTATCGTGATACTTATCGATTCATGAAACTTATGTATCGTGACATCTCTTGCACCTAGCTCAGGTGAATCCTCATTGCACTCCGATTCCGTATTTCACTGCTGAAGGACCTACTTTTTCTGTCAACACTATTGATTCATTACATCAGGTGGAGGAATTGAAATCTCACATATACATGTCTCATACGTCCCCTGCGAGAAGTAAGGTCACAGTAAGCTCAATGCAGAAGTTTCAGTTGTCATTAAAGTTAGATTAAAAATGTGCGTCATGAAAGGGTATGTATTAAATAGAGAACACCATCCTAGAGCATTTAGACCTGAAGTATTGAATGAGAAGATATCATGGTAGGAGAGTATAGATTCTTATACCGTTTTCATATGCTTCAAAATGGTGTAAGAATCTATACCGAAACGTCACCCAATTGTCAAAATAGAGAAGTTGATCATCCATAAAGTCTTGTCATCTCTATACCACTAACTTCTAGAATACCACTCAAACAAATCATTGTTCGTAACTTGTTTTTTGTCTCCTGCTATGACATCTTCTCGTTCAATACATATGCTTGACTGCCTGACTGACTGAGTTTGGTTTTACGCCGCTTTTAGCAATATTCCAGCAACATCGCGGCTGGGGACACCAGAAATGGGCTTCACACATTGTACCCATGTGGGGATTCGAACCCGGGTCTTCTGCGTGGCAAGCGGATGCTTTAACCACTAGGCTACCCCACCGCCCCTCATATGCTTGAAGTGCACTAGTATGAAGATCTACAGATATATTGGTGAGAGACAACAAAACAAGCACATATGACAAAGTGCAATGAAGGTTACTGTAAGTCTGGAAAATTATATTTATAAACATGTCAGGGAGTTATATGGACAAGATTGAGGGCTCCAGATAAGGCCCGTATCGGCGTATGTACAGATATAAAACAAGCACGATACAGTAGGAAATAATTTAGAAAACATAGCAGATACGCACCACAGCAATGGTGTACAGTCTTAGAATCATTTACAGATGTATTTATCTGAAAAAGTATTGTTTTATTGTTTATTGACCTGTTTACACAAGAGTAGCAATGTTGTGGTGCATATATGAAATGAAACACAAGATTACTGATACTCCATTAAATTCCATTCAGGACTCTAAATGTACTCTTATTGTTTTCCAGTACTCCTATATTGAAAAAATAAGGAGTACGTACTCCTGATCATGAAACATTATCTGGAGCCCTGAGCTTAGAGACTGACATTTAGCCTCAAGTCTATAGCAAATGTGAGTAAACATTCCCTACATAGAATGTACATTTCTCAATTCATGCCGTCAATTTATTGACTTTGTAAGGTGAATAATTTGTCACTGGGATATACATACAAATGTAGAGGAAAAGGACAATTGTTTAGTTTAGCATTACTGCCTTGAATGAAATGTTAAATTTCAATGCTAAAATGCCTCTGAATTTAGAAAAATAAGAAATAAAAACATCCCATTTCCAAACAAAGTATTGATTGTGTCCAAGTATGTATGTATGCCAAGGGGACTTAATATCAATCCTGGATAAATCCATGCATGTGTATCAAGGCTATTATGACAAATTCAACAATTGTGGATAGACTGAAGGTGATAAATAAGCATAGGTCTAGGTGTTTCATGACCCAAACTGTGCCATCACATGCCACCTTTCTGATTAGAGATTTGGATCCTTGCGTGCAGTCAAATACAGAAGGTGAATGACACTGTCATCTTACCATCCCACATGTTGAGGTAGATGGATCCCAGCATCACAGAGTTCACATAGAAGCCAATCGTGGTCTCTTCTGTTGTACTGAGGCGCCGTCGGCCCTTGCAAAAACAACGAGCAAAGCGGGTTTTGCCTGCTCCATCAAGGCCAATGATCAACACTCGGCGCTCACTTTGGTCTTTCTGAATACAGAAACAGATTGTTCAAACCATATTGTAAACCAAAAGTCACCATGTTTATTAATCTGATTGGTTGAAAAACATGATCGAATGGTATTCGATTCCCGGAAATTGCAAGACTATTCACTGTGTATTGACACGTACAAATACCGCACAGACCATTTTATTGTTGTGTCGTCAGCAGTGGTGACGTCATTCAAATCAAATTGTGACGTAAAGTCAGAATGACGTCACAAATGAGCAGTTCCAGATGCTACCATGGGAACCAGCTGAAACGGTCAGCTGATGACACTTCACTGCTGTACCTGTACTCAATGTCAATGAGTGCAGACAGTAAAACCCATGTGGGCCTTTTGATTTTCTTTTGTGTTTACAATGTCGAGAAACATCATGTGTTGGCCAATTTCCGGGTGTTATTGAGTATTTGAAGCACAGGAATATTTCATTTGAAACCTCCGGCTAACGGCGTCGGCTCCAAATGAATTCCTGTGCTTCAAATACTCAATAACACCCGGAAATTGGCCAACACATGATGTTTATCTCCTAACTGTCTTCAGAAGAATTGATAAAATTGGAAATTTTAACTATAAATTGTATATTTATATACTTATCCTATCTCACAATATGCACCTCTCTTCTTCTTCTACGACCATGTGTGGAAACGTGCTGTAGGCTAAGTTGAATCAAAGCATTCTGGCCTCTACCCCCCTGACCTCTGCCCCCACTCCGATAGCACGACCTGTCAATCATCTCATAAGCATGCCGGTTGCTCAGATGATCACGTAACGCTCTGTGCCTGTCATTCTCGTCTTGGAGCTTCCAGTAATCTGTGATGTGGGGCAGGTCGGGTGTATATCCATTGCGTGAGATAGGATAAGTATATAAATATACAATTTATAGTTAAAATTTCCAAATTTTAAACTTATCCTATCTCACGGTATGCATTATCCCACGGTTGGCAGGTAGGCCGCAGATTACCCTGTGTCAACTCTACAACCGTGAGGTCGCATAACACAAGGAGGCCAGGAGAAAGCTGCTACCAACTCCCGATATGCTAACTCCGAACTTGTGATGGGTTGCTTCGCATAACCCCTTAGCTTACACAGCACAAAAACTCTAGGGAGTGGGCGGTCCCGAATTAATGTGGTTTTCACCCGCAACTTTTGACAAGCAAAAGGACACAGTTTGGCAAGTACCGGTAGAGCTCGCCTCCCCACAATTTATCAAGTGACCCCAGCGAATTAAAGTCGAAGACCTTAATCTGGACAGTCCCTGCTTCGAAACTATCCCCCACAGACACACGCTGAAAGGAGGTGAAAGAGGGAATAGCCCGGTTGCTCAACTCGTTTAACGTTCGGTACCAATCTCCCTAACGTACCAAAGTTGAGAAAGGACTTAGGAGCGGAACACCTTGAAAACCAAGCAGGTAATCGGAAATCAACACTACACTGACGTAATTGCTCAGAGAGTAGAGGTCAGTAAGCGGAGTGTCAACCACCTCTGCGTGTAGCACAAAGACTGGCCTCTCAGTCTATCGAGTCATGGGTATGATAGTGCAAACACGCCCTAGTTCCCTAGGTGAGGTGGTCTATGCCCAAATATAATCCATACCAATAAGAAAGATAGGACCAATATCTTTCATGATATAAATAATGCAAGACCTACACGAAGATAGGAACTGCATCTTATCTGCGTTTGTGAGCCGACGACAACTGCTGCGCCAGAACCAATGGATCTAGTCGGTGAAGACCTTCCACGTCAGTGACAGACAGATCCGGGAGGTAGGGTGAGACGAAGACCGTGTCCAATCTCCAAAAACAACCCTCCATGATGCCGTGAAGGGAACAGTTCTATGTAGCGCCATCGTAGAGGTCAAGGCTCTTGTCTCATGAGGGTTGGCTGAAGTAGGAGGAGGAAGGTCAGCATAGGCGTAGACATGAAGGATGGTAGATCGCATCCAGAATGCCAGTGTGGTACGAGAGACTTCTGTAGATGAGGCAGGCGACAGAGAAATAAACAGTCTCTTGCGTAACCTACGACGGAGCTTGGAGGCAGCTAATAGACCCATAAAGTCCGGACAGGACATAGGGAGAGATCCTCGGTGTCGTCAGGGCCCAGAATAGTAGACAGCGGCAGGAAGGCGAATAGTCTGTCCGGCTGTCCAGGCAACTGGTTTCAGTGATGAGATCCCACCTCAAACCAGGGAGGACTTTGGACCGGGTGACATCCAGTGCGTGAAGCTCGGAGATGCAGGCAGCAGTCGCAAGAGCCAGGAGCAAAAAAGTCTTAAACGTGACATGCTTGAAATCCTTCTCTGCCAGAGGTTCATACTCCTCTGATGTGAGATGATTAAGAACCACGGAAAGGTCCGAGATTGATCAGCAACTTTGTAAGATCTGAGGAGAGACTGGAGCTCAGGGACACTTGACACCTTCGCACCCGTAGCCGGCGCAATAACTGTGTTACGCATGGCCAGGTATGTAGACAAGGTAGAACCCTTCAATTCCTTGGAAGTTCTAGGATGCTGGAGGTACTCCGCGACCATCTGCGGCGATGCTGTAGTGGGAGTTATAATACCCATCGTCTTGCAGTACGCTTCAAAATTCTTCCATAGTCATCACAGAGTGGCCTGGTAGAAGTTCGGTACGCCGTGGTAGCGACTTCGCTTGGAATATCCCAGTTAGCGATTCATGTAAATGCACCGCTTGAAGATATCCCTTGCAGTTAGCGATTCATGTGAAGATGCACCAGGCGTGATCGGGGAAGTGGTTAAGTGTGGCGGAGACCAATGCAGCTGAAAAGGTGAAGATGAACCAAAAGATCGGCGTGATCGGGAAGTGGTACTGGAAAATTGGTCAGGGGATGGCTAGAGCGTCATGTTCCCAGGCCAAAGGATCCGGGATCAGGGACACTAATATTGGAAGCTGGTGATGGAAGCGGGTAGCAAACAGATCCACTGTCGGGTTAGACATCGGAAGGCACAAAGTCTGGAACACCTGCAGATGCAGTTTCCACTCCATCGGGTATGGTCGAACCAGACGGGACAAAGAATCTGCAATGGCGTACTTCACCCCTGGGATGTGATTGGCCTGGACCGTGATGTTGAGAGAGTCCACTAAGTGGGAAAACTGTTGTGTCCACTGAAGAAGCTGAGGAGATCCCGTGGATCCCATTTGATTGATGTGCCACACGACTATTGATGTGACATGCGCGGTCTGCGGGAGACCACATCCCTGCCACCTGCTGATCGAGAAAGTGAGCTCCCCACCCGTGTAGAGAGGCGTCTACGTACAGGTGATGTACTGGAGCAAACGGCCTTAAAGAGACTTCGCTGCAAACATTCAACACATCCAAACACCACTGGAGATGGGGATGGAGCACTGGAGAAAGAAAGATCAAAGCGTGAGGGTCGCCGATCCTGATGTGCGGACACAGAAAATATTAGAGAGGCCGTAGTTGAAAGCTTTCCCCTCAGAGTCACAACTTGAGCTGATGTCAACAGAAAAAGGTCTTGTAACTGACGAAGAATCTTGGGTTGCAAAAGCACTAGGGGTACCATAGAAACTCCAGCGCAGACATTCAGTTCGTTGAGCCACCACTGAAGGACTGGACAAAGCGGTTCTGGAAGGCGACTTAATTCCTTTGGCCTCGAGATATGGGCGTAGAAATCGCTGTATCGGCCGAAGTAGGAGATGGCCTCTGTACGTTGGGGCTTGAGCTGATAACTACTCCCACTGACAATCAAATAATGTCTAACTGAGAGAACAACACACGTCCACTCGGTGTAGCGACAAGAAAGAGAATGACAGGCACAGAGCGTTACGTGATCATCTGAGCAACCGGCATGCTTATGAGATGATTGACAGGTCGTGCTATCGGAGTGGGGGCAGAGGTCAGGGGGTAGAGGCCAGAAAGCTTTGATTCAACTTAGCCTACAGCACGTTTCCACACATGGTCGTAGAAGAAGAAGAGAGGTGCATACCGTGAGATAGGATAAGTTTCAAACTAACAATATCATAACCTACAAAGACAAGCTTTAAGATTGTTTCATGTTTACAGAAAAACGCTATGACAGGGGAAGCATATGGGTTGCAGAAAGCATGGGGTGTTATTTCGAATTCCCAAGAGATTTCCTAGCCTCAGACAAGAAGAAAACAAATTTAAAACAAAAAAAAAACTAACATGGAAATTCATGCCAATGGCTATCTAAAGTAATTTATTAACAAGCATCACTTTGATTTTCCTCACAATCATAAATAGAATCCAGAACAATTGTATATCTTAATTATTGCTTACAAAGACTTCAGCATTATGGTCGCCTTGTGTTTGTTACCAGTGTTGTTTCTGGAGAAACCCATTCTAAATGGCTGGTCATTGTGGGGAAGTGGGAAATTAGCTCCGTAAAGATTCCAAAGTCATAAGAAGCTAATTACAATTATAATTTACAAGAACAAAATATCATGGGCTGGCCATACAGAGTCGGTACAATCCTCTGGGCTGAGGACTAGAGCTAACTGGCGCTGGGGAGTTTAAACCCTACTGCCTAACATTTTGATGATGATGATTGATGATGATATTGAGATTTAACATGCGCAATCCGACATAATGTGTATTTCGTACACAGGCCTGCCAAGCCATTTAGAATTTGAAAGAAAGAGGGGTGATTTAACCGAAAGATATGCCAACCTGAAGGGGTGTTAGTGTTGCATAACTAAAATTGTATGAATTTTGAATTTCGGGATGGTTTGGTCTATATTTCTTTTCTTGTCCAGTGAACTCTGGAGCACCATTCTGTGTTGTTGGTAGTGTACACAGTGTAGGACATGTGCAGACATTTCTGTTTTGTTGCAGTGTGTGCATTTGTCTCTTTGGTGTTTCTTTTATTTTATATTGATGGGAATTTAATTTTGTGTGACCTGTTTGTAATTTGGTTATTGCCCTGTCAATAGTTTTAGATTTATGGTAGTTTTTTAGTTTTTTTAGTTAATCCTAACTGAACTGGCACTAATCTTGTTGACACATATACTGGATGCTTGGATGATTATGGTATTACAATAGGCACACCTACATTGGGCTAAATCTTAATGAGCCTAAATTGAAGTTTCTGGATGATGTTATTCTAATATTATTAAACAGTGCTACTAAACAAACACAGCTTTTGTCTTACTGAAAAGTGTGTCTAAAAGAAAGTCCTTATTACCTAAGTCTATGATTTATCTAGAAACATCTTTTAACTATGTAGTCGTAACTTATACCTTTTTGAATAGTATGTCTCTAAGATGAGTTGTAATTACTTTAGACAGTTGTCTTTTTCTAAGCTATTACGGATCATTGTATAACTTATATTCTATATTCACATTTTCCTAATATCTGAATCCAAATATATCGCTTGTAGTAGTAATAAGTTATAAAGAATTTTTGTATAAATTATTACTTCATGATACAACTCTGACTGAAAAAACACCTTTGTGTGACAAGTACTCACACTTCCTGTATAAATGTTGACATTAAAGTTCATTTTCATTCAAGCTGTGAATTAATTTTCAGGCATATAGGAGATACAGCATATTCAGTTCTGCCATATTTCCTTATTACCATCTTAGCACCAAGCATTGAGATCCCTTGATTAAATCTGATGTTGAGTTCCTTGCACAAATATATCCATTATCTCTTTACCTCACAAACACATCTTTGCTGACATTTTCTCTAGGATATCAAATACACATGAGGTCTTTGCCAAGGAATAGTGCATACAAGTGTGACATCTCACTTACTGAAGTAATCATATATCTGTCATGAGCCTATATGTGACTCACCTTGGGCACCACACATACACATTCTAATTAGAATTTAATCAAAACAGTACAGAATAGAATTATTTTCAAACAAGTCTACTCATTGCTTTACAAACTCCAACAGACAGGACCCAAAGAGCAAAAACATGTTGAACACATAAAGAAAACTATCAATTACAAACGTGAATGGTGACATGTTTTGGTTACATACTCAGTGGCTCAAAAGGTTATCTGGAGCAATGTATGGAACATATTTGTGAAGTGTGTCAATAATCTGAGTCTGTATATTCCTAATATCTGAATCTAAAAATACTACTTGTTGTAGATCTATAATTAATAATGTATAAAAGTTACTCCATGATACAGCAAAATCTGGATGGTATCTTTCATACAAATATCTAGACAATACTTTGATGCATTTTCACCCCTTAAGATGTCCTCCTCAAACATGATTAAGAAGGTACCTTGCTGGTCCCCAGCTTTATGGATTCCGATTGTCCAATCTTACCCAGACAAATTGATATCTGTTCTTCAACAGGAAATATAAGAAGTGTGAAAGGACATAATGTTTGACAAGTAATCATGATACACTGATCATACTGCATAACTTCCCATACTTCTTTGGTACCACTGCAGGAGCCTGAACATGGTTGTTGAGTACTGAAAGATTTATGGAGACTTAAAGATATACAGCTAACTATTTATCCTCTTTACTGGTAGGCTACATACAAGGTAATGTCTCTAATTTATAACAAAAAAATGTGGTCAAAGGTGATTTTGGTGTTATCTCTTACTTCCAAACTTTCGACAGAAAATTATATGCCTGTCACAAATATAAAAGAAATATCTTAAGAGCATTTTGGGTGAGTATCAATCAGTCAATGTCTTAGAGTTTGAATCAATATTCGAGCTGTATGGAACGTATCTGATTCAATTCAAAGGGTTCTAGTAGTTATTTCCCTCGCCCACTGTACATGACACGATGTGAGTTGAGCCTAAACCTTTGTCAAATTATTTATCGTCGACAAACGTCACTAAATGGGACATACAGCCAACTTCATCTCTTAATATGGGCCTATGATATTGCTTCTTGTTATGGTTGCTATGCAATCTGACAGATCTGCAACCGTCAACATCATTTTGTGTCAATATGTACTCACACTCGAGTGCAAATTCTCAAAATATTCATCTTCTTCGCGCATATAAAGCCATAGTTTATAAAGACCATATGCTGCAGCAATCGTAGCTGTCCCACCAATAACATATACAGCCGGTTTTGAAGTCAGCGCGCTTTTCAGTTCTCCACCGACCTCCATGTTGACAACTCTGATGTTATAATTAGAACAGAAACAGGTCATGTGACTTCAATAACAAAATAACGCATAGAAATTCACTAATGCTTAATTAGTTCAATTGTAATTTTGTTCAATATTCAACGGCATTTAAGCAGAATATTTTTGTTTCCAAAGACATAATGACGCGTATTTACAAAACTGGCTCAACTGACATTGACTTTGCGCCACAAGCTCCTCGCAGCGATAACCCGTTCGATGAGTTTGTGATACTGTTAGCAAGCCTGGTTTTCGGTGTATGCTGCGCTGACGATTCAGTGGAAACGTGGAAACGGCGTAGCGATTACTAATGTAATTCTGCTTTTGGCACCGAGTGTTTAGCGATTTAATTCGCCTGAGTGTGTTTGTGTATGATGAAAATTAGATTTTGCTGTTTACATCCTTTGACCTAAAACAGAATCAGCTTTAGAGTTTGTCATTGTTATCTTCATTGCTATCACGTAATTTCCCGTCATGGGGGTAATATAGATGATTAAATGTCTGATAACACTATGCCCGAGGTCAAAAAGGTGTTTATAGGTCACAGCACTACCGTTCAACGCTCGTTCTCTGATGTACATGTAATTTCCAAATGGGTTATAATTATCTACCCTGTGTTGTCAGTAATATTCATTCAAACTTTTTCATGTCGTCTATTGGTGTCAGGCAAGGAGAAAATCTGTCGCCGATTTTGTTTTCATTATTTATTAATGATATAGTAGAAGAACATTCTTCTATTGATGACTTGGGAGTTGTTATTTCTCATGTACCTTTACTTCTGTTGTTATTTGCGGATGATATGGTGCTCTTTAGCAATAGTGTTAAAGGTTTACAAGACGGTTTGGATATGATGTTTACGAAATGGGGGCTTGACCATAAATACTGAAATAACAAAGGTTTTTATTTTTCGTAAAGGAGGTAGACAAGGCATAGCTGAAAAGTGGTCCTATAATGGTTCACCTCTTGAGGTAATCAATAGTTTTAAATATCTTGGTTTAGTATTTTCAACAGGTGGCAGTTTTTCACAAGCTCAGAAAATCCTATCAGAACAAGGTTTGAAGGCACTTGGTTCATTGTACAATATATTCAATGATAATGCGTACATTACTCCAGATATTCAGTATCAGTTATTCCAATCAGTTGTTTTTCCTATTCTCTCATATGGTTGCGAAGTTTGGGGCTTTATGGAAGCTAATGCTATCGAAAGGGTACACTTGAAATTTATGAAACATATATTATATGTCAACTCCATCAACTTTCTTATATGGAGAATTGGGTACATTCCCTTTGAAAGTTAGTCGTCTTGTCAGGATTATCAAATATTGGCTTAAGATTTTGAGAAGTAAACCAGATAGATATATAGTTTTGATATACAATTCATTATTGAATAGTTCAAATGAGAACCCTGATGTTGAAAATTGGTCAAGTTCATTGAGAGATACGTTCTTCGGGTTTGGTTTTGGTTATATTTGGGTTGCCCAATATGTTCCTGAAAGTTGTGATTTTGTGAGAGAATTTACACAAAGGGCTAAGGACATTTATTCTCAAATGTGGAAACATCAGTTATCAACTCTGAGTGAAACTAGATTGTATATTCATATTAAGGAAACTCTGTGCATCGAGAAATATTTAACTAATATTGATGTTAAGAAGTACCGAATTGCGTTTACACGTTTCCGACTCAGTTCACATATGCTTATGATTGAAAAAGGACTGACTGACTGAGTTTGGTTTTACGCCGCTTTTAGCAATATTCCAGCAATATCACGGCGGGGGGACACCAGAAATGGGCTTCACTCATTGTACCCATGTGGGGATTCGAACCCGGGTCTTCGGCGTGACGAGCCAACGCTTTAACCACTAGACTACCCCACCGCCCTTGAAAAAGGAAGATGGAGTGTGCCTAAAATCCCACTTGCTGATAGCTTATGTCCCTTTTGTACTAACGAAATAGAAGATGAGTACCACGTACTCTTGATTTGTCCAAAATATCGAGAAATACGTTAACAGCATTTAAGTAATACTTTATTGGAAAATATAAGTATGTTTCAGTTTATCAAATTGTTAAAATGTGAAAACAGTTCTGAAATATTGAAAGCTGCAAAGTGTATTTATTATATCTTAAATGAAAGAAACAAAATTGAATTTTGTAAATCGTTCACACATATCCTCACTATTGGGCAATAATGATAATAACAATATGTTTGCTCTCTATATACGTACCTCGCCATGTGCACAGCATATTCAGTATATTTATATTGTATTGGTCTTTGACCTAATAAAAATCTTGTCTTGTCTTGTCTTGTCTTGTCAAAGATTACTACACAAAGAATTAAGAAGCTTATAAAATAGCCATAATGTTGCGTCACAGAGTTGATTTTAATTACAGTTTTAGCCGATGGTCAAACGCCGGTGCAAACAGCGCCCAGTTACAGTATTTATGATTACGATAAGCTTCTGTGAACGCTACGTTTGTTCAGCGGCTATATGAACGAGATATATTTGACCTGTGGCTTGCAAATATAAGAATTTCCCTTGTGGCCACTAATTTTTCAAAAATGTTTTTAACGTATCAAGGGAGTTCATTGCCTTGTTACAAGAACCCAGTTTATGAAAAACATACACTTTGTAATGCCACTGGCCAAGTGTAACACTTAGAATATATATCTGGGATTACACAAACTGCATTACCTTAGTAGAATTAGAGATCGAACTCAAAACACTTTTCTGTTGACCAAGTGTCATAACTGGTCTCCGTCTCTTAATGTAATGGTAAGAAAGCGCAGAGAGATTTGGGAACCAGCTGAAACTAATGTTAGCGTGGTTCCCAGCTCTGCGCTTTAACGTTATTTAAGAGGCGGAGCCAAGCTAAAGTCATTCCATCAGAGAATTACAGGCACTTATGTTCTAATGCGCAACCGCTGAGCGAACGCCTTCAGTGTGTCCCCCATAATCCGGCATACAGCCATTTTGGTGAGAGTAGTGATAATTTTCCTTTCTAATAGTCTTATACAGTGGTACACAAACTAACCACGATAAGTTCGATCTACACAATACTCGTATGCCATTGTCAACATGATCGACTCATTTTCGCGAATAATGGCAGTGGCACTAATCTTCTTTAGTGTCAAATTGTAACCTAGATAAACATATGCTTCATTGACTCATGAATCCTTTGGACTCAGGGGATACATGATCATGAGATACCAAACAAATATGCTTATTTTATTAGGTACAGCTTCGAGTTCCCTTGGTCTGACGTGAAGGATGTTCGATAACACCGGAACTGACACAGGGCGAGGGGCTTAAATCTGAATATCTCTGATTCTCTGCCAAATGCAAGAAAATAAAAATGTATGTCCCTTTTCATGGATTCCAAATATGGAGTGTCTGTTGAACAGCATAGTAAACCTTTCGACTGCAACCCCTATTTTAAAGTTTTTGCTGACAAAGTCTCAACCCAACTGAACCCTCTCAGTCATTACCTCAAAAGTCGAATTCTGACAACTGACAACTGTTAGTCTAGACTAGTCTCTGAAATGAACATATTTTACTGAAAAAAGTTCATAGTGAAAAAAAAAAAATATAATGAAAAGGAGCCCTGAGACTTTCTTCATTTCCTGAAGCTGAGGAAATCTAGACTTGCCACATTTTCTAGACTTGTGTGGGCTTTCTTGGATATATTTGCTTCAGGGTGTGTACGACAGACTAAGTCCAGACCACTTATCTGTGTTCCTCCCGACAACTGTATATTAGGCACAGTGGAGATCCAAATGGATTTTATGTGTGTTCAGACCTTAGTCTGTTTTTGGTACAGGAAAACCAAACAGACAGCATGAAACTGCACTTCCAGCTTTGCAACACAGACTGCATTTATGAGTGTAATTCAGGTCATTTGTAAAGATAATGTCATACTTAGTAGGTCGATCTACAAAGAATAGTTTTGTGCACTCACTGCACGAATTAGGTTTTTCCTGTACGTGTCTCTACCATGGAGCCTACTGAATGCATATTTCTGTATAATAATACTGTCCTTTTTCTGTCTGATAAATTTCAGAGAGTTGAAACCACATGAATCTCATATGTGTTCGTCATTTTGCAGCGTTTAGCTCTCCAACTGCAATCACAAACAGAAGCAGGCAAATGACAAAGAGAATATGGTCAGCAATATATTCCGGAGACTGTAGATTGATGGGGTCAGGGGGAGTACCTACTGACACACACAGACATAGCCAATGACAATGAGTAACAACAGGTGCTTGCCTCCTGGTGACCAATCAGCTGGGAGCGTTTTCAACATTTGTCGGGGAAGGGATCGGTACAGCCAGTTCGAGGATGATGATATCCTGGATCACACTCCTCCACCACTTGACTTCCCAACACCAATCAAGTTTGAGCCAAGAAAAAGCAAATTTCATTTTCTGCTAGAGAAAGAAGACCGAAAAGGTATGTGATACATGTCACTACATATGCTTGTTCATGATTTGGAATCAGACAAAGCTGTTTGAGCAAATGCACCTGGAGCATCTGCACCGATAGAAATGAAATAATAGATACCAAGGATATATCTAGACCTGCACAGGGGCTGATATTTGGCACTAAGTCTGCAGCAGATGACAATACAAATTCCCAGTTTGAGCTAATTATTTCTCATGTCTTCTGTATTACAAAATATCATTATTTATAAATGAAAAAACAAACATATTTGGAACTTCTTAAATGTGATTCCACCACTGACATCTCTGGGACAGGTTCTGTTTTCCCATTACTGGTATATTGCTGTTATAGGACTGCACGCTATTACCCGTATGCCCGTATATTGCAATATGCTTTTCAAACGATACCTATTGCAGTATCTTTTCTGAGAACTGGTATATTGGGTAGAGAACATACATGAAGTTTTTGTGATTATCTTTTGGTTTATATTAAAATCTACACAGACTTTCATTCACAACAAATGTTTTCCTTCGTTATTCAATGACAGAACAGCTTACTGTAATCATGGTAATGCAATAAATTGTATAAAAAGGAAATAGAACCCATGACTGTGCAATGTAAGGTGTTAAATCATGCAACTCTCCTTAATACAATTCATTTCTTCATGTGCACTGTCAGCACAGATTCCTAATTCAATGTCTAGAGGTGTGACGATACAGAAATTTTATGATACGATACGTATCACGATATCATAGAACGATACGATTCGATACGATGCATATTACGATATGCTATCTTTAGTTATTTTCTTTAAAAAAGTGTATTTTGATAACAAGAAACAGTGTAAATTTTGACATAACCGTCAATTTCTGGTGAAAATTCACAATTTAAAGGTCAACGATACATATCACCATACGGAAAAAAGTATCGATATATTTATTGTCAGAAAAAGTATCACGATTATCGATACTACGATATATCGTCACAACTCTATCAATGTCTGTCGTCAACATCTATAAACACTGGTTGAAATGTTGTTCTCTGGATGCCATCTCCCACAATACCTCAGTGATTTCCTCTGCAAATATTCTTTTGACATCTTCTTTGAGTATCATTTTAGAAGTTGGGAAGTACAACATTGAAAAAACTTTATGGATAACAACTTTTATTTCGCAAGTGCGACATTTCGATACAGATTTTTGTGCTATTGTCAAGCGGGAATGTTCAGTATTCTTTTGACATCTTTCAGCTTTTCACAAGATTATTTTTAATGGCTACATATTGTTATGTGTTCCCAAATAAGTTGAGTTGGGTTCAGATCCAGTGATATGGCAGGAGACTTTTGACCACATGGACTTCATATTTTAACTGACTGTCAATCTGATAAGCTGGAGGAGGTGGTTTTGAACATTCTGAAAGGATGATCTGGTGCAACTCTGGGTTAGTAGCTAACTTGGATATTCTACACCATGATCACTGAGCCAGGCAACCCTGTCACCTGTCCTTGATGAAGATGATGGGCAACTATTGTATGGGGCATTGTCCATACCAACAGATTTGTGAGACAATTCTGAGATCAGCTCTCCGTAACATTACATGATTACAGCAGAGTTTATCTCTGAAGAGTAGCTACGCCCGGCCTGCTACGCCCATCAGCTTATTTCAATCTGAATACCTGATCATCATCATTGATGATACAAAATGTTATTATTATGCTAAAACTTTATTTTCACTGTGCACTATGTCTGAGATACTAAAGTTTGTAACATGCAAATGCCAACCTGCTGTATCATCTGTATATGGGCCGGAGGTCACACATGCGGAATAAACAATTGAATTGAATACCTTATCACAACCAGAAATAACAACCAGGCAGAAATAATAGATGTTATCCTCATGCAGTGTAATTAGTCTCCTTTCTCAGTGGGTGTCTTATAACATTGTAAACCAAAAGTCACTGTGTTCTTTAATCTGATTGGTTGAAAAACGTGATCAAATGGTATTCGATTCCTGGAAATTCGCTGCGTATTAATACATACAAACATCGCTCACACCATTGTATTGTTACGTCGTCAGCTGTGAATACGCCATTAAAATCATATTGTGACGTAAAGTCCAAATGAAAATGACGTCACAAATGAGCAGTTCCAGATGCTACCATCGGAGACAGCCGAAACGGCCGTCTGATGACATTTCACTGCCGTACCCGTACTCAATGTCAATGAGTGCAGACACAAAAACGTGTGTGGACCTTTTGTTTTACTTTTGTGTTTACAATGTCGATAGTCATCATGTGTTGGCCAATTTCCGGGTGTTATTGAGTATTTGAAGCACAGGAATATTTCATTTGAAACCTCCGGCTGACGCCGTCGGTTCCAAATGAATTCCCGTGCTTCAAATGCTCAACAACACCCGGAAGTTGGCCAACACATGATGTCTATCTCCTAAGTGAATGCCACCATTGAAAGGATGATGTGTGCATTGACCCAGGTTTCACCCAACCGTATGACTTTATACCACTATTTCCTTTTTCTGGGATAACCCATATGTAACGTTCTGTCCCTGTTGCCTGACATACAGTCTCCTAGTAGCCTCCATCAAGGAAACATGATCTCTGTCATGAAATTACATAACAATGAAGAAAAATGTTTAACATTTTGTCAGTGTTTGTTGGTTTGCTGTTTAAATTGGGGATTACCAACTCTGAAACTGATTATTCTTGTTAGGTCAAATGATACAAAACATTTATCAAATTCTATCACATACAAACATACTAAGATGAATGATATTGCTAAAACTCGGGTGGCAAAAGTATGGATTATGGGGATCGTAACAGGATTTAGTGGTTGGTCAGACTCTGTGTCTTGATTGAAAACATGTCATCATTCACTGATCTTTGCTCATAATGTACTTGACTGGATTGTGTGATCCAGATTTGATTATGTACGAGCTGTTGAAATAGGGTTGGAATATTGCTGCTGAGCACAGCATTAAATAAGAAACACACTTGTACTGCACATCAGTTGACATTTTGATCCAAATTGTATCAAACTACACTGAATATAGATGTATATGCTTCGTGAATTTCAAGGTTTTCTTTTCTTTCTCAAGATGTTGGCCATGGGATGCAGTCAGGTGAATGGGCAGCACCAAAAGTAATCCTGAAGAAGCCATGCAAGATTGGTGGTGAGAAACTGAAGCAACAGTTATTGATGTCGGCTGATTCCAGGCGAGCTAGTATTGATGGGAGTTCTCCTCATGGGAGCATTGAAGTACATCCTGCGTCAGTAGAAGCTGTTCAGTTATTTCAAAAAGCTCAACAAGCTGAGGTGTACAAACCCATGACTGTACCAAGAATGTTTCGCAGTCAATCTGATACATCACTGTTCCAGTCTGTAGCTGGTGCTCTGAAGCTAAGGGGAGATAACTCCATTGTGAAGCCAAACAACAATACTTCAGTGATCAGTACATCTGCGGAGAATAAGTGTTATCAGGTGGACAAAAACCCTGGGACATTTCAAAATGAAGACATGCATGATGAAGTGAATAAGTCCAGTGTTTCAGTGTCATCTAAATTCAGCGGTTGGTTATTTGGTGGTAATAAGAAAATAGATGTGAAAGATACGGACATCAATGTGTTTAGTCCAACTTCATACTGAAGGTTTCACTTCTTAATTGTCCTAGAACATTCATAAGTTTATGGACAAAAATCCTCTTGATGAGATTATGTAGTTATCAGGCAAAATATGTCTGCATGGAGTCATAATTAATCCTGTGTTAATACTGAATGAATAGCATTTGTCTACAGAAGTTTATAGGCTGGGGTGCAAACCTAAAAAAATACCATGGGTTTCCCATTAGTCTCCCATTGGCTACTCCTCGGCAGTGGAAATGTTATCTGCCCATGAGTGACAGGACTGTAATGGCTATGGGTGCCTGGCAAGAGCCTGGCGATGTCAAAGGTTAACCTTGGCCCTTACTAATAGAATAGACATGTGCCTTATAGTAAATGTCCTGACAACCCTTTCACTACATATTTTGATGACTAAAGAGATTAATTTGATAAGCATATATGAAATTCCAAATTTTACTTCAAGGTGCTTACCATTATCTACAAGTGCCTGAAGACCAACACTGCTCCATCTTACTTGTCATCTCTTCTTAACAACCATAGACCAACAAGAACCCTTAGATCACAAGATAAAGATCTGCTTATCACCAGACCATCCAGGACCAAATACGGGGACCACTGCTTTGAATGTGCAGCTCCCATGCTATGGAACAACCTCCCTATGTCGCTAAAATCCGCCCCAAGTCTACAAACTTTTCGAAAACATTTAAAGACACATCTATTTGAAATGAAATAGACTGAACTGCTGGAACTCGGCGCTATAGAAGTAGATTATTATTATTATTATTATTAAATATGTGTACAGCCCTAACCCTGCACAGCATGGGGTCAGGGGAGTGGGAATGGTGTCATTTTCACAGCCTGCCAGAAATATGAAACCCTGAATGAAACTTTTAACCCACTCACAGGTTTGTTTCTATGGAAAGCACCTCCTGTGGCCACCTGACTGATACAGTGGGAAAGTCAAATCTGGATTTATAAAAAGTGAAATATATTTTCAAAATGAATTTTTTGCAGGCTGTCTGCATCCATATATTTTACCAAGAGTCTTCATGACATACTTCTTTACACTATGGCTTAATTTCATCATGATTTTGTGATATTTCATGGAATTTACTGAATACTGTATTGCTTTGCATCGAAAGACAGCTTTGACAAGGCAAGGAGGCCACACCCCATCTGTGTATAGGTTTTAACCCGGCCTTTAAATTTGTTATTGCAATCAGTATTATTGCTTGTGGGTTGTCAAGTTAGAAACAGGTGACTGTGGGTTCTTTAGAAAGGACTGTACAGGTGCTTGTAGGTTACTTAGGAATAACCACACAGGTGCTTGTGGCTTCCTAAGGGATAACCACACAGGTGCTTGTGGCTTCCTAAGGGATAACCACACAGGTGCTTGTGGCTTCCTAAGGGATAACCACACAGGTGCTTGTGGGTTCCTTAGAGAGAATCGTACAGGTGCTTGTGGGTTCCTTAGATACTTAGAGAGAACCATAATGGGTGCTTGAGGGTACACCTTTCAATATTTAAGTTGTTACTGAATGATTTACAAACACCATCCAAAGTCTCATGTCATCTTGCCAAACAGTTTGACATCTTTACCTGTCAGAAGACTCAACCTGTTATAATTCTACACTTTTCATGATGGAAATTGTTGCTTAAAACTTTACATAGACACCATCCAAAGTCTCAAGTCATCTTACCAAATAGTTTGACATCTTTACCTGTCAGACCCAACCTGTTGAGCCCTTTCTCCTTATGCCCCCTGTAAATACCTCCCTTGAAATATTACGTGTTGTGGGTATGAAGACAGTATTTGTTGCTTTGTTGTCTGGCAGTTGACAATTTGATGTTATATCTACAGGTTTGCAGCCCAATTAGCATCACACATCCATATGTTAATAGTAAGATACTAGTTAGTCAGAAATATTTCATGTGTGATACATGAAAATGTGAGATTTACCATATCATAGGATCTTATCCATTTTGAAAGGATTAGTATAACTTAATTTAGTCAACTAGTCCAAGTGCCTATTGTATATACAGACTTTACTAACAGTATATAACTTTATTGCCAATGATCATGACACTTACCATTTCGTATGCATAACATGTATGAGTGTATATACACACACACACACACACAGTGGGTATTTCATTTTTCCTCGCTACTCCACTGCTTTCAAATATGTGCGATTCATATATATATATCATGCATTGTGTCAATACATGATATATACAAACGATATATATTTACATTGTGGAGCATGGTGTCTTATATGTGATGAGAAATACTCCGTCACCAAGTTGCTGATGTACTGGTTGTTGTCTGAAGGGATTTCTTCACTGTGAATGTGTCATTCTTCCCTGTTATCATTTATGTCAATGTTGGTTTGTTGGTTTGTTTAATGCTGCAATCAGCAATATTCCAGATATATGATGGCAGTCTGTAAATACTCGAGTCTGGACCAGACAGTCCAGTGATATGATGAAATGTGTCAGCCAAGTCAGAAAGCCTGACCACACGATCGCGTTAGTCGCCTTTTATGATAAGCATGGGTCGCTGAAGCCCAATTCTAACCCGGATCTTCATGGTCTATGTTAACAGCATGGGTCAGAGAGTATGACCACACGATCGCGTTAGTCGCCTTTTATGACAAGCATGGGTCGCTGAAGCCCAATTCTAACCCGGATCTTCATGGTCTATGTTAACAGCATGGGTCAGAGGGTATGACCACACGATCGCGTTAGTCGCCTTTTATGACAAGCATGGGTCGCTGAAGCCCAATTCTAACCCGGATCTTCATGGTCTATGTTAACAGCATGGGTCAGAGAGTATGACCACACGATCGCGTTAGTCGCCTTTTATGACAAGCATGGGTCGCTGAAGCCCAATTCTAACCCGGATCTTCATGGTCTATGTTAACAGCATGGGTCAGAGAGTATGACCACACGATCGCGTTAGTCGCCTTTTATGACAAGCATGGGTCGCTGAAGCCCAATTCTAACCCGGATCTTCATGGTCTATGTTAACAGCATGGGTCATAGAGTATGACTTTGCAGTTGGTCATATTGGTCCTTTATCAGATTGTTACTTTGGCAGCAGGACACACATATAACACATGTGTCAAGCATTTTAATTTTTTTATGTACTGGTGGTTTTGATATCTTTATTGTGTTGTTTGTGTATATTTTGTTGAGAAAAGTATTTGTTCTGCCTTGAGAACCTCCACGCACAGAATATGTCCTGTATGTTGTTTTTGGCCATCTGTTCTCTGGTATCATGATGTTATACAGTGTACTGATGCTCAAAATTGTTAATAAATCATGTGAAAGGGTGTGTTGTGTTGTATTATGTTTAGGGTTTATATTATGGAAATATTGTAACTTGAGCATATTATTATACCCCCGCTACGAAGTAATGGGGGTATATAGTGTTCATTCTGTCTGTCCGTCCGTCCGTCCGTCCATCCATCCCGAAACTTTGTCCGGAGCATATCTCTTAAAGTTTACATGCTAGGTTCACCAAACTTTACACACATGTTAATCATTACCCATTGATGTGCCTTTTGCTATTTTACATTTTTTCAGAATTTTGTTTTATTGCTGTTTCCATGGAAACACGACTTAGTGCCAAATGTGTTTTATGGTTTTGTCTGGAGCATATCTCTTAAAGTTTACAAGCTAGGTTCACCAAACTTCACACACATGTTAATCATTACCTATTGATGTGCCTTTTGTTATTTTAAAGTTTTTTCAGAATTTGTTTTGTTGTTGTTTCGATGGAAACATTACTTAGTGCAAAATGTGTTTGATGGTTACCTGGCCACAGCATATCATCAAAACTATACATGCTAGGTTCACCAAACTTAATACACAAGTTAATCATGACCCACAGATATGCCATGTGCTAAAAAATAACATCTTCATCTACGTCCACTTCATTGTGTGCAACAAGTTCAATTGTATGTCAGGTTTCCACGGAAAACACAAAAAAATAATGTTTCCATAAATTATTACTGTAATCAGTACATGGCAAAACTGTAATCTAACATGTATATAACTTTAGTAGAGTCAAGGAGAAAGTCTTGTGAGCTGCTGATCCTTGTCACATTATATATATCAATATCAGTCATTTCCATGTCCCAACGTGGGAAGCGGGGGTATGTGAGCTGTGCTCACTTCTACACTTGTTTTAATTACACTATCATGTTCAGTGAGTGGGTGTGAGTTTAGTTTTACGCCACACTCAGCAATATTCCAGCTATATGGTGGCGGTCTGAAAATAATTGAGTCTGGACCCAATAATCCAGTGATCAACAGCATGAGCATTGATCTACATTATTGGGACTCGATGACATGTGTCAACCAAATCAGCAAGCCTGACCACCCGATCCCGTTAGTCACCTCTTACCACAAGCATGGGTTACTGAAGAGCAATTCTAACCCGAATCTTCACGGTTGTGTGTTCAGTGGGGAATATTTCTGCGCCCCATTGCACAAACCGATAATCTTTATAGCCTGTTACTTGCATACCCTAACATAGACTTAAGAGTGAGTGGGCGAGTTGGACTTTACTTTGCTTTATTCAAGCAATATCACCGTAGGGGACACTAGAAATGGGCTTCACATGTTGTACCCATGTGGGGAATCGAACCCGGATCTTCCGCGTGATGAGAGAACTCTTTAACCACTACATTATTATAAACCACACACACCCCACCCCCGAAAGACTTAAGATGGTCATAGCACCACCCCATCCCGTTAGTCGTTAGTCACCTTTTAGGACTAGCAAGGGTTGCTGAAGAGAAATTCTAACTGGGATCTTCATGGGTCATTTTACTGATGGGTCCAAGGACTGCGGGAAAGTGGCCAGTTTTACAGTTGTTGGGTCAAAATGTATGTACATGTATCACCTAAAGCACCAGATGACAGATCTTGTCCCTTCCAATGTTATTTTCACCGTCTTGGAAACATATACTGAACTACTTTAAAAATGTTTCACAGGAATAAATGGTTTATGTCAGTGATGAATGAAGAAAAGATTTTGTCTCTTGAGTTTGAATTTTTTAATTAAGATGAAAACACAAGAAGAAGAAAAAAGCAGTCATTCATCATTTAGTGCAACCATTGATGGGGGTCAAACTTGAATTTCAACTGCTCAAACCATTGATGGCGTTATTCGTCAAACTTGAATGGGCACACGCGCTCAAACCTTATTGCTCACACAGTCAGTAAACTCAGTCAACGGTCAGTCACGGCTAGGGCCATCATTTACGTCGAGCACAGCCACGGCAGGGGAGGAGTGCTGTTTTGCTGAAGAAAGTTTATGCTGTCTCTAGCAGTATGGGGTCCTGCATTATCCTGTTGCAAAATGTGAAGACGTTGACCTGCCGCGATGTAGGGAACGACTGTTGTTCTCAGTACCTCCGCTGTATACGTTTGAGCTGTAACTCGACCACTACAGATGTATAGATATGTCCTGCCACGACTACCAATCCCTGCCCAGATCATAACGCTTTCACCAACCCAGCGGTTCTGCTGCTGGACTCGGCAATCAGCATTTCGTTCTCCACGTCGACGCCGTATGATAATAGAGTGATGCGTTTCTAAAGTAGTTCAGCATATCTAAGTCAGCGCGTTAACAGTTTATCAACTCATCTTATTCTCTTTGTGACCGTTAGAGAAATAATCTATGAATAATATATCTTTAATTCATCCAATTATGTTTTATATTTTATATTTTTACAATGATCTTTCCACCCACAACTATGGCATCCTCTTTTGTCGGTCTCCCCGTCATAATGGGTAACACGGCTAATGCTGCAGCAGAACCAACACTCGACACATCTGTGAAACCACCCTGTTATTAGATGTTACGTCCCAGACCTTAGGCAGATGAAGTTGGACATAGAAGGAGGGACTAATAAACTTCATGATATCAGACAAACTGTTGGTTTCACTTGTCTGTCAGTCCAGAATTGAAGAGGTCTTTATGCACGATGTCGTATTGGCCATTCTCGTTATACTCTCGAATGGTTTTTTAAAGGTGAGAACATAATATCTTTCAATTTCTGTGAAAAGAATATTTTACATACTGTCAATGTTCATTTAATTCTTGACTTTTTAAGAAAAATGGTCCTAACAGATCATTTAGCTATAGCTGATGTGTGTTTCGGTCACGCCAAGCCCTGCGCATTTTTATTATGTTGAACAAATAATTATACAAACTATTAAAAACTTATGTCAGATGTATTTGCTAAATGACGTTTTATTGTATTTTCAAACTTATAGATTCACTTTGTAATTTACCTAGAGTCGTATTCCAGCGATGGACCATGGGTCAATCTGGTGGAATAATTACTCTTTATGTATGAAACGTGATTATGTATCTCCGATTTCACATTTTATCACTTGGGCGTTCATCTGAGGTCTATTAACGGACACAATGCAGTCTTTTACTGTCTATGCTGTTAACCAACAGTTTCACTCTGAAACTCTGAAGCCCTGTAAGCATTAATGAACAACAAAACATATGTCAGCTTGGCTGGATCTCCTTATTGTATATCCTTTGATACTACATATAGATGTTGACAACACCACTAGGTGTCGCTTCTTGTAGAGCAGAGGGTATATAGCAACACAAGTCAACCAGACGAAGCATTTGTCATACTGATCCATACTTCAAATGTTGTGTTTACCTTTGAGAAAAAGGGCAGAGCACCATGGTTACCGTTCAGACGTCTCAGTTCCAGATCTGCATTCCACGACTCGTCGGTAAGAACTTTTGCAATGAAACTATTTTTGAGTATTAAATGACAATGTCATACTGCCCCCTGAGTTTAGACACTGAATACTGCAGCATCAAAAGTCTAAGTACTTGGCAAATGCAAACAGTTCGAATTAGTATACAGCACCGTAATCTGCATATTATTGAATCACTATATTACTTACTATACCAATAGTTTAAACACTAAACTATCGATCACTTTGTTATTAACACATGTTTATTAACCACCTTTGATAACACGCATGTTGTATACACCTTTAAGATCCCCGCACAGCTGTTAGTGCAAACTTACTATTGATAAAACGACACACGTCACTTAGCCAGAAGCGCACCAACGTCGCAGAGGACCCGCTGTTGCCATCGAGAATCAATGACAACTTGGAGCTCGTTGTAGTCAGCGCGGCTAATATCAATGCTGCTGACAGAGTTCATTGGTGTGGGCCACCAGCACCTACAACGCTGTACTAAGCCAACAGGTAAATATGGCATGAAATTGAATCGCGATGGTTCCATCGGAAGGATATGACTTTTAAAGGGTGGTTCGTAAAGCCACTGTGTCCGGACTTTGCGGCGTGTTGTGCGACCACCATGATACTGTTCAGGTAAGAACGTGTTCCGTCTGAAGGTTAAAGGACTATGCAGCTATGTAGTGGTGGGACGTGTCACATGTTATTACGATCGGTCTGGGAGAATAAAGAGCAACTATTACAGTGCTCAGGCCTGGAGTGCATCAAGCTTGTGTATTCTGGAGTAATGATGTGTTATCATAGCATGTTCTGGTAGGGAATACGTATGTTTAGAATGTTTTGGTGTTGTATATGGAACTATTTTAAATGCAACGTTGATGCGCTTCTATATAAGTGACGGTCTGTTGTCAATAAAGGGTAGGTTTTTTTATTGGTATACGTGTGTGGATCTGTCATTTAGAATCAGCGTTTTATTGGTATACGAATGTGGGTCTATCAAAGAGGATCAGCGTTGTGATCATATACATGTATGCGTCTATGATTTGTGATGTCATTGCGTGGTATACGTGGGTGCTTGATGGGAATTTAGAAGTTGGAAGGTAACATATGGATTTACAACTTCTTTAATATTTACAACACGGCGTTTCTGGGCTACTTCTTGCCCCTTCATCAAGTGGATGACAGAATATGGTACGAGCAAAATATATAGTATGTACAGGAAGCCAGTGAGAAAGTATTACCGATGAGATGTACAGAGATAAAGTGATGCGTTTTGAATGAGATTTGCAGAGTTCAAAGAGATTAAGTGGTATGTTTTTGCAATGGATGTACAGAATGTTTATACAATGATAAGGATAAGAATGATAGGATTGAGGACAGGATGGTTGGAAGCCACTTATGAAAACAGTGATAGGAAAACACATATATGAAAACACACATCAAAGCATGTACAGTGATTTAAGGGGAACATGGGAAAACATGTACACTGAAAGCTTATTATTCTATGCACAACGCATTTGGTAGGAAAACACCCTGATCCCTGTTCATTTCAGGTTTGGCGCGGTGGATCCAGATGGCCTCCATCAATTTCCTCTTCCGGCAATTGCTGATGTTGATCGACGGCCAAAATGTCAGTGTCATCCCAATTGATAGAATGGCTGGGATTTTTTATCACATGTTCTGATAAGGCTGATTTCATGTCCGAGTTTTTCACCGATGCTTTGTGCTCTTTCATAAGAGTACATACAGGCCTGCCTGTTTCACCTATGTAGGCTCGTACCATATTCTGTCATTCACCCGATGAAGGGGCAAGAAGTAGCCCAGAAACGTCGTGTTGTAAATATTAAAGAAGTTGTAAATCCATACCATACGTTGTTATGTGGTATATGTGTATGGCATAACTAGGAAATATATATGGTCGACTTCATCTGCCAATTCAGGTATTTCACATATGTGACACACTAGGACGACGGTACAGTCATATACTGACTCGGGTATGTAACATGTGAGATACTCAAGAACGATATAATTTATATCATCCACAAATGCAAGTATATAATGCATGCACCTTTCCAGTGCTGCTTGTTACTCTGGTCAGAGATCAGTTACATTGAGGGCGGTGGGGTAGCCTAGTGGTTAAAGCGTTGGCTCGTCACGCCGAAGACCCGGGTTCGATTCCCCACATGGGCACAATGTGTTTAGCCCATTTCTGGTGTCCCCCGCCGTGATATTGCTGGAATATTGCTAAAAGCGGCGTAAAACTAAAACTCAGTCAGTCAGTCAGTTACATTGAGTACTCAGATAAGGAACACAGAGACTTTGCTTCACTGAGCGACCATCACACAAACACCGAGCCATTGCCAGTTCTTACCGGTTACATTATTGGACTCATCTTGATCCCATTTCAGATTACGGAGACGGCGACTGCGAATGTTGTTCCTGTACGCCATCAGTGTCAGCCTCGTCATTGCCGTGATCCTGCGAATGCGCATGAAGAGGACTCAAACAGCAGACCACTTAAACCGTGAGCATAAACAACCAATCGCTGAAGAAGTCGTGAATAACGTCACTGTGCCGGAAGTCCATCACGTCGTGTTCCTGAAGGTTCACAAAGCAGCAAGCTCTACCGTTATGAACATTTTTATGAGATTTGGAATTTCACGTAACTTAAGTGTCATGGTTCCGAAGACACTAAATGTATTTAGCCAATCTACGTATCTTCACCAAAATCAGTTTCTTCACTACTCCCCCGACGGACTGTACGACATCCTCTGCTGCCATGTGGTATACCGGAAGACATCCATAGCGCCATATTTCCCGGCAGACACGCGGTATATTGGTATAGTAAGAGAGCCATTTCAACAATTCATGTCAGCGTTCTTTTATTACAAACATCTATCCTACCTGAAAAAGATTCCAGGTGACAACCCGGTGGCAACATACCTACAGGATCCATTAAAGTTTGAGCCCGACCACGCCCTCTCCTCGTATACCAACAATCGGATGTCTTTCGATTTCGGTTACCCGTACAGAGAATTCAACAACACACCGCGCATGCATGATTACGTTGATCAATTGGTGTCGGAGCTAGACTTTGTAATAGTCGTAGAATACTTCGACGAATCTTTACTGATGTTGAAGCAGTTACTTGGATGGACATTAAAAGATATATTGTATATACCACGCAAGTATGGAGCAAGACATAACACACCTACATTCACAAGAGAAGACAGAGAACGACACAAGCAGTGGGCAAGGTTGGACTATATTCTGTATGAACGGTTTTTGAACATTTTTCTGGAGAAGCTATATCAAAAGGGCAAATCATTTTATGAGGAATTGAAAGCTTTCAAAAATCTGAGAGCCCAAATGGAACATTTTTGCACAACTACCAAGAACAAAGTACTGTCTGTACCTGGGTCAATGTGGAACAAACACTTTACTGTCAGTAGAAACGATTGTGACCTCATGCAGATGAATGCAGTTCCCCTCATTAACCTAGTGAGAAGGAGGTACATTGTGGCGTGAGTGAGTTGCGCTTCACGCATGTTGGTAACATCAAGCTCTTCGCATTATGTGTGAAGTGAGTAAGTGAGTTTAGTTTTAGGCTGCTTTTGGCAATATTCCAGCAATATCACTGCGGGGGACACCAGAAATGGGCTTCACGCATTATACTCATGTGGGGATTCGAACCCGAGTATTCGACGTGACAAGCGAACGCCTTAACCAGGAGGCTACCATGTGTGAAGAACCCTGGTCAGGAACATCCAGAACTGAAATGGTATATTACAGATCAAAGATCGCAATTGGATTCGACCTAAGTTTTTTCGAATACGTTATAATCCAAATTTGGCATCTTAGACCACTGGGCCACTCTGATATCGGCACATTAAAGATCTGAGGCAGATAGTACAGTGATTTATTGCTTCTGCGCGGTGGGCGAGCTGGCTAAGGCGCCAGGCTAGTGATCCAGCGAGGTTGAGGTGTCGGGATCGAGCCCACCTGTGACCGGGTGTAAAAACCTTGGAGTCAACTTTGTGTGCAGACTCTTTCAGTGTTGTCACAACCCCTAGTGTACAGTACACAACCCTGTGCACTTAAAAGAACCCACGAATCCGTTTGTATATGACCAGATGGTGGCAACATGAATACGTGCAAACACCCAGTTGCGAGTACAGCAACGTGCAGTGAACTTGGACAAAGTACTGTGACTATATGTCCCAGTCCACCCAGCTGTGAATGGGTACCTCGTTAGGATGAGAAAGCCACAATAACTCGGTGCGCCTAGTGGCTGCAAGAGTTGTATACTCCCCAGGGAGTTGAGATTGATAATACGATGTGCCGTTGAGATTGACATCCAATGATCGAGGGAAGAAAATACCAGCGCCTTGAGCATGCACTAGTTGGCTGGATATGTGCGCTATATAAATATCCTATAATAATAATAATTCTGCCAAACTATACAACGATGTTGTAATGTGGTTTGAGCCTTCGATCGCGGTTCGTGGGTAAAATGTGTGAAATACAAATGCCAGCTTCAGTTACCATATCTAGGGGATTAAGTAAAGTATCATGTAGACGCTCCTGACACAGACACCTGGATGGAAGATAGGATCCCCTGTGTGTTGCATAGCAACACAGGTTTTAGCACCGATGACACCCGTGTCACTTGCATGCTGCGACTGTTGCTACCAAAAGGACAGGACATCAGGTTCGCCTGGTTTGCAACACCCGGTGTCCTGAATGTAACACTTGTTTGACAGGGTGTTCGTGGGTTTGTCTTTATCTAAGCTCGATTCCTTCTCTATGCACTTTCTTTGTTCATTTTACTGAAAATTTATTTTAGCGTTCAGTACGTTGTTGCGGATGTCACCAGAGTAAAAATTCGGTTTCTGTCTGTTGTGAAGGGAGAATCTCCTCTTTTGATATTGCATCACGTTGTGCATTATATGGCATTACGAATTATGACATGATCATGTTTTGTAAACTTGTTCAGCGGGTACCCATGCTCTGCCGTCCATTAGAAATACCGAAAAACAATTTTTCTGGGTTTAATGCATATGCTTTCCTGTTCGACGTTTTGCAGCTGTATGAGTCAACTGTGGAGGTGGATATACTCAGTCTGGAGCGTCGGTAGTGAAGCGATTTAGGTCAGATTAAATCCTGCAGATAGGGTCGGAAGTTACGGTTGTTTCAAGGGTCAAGTCCCTACTTTCCTGTACAATAAATAATGAATATTCATGAACAGTTGCTCATATATATTTATTACGTTTCAACAAATCATTTTATGTTTCGTAGCAGATTCAAATATCAGTCACTTATACATGAGGTGCAATATGAGATGTCTTGTGTGATGTGAGATGTGGTGTGTAATGTGAGATGTCTGGTGTGAAGTGAGATGTGGTGTGTAATGTGAGATGTGGTGTGTAATGTGAGATGTGAGCTGTAATATAAGAAGTGAATTGTGAGGTTACTGTGAGATGACGGAGGCAAGACTGGTGCTGCTTTATATGAAAACAAAAAACCTTCCAGAACTTTCTCTACCCCCCAACGTCTGCACTAGCTGGAATATTCCAGAGGCATCCGTCTTAATTCTCTCTCTCTCTCTCTCTCTCTCTCTCTCTCTCTCTCTCTCTCTCTCTCTCTCTCTCTCTCTCTCTCTCTCTCTCTCTCTCTCTCTCTCTCATATATTGTGGTGCAGTGTTGTGTTTGAATTACATTGTTACTGTTAAGTTTCAGTACAGAGCATAGGTGTGTCGATTACTATATTAAAACTGAACACACACACACACACACACACACACTGTACCACAATGAATACAAGTTCCTCATAACACAGGTGCTGTTTGCTGATTGCTCCGATGTATAAATATATATGTACAGGTGACTTCAATGCTTCACCGAGATATCTGTGTGCGCACTGCACTGAGGTACATCAGATCGCTATGTGATAAACCTGTCAATATCTCCATATACCTTACAGGAGTAGGTGCTTACCGTGATAGACGTGCTCAGTCAGTCACAGTGTGTGTCGGTGCAAGTGTAAAGGTGCTTAAATATGGGGATCACAGTACAGATGTAATCCCTGGTATAATCTCCATGTTTGTCGCAAGGGTCGACAATAATGCCAAGAATGTGTGGCATTCCTCATGCTATATCTACATGCATTTCCTATGTCTGATCCAGACTCGAATTTATACAGATATATAACGGGACATTTGCTCCAACATTCCAAATTTTAACACAACCCTACTCCTTCACAGAACGCTCCGTTGGTAGCAAGTACGATACAATTCTTCAGACGTAGGTCTCGACCTTACCCTACATTGAAACCTTTCATGCCGCTTGCGAGGAAACAGGGCGCCAGTATCACGACATACCACAGATAAACGACCAATGTCTTGTATTATACGCTGGATACATGAATCTGAAGAACAACTTCTGTATTGTTTGTAGCGATCGCTGTTCGAGGGCTACTTCTTGTCGATACACAACCCGAATTCACGAGAGTGAGTGAAAGATGTTTGTCTGATGATGCAGACAAATTTGCAAGTGCAGATATTAAACGTTACATTTTGGGTGAACAATACATTTGGTGTTTTACTACGGAATAGACTGGCGCCGGAAGGCATGTTTTATAGAGATGGGGGTGAAGTATGTGATTCCCTGAAATGGTCTTGGAATGGAATGGACCCCATCTTCCCTTGTTGAAGGAACACCATGCAGGATATCCGTACACAAACCGAAACATGAGTCTCATTAACCTATTCAGACAATGACCTACTTTTCAGACGATCCGAATTTTCTCGTGTGAAAGTGAAAAGAGACACCACAAACAACTATGGTTACACTGGATTCCAATTCCTTGTTTCATAACAAAATGGCATTTACAAGTTAATTTTAATTTTAAACTTTAATAACATCGTATTTCTACATTTTATGGCGAGGTGTAGGCAGCATGACCTTTACTAAGACGTCACAGACTGCCCCAGTTTGATGAGGTCGTAAAATGATTCACAATTCATCTGGCTCACTGGTTACACTTGTTATGTGTTCTTTGCGCTTATTCAGTGTAGTTTTATACCGCCCAATGTGATTGATATAATATCAAGTCCGTACCAGGCCGCCAAACCTTTCTAGCGGCAGAGCCTCGTTTTGAGATTACCACGATTTCCAGATTTCCGTTTGTCAGAGCACGCTGTACTACAGAGCACGCTGCACGACGTGTTTGCAAGGATTAGAAGGAGCGTAGTGTTGCAATATACAAGTGGTTAGATGTATCAAATAATACTGATTAATATTTATGTATCCATTTGAATGAATTGGTCTCAAAATTCTGGACTGGTTATTGTACTAAGTTGCTCAATATGACGGAACCCAGTCAGCTGGAAACGAGACTGTTGTGTAATCAATGTTTTGACGTCGGACGTTATTTTGTCGGTTCACGAGTCTCTGTGCACAACACAAAGAGCGCTCACTGAGACGCATAATTTCACCTGTCGTCAGAGTAAAGACTTGCTTTGCAAACTTTATTGTGAATTAATGTCATGACAAAACGAATCATATGCTTGATAGCAAATAATGTTCAGCCTAATAAATAATGCTGTATTTTTGTCAGTATCAGGTCAGATACAAAAAGTCACTCAAACATAATAAATGAGGTAATTAATTTAATAAATACAAAATTTAATAAATCTATTGTCTGCAACGTTATCCTAAATTAATTTAAGTTAATTAAAGTTGCTATGACATATTTGACAGATTTAAAACTGATAAAATGCAACTAAGGAATAGGATTTCTATAATAATTAATTGCTTCGGAAAAAACCCTACTCGGTTCTAAAATTACGAGTTGTTTTGTAGACTCATTCTATTTCTATAGTTAACAGTAAAACTGAAAATCTATTTTGACAGGACACCCAAGTATGGTAATGTAATCTAATGGAAAGCCTCCACATAGCCTGGGAGTTTGTATATTGTCTTCGACTGTATATAGTAGGTTTAGTCATTCACCATTGAACAACAAAAGCATCACCACGGCATTCACCCACATATCATGGGAAACACCTATTTTGCTATATTTAGAATGCTATTTATAGTAACATGTTCACGTCGGTCGTATATATGGCTGTTCAGCGCATGCCTCAAGCAGACAAGCACCTGTCAACTTCCGGCTAACAGTAAGTTCAGTAAGTTTACCATTAACTTTCAATAAAATGAAGGGATATAGCTTTTTGGTTGATTTTGGGGGAATGACATATGAATAAGATAAATTTTGGAAAGTCGTTTTCTCCATGTACTGTTGATCCATTCCTCAACATCTTGTAGAAACAAGTTCATAGAGGTTACGATTAGCCATAAGATTGAAAGGGTGATCTCTGTAGACTGTACGTGTGACCGATCGATGTCACAGTAAATGATGTGATGACAACTAAGATATCTTATGGATTACATCATTACATTACAAGTTTGAGTGTGATTTCAGCTGATACGTCCCATTTCATTTAGGATCGTTCACAAATTCCTTGACAGCATTTTGAGTCTCTCGATCGAGTATTTTTAGGCCTGATCCAGAAATATACTAGTACTGTAGTCTTGCAGTTAAACTGAATTATGGAATTTCATTTCTGTGGCATGTTATACGTACACATACACTGAGTGTATGGTAATCTTGGAATGGACTGTTATCAAATCATGATGTGATTTTCATGTGATGATGTTTTCTTAAGCCTTTGGAAGTAACAATGTACATATTAAAATTTAGATATTGAAAGTGAAACTAGATCTACTACATCTGATGACAAGCAATTACTTTCATGAAGATCCAGGTTAGGAATAGTTTTCAGCCATCTGCATTGTTTGAAGTGTTGGCTACTGGGTGTCATACAGCTAGAATATTGCTACGGGTGGCATTAAACAACAGACTGACAATTAAATGATTTCAAAGCCCTGTGTAATTGTTACAATATATGTTACTGCACAAAGTTTTGTGTTGTTGTTTACTCTCAATATATATTACGATTTTCTAGTAGGGGAGTACGATGTAGGTATTCATCAAACGCCATGTTTATGCTATAGGCATTATCGGAGTACAATTGGTCCCCACTAAGCTATGCCAAGTAGTTCCGATGATCGAAAATCGATCGAAAGGAGGATTAAAAATAATTATCGAATGAAAAAAATATATTTTCGATTAATCTGAATTTTGTTGTTGTAGCATGACATACTTGAATGAAGTAACTAACCATTAAATTTGACGAATATTCACGAACAAACTTGCGCTCAACAGCGTAAAGTAAAGTTTTGTATTCATCACGAAATATTACTGTAACCTGTCTATGAATAAATTCTACATCTGTTGTGAACGTAATGAGATATATACTGATAAATATGTGTTGTATAAATAAACAGAATATGTATGTAGAAAGTAAAATTACTGCACTTTAAAATTTAGATATATTGAAAATATATTGCTAATCCTGCCTGGCTGACACCGCTGTGGGTTAAGCTGCCACCTGTCCTTACCCTGGACATGGGAAGTTGAGGGTGTGGATTTACTCTCTTAAAAATTAAGAAGAAACAAGTGGTAACACACACACACCCCATTATATTGCATGACATAATTAGTTTTTAAAACATTAATTAGACAAAATCAGGGGAAAAACCCTTGAAATTGGTGATTACATTAAAAATGTACATATTTCGATAATCGATAGTGGATTTGGTTTCCGATTCCCAACACTAATGCCAAGGCAACATTGTGTTTTATTGCCAAGTAAATAAGAAACTAACCAACTTCCTTGAGTTATCCTCGATTTTATAAATAATAAACACACATTTGCAAATAAGGAAGAAATACATTGTTTAAGCAAAACAATTAAATAAGGAAATTGGTACCACAATGAATAATCGGCTGCTGTCGATTTGTTCTTTTTTTCAAACACGCAGTCAGTTTGAAGTATTTTTATGCAAATTACTAGCTTCTCCTTTTAATTGGTCAAAACCTAGATGTAATGAATTTGACACATTGCTACCAATACTGGCTTATATTCAACCTTCAAGTGATACTGGGATAGGATGAATAGGTAATTTGAGATATTAGTGAAAGAAAATAAACCTACTTGTGTCTTGAAAGCAGTTTAAAAGATGGGTGTTTTACACAGTCACATCATTTTTGATTAGCAATTTACAACAATGTCATGTATATAGGCATCTCTGTAACGTAGAATTGATCAACAGTTACATAGGACTCTAACAGGTTGTTGCAATATGATACATGCGAACTCACATGCTGTACTGGGAGACAATACAAGAGTGAGTGAGTATGGTTTTATACTGCTTTTAGCAATATCACAGCGGGGGACACCAGAAATGGGCTTCACACATTGTACCCATGTTTGGAATTGAACCCGGGTCTTTTGCTTGACGAGCAAACACTTTAACCTCTAGGCTACCCCGCAGCCCTGACAATACAAGAAATTAAGGGGCCACCAAAACATAGTCTGTAGGTTTTGAGGTCATGAAAATGTCACATGGGAATTAGACCTGTGTCAAGTCAAACAGCAATTAGTACTGGAAGGTTATGCTATGGCTGCTGACAGATCATACATCATGACATTCTGAGATGCCTGATGGGCTGATGGGAGGTTTTATTTTCGTGAATGATAATAATAATGCTATTTTTTTGCGCCTAGAATCCAACGCGATGCTGTTCTCTGGCGTTACATTATTACCCTGACGGAATTGTACTTTCAAAGCTGCTACTAAGCGCTAAGCCCGACCATATAGGTCCGTACATCCGCTTTTCAGGTACCCATTTTAAACAGCTGGGTGGACTGAGTGCAATGTGGATGAAGTGCCTTGCCCAGGGACACAACACAGTATGAGACCCGGGTCACAAATTTTGGTGTCTCCACCGGGATTCGAACCCGGGCCTTTGGCGTGAGAGGCCAGCATGCTAACCACTACACCACTGTGCTCCAGTGAAGACTACCATATACTAAACTATTTATTAAGTAACATGACATCAGACTGTACAATGTATCTATTTGAAAGTGAATGGAAGACATTGTCTCTGGAAAGGTAGCAGAGCAGACAGTGCTCCAACTGACGTAATTCCAGTTTCTTATCACCCAGACTGACATTGATCACATATTCAAAATGCATTGATAAGCCATATCAGTCTGGCCAGAGATGTATGGTATAACTCTATCTGTGTTGTTGTACGGCATGATTAGCACATCTAATACCTTTGATAGGTCTAACATGTATAACATCTTCTATTTTTATTAGGGCTGTAACGATGCATCAAACTATCGATGGATTGCAATTGTTGAGTCTCTGATAGCAATTAATCGGTGGTAGAAATGAAAAAGTATCGATGCATCGATAGTGTTTGTGACTGTCGATAATTCATTAATTGACTTCCGTTGATAAATGTGGTGCACAAAATACAGGAAGTATTTATTTATTGTTTGGGTGCAGACTTGCAGCTTCATTGAACTTATATCTTAACTGTTTACTTGATTTGGTTTTCAAGTTTCTTGTCAGTTATTAAAAGAGACTGAAACTACTTCAACTTGTTTATATTTTGTACAAACTATACATTCATTTGGAGAAAAAATACTATTCCAATAGTTGATAGAAATAGTATGTTGCAATAGACTATCACTATCACAATAGTTTTTTCCCCCTCAATAGTCACCCCTAATATTTATGTTTACACTTTCATGTCAACCATACATACACTGTAAAAGGCACATCATCTCATCTGTGTGTGTGAAAGACATTGATCTCATTTGACACTGATTTATCGAGGAGTTCAAACAAAGTGTCCTTTGTAGGCAAATTGTAATCAAATTCATAATAATGTAAAAAATGAGATTATGTTATATATTATAACACAGACTATGCAACAAATGGTCTGCAAGTTTAGATTAGTTCAGTTTCAGGAAAATGAAGAGATTATCTGGCTTTTTATTATCTTTCCTGCTAAGTTTTAACATGGTTAAGAGTCAGTGTAACAAAGACTGTAATATTTTACAAACATATATCTAGCCTTATGTTCTTACCTGTGTGGATCCGTTCCTGGGCCTAGATTTTCGAAGCTCTCTTAGTGCTAAGATAGTCGTAAGTGCCATACATTGACATTAACTTACGACTATCTTAGCGCTAGGAGAGCTTTGAAAACTAGGCCCTGGGTAATAGCTTGCTGCTGTTGGTTTCTGAAATCTGCAGACTTTAATTGTTTTTCCTGTTTTCAGAACATCCTAACATTCCACTCTGTGAGTAAAGCTGGACACAATCAGGATGTATCAATGTATTGCCATGGATGACAGCGGCATGTAGTGCCTGTAACCATGGTGAAGGCGTTGAAGGACATGTGCCTCCACTGTGTCCAACACAGTCTGGAGCACATCCCAAATCTGCAGCAGAACTTACCTACTTTGTACAAAGAGATCCTCATTGAAAGACTGGCCAACCATGACATGTTTTTTGAACATTACCGCCCATTTATTGCCAGTAATTTGTTTTGTGAGAACTTACGTTATGTCAAGCTGTACAAGTGCAGTCAAATAGACAATGAGTGCCTTATATCACTGTCTCGAGCTCGATGTCAGCTGGAAGTCCTCACCATTCACAGGTGTGAGAATGTGTCAGGTAAGACCCACTAGGTAACCATAGTAATAGGTTCAGGGCTCCAGACAATTTTTCAACAGAAGAGTACTGGAAAACCTTAAGAGTACAGTTAGAGTACTTGTTGGCATTACAGGAGAATCAGTAATCTTGTGTTTTGTTTCTAATATGCACCACAGCATTGCTACTCTTTTATATAAACAGGTCAATAAACAATAAAACAATGCTTTTAAAAATATATACGTCTGTAAATGATCTTAGACGCGCGTACACCATTGCTATAGTGCGTATTGGCTACGTTTTCTAAATTATTTCCTACCGTATCGTGCATATTTTATATCCGTACATACGTCGATACAGCCCTTATCTGGAGCCCTGAGGTTTAAATAAAATGATAGTTGAGCTTATACAATGGCCAGCAATTTGGTGAAAATCTATGCTGTTGTGAAAACATAACACATTTATTAAAGTTAATATATATATTTTAAATTCAGAGCTATTTCAAAATAATTTTAACATTGCTTCTAATGCCTCAGTATAAAACTGAGCATTAACATAATTAAAGAATCCCTTGATGTATTGGTCCTGTTGTCAGTGGAAACTCAAGTTTCTTTGCGTGATAACATAATCATCACTAAGGCTGTAACAAATCTACTCCAAGGCGAATATGGTACAGCTTGTTCAGCTTGACCTGAGCTACTCTACATATGCATGACCCGGGAGGTCAAATGGCACAAACGGCAGGTCGAAGTTTACTTCATTAAATAGGGGAGCAGAGAATGTTATTAATGTTGCTTCGTATGAAACATGCATACATGGTATGAAACATGCATACATGGATTGAAGTTAAAGAACTTGTTCGAGAAAGCAACACTTCAAACATATTGTACTGAAAAAACAATCTTTTCATGTTTTAATTGAATTGTTTATATAGTCATGTGCTATCTAGTGACTAACTTTACAACGTACAGCGTCAGTTATTTTCACAATCCGATTCACTCTCGCTGTCACTCTCTACACCCAGTTCAATTATCACTTTTTCTATTACATGTTCAACTGCAATATTTCTGTCCCAGTAGTCGCCTAAAAGCCCGAATCGGAAACATTAAACCATCTGTAGCTTCTTTTTTAAAGAAAGTTAGGACATTGCTGACGATTTTTCGACACTACACAAAGAGGGCAAACGGCAACCTTGTCTCGGCTGTTCGGACATGTTGACAATCAACTGACAAAGGTGCACCCCTTCACAATAATAGACCCAACCAGTTGTGACACACTCACGCAGTGCATTAGTATTCACTTGATCTGGTCAAGCTGAGCAAGCTGTACATATCACAAATATTGGATAACGAATACAGTAACAAGTCGGCATTTGATTTACAGTTCATTAAAATGATAAGAAAGATACATTCTTTGACATGTTTACCATTCTGCAGTGTCAATTTATCTTGACAAAGATCGGTGACCACATTACTGTTAAGGTGAATATATAATAGTGTTGGCTTTTATCCTGGCTGGATATATTCCATTTTGCATATATCATATCACTTTAAAAAAACATCCAAATTCAAGTAAAAACACTCTTTTTTAACAAAATTCATGAATATTTGATTATTGTGATCACAAAAAACTAATTGAATTCATGAAGGGACATAGTTCGTTTCACTGAAGACGTGAGTTTATCATAACTCTACTTGTGACTAATCCTGAGCACTGGGGTCACCATGGTATATATATATAGAGATAGTTTGACACATGGTTGAGAGCATGTCATCTTTGTTAACAATGCCAATCACTGGTTTGTCTGGTCCAGGCTTGTTCACAGTAGAATTTGTTTATTCTATCATGCTCAGAATGAACTGATGGATATTGGGATTGTTTTGGGGTCCAGGGTGCGTTGTACAAAACAACCTTAGCGCTAAGACTACCTTAAGTCTATGTTAAGGTATGGGAGTTACTGTCACCTTAGCACTAAGATCACTTTGTGCAACAGCACCCAGGGGCTCCTTTCACGAAGCAACCTTTACTAAGGTTAACCTTAACTCCCATTCTTTAACATTGCACTAAGGTTACCTTAGTGACTTACACCTTAGTGCAATGTTAAAGAATAGGAGTTAAGGTTAACCTTAGTAAAGGTTGCTTCGTGAAAGGAGCCCCTGGCCACTTTATATAGACAAAATGTGTAATAATGAACTATGGTTATAACCAACTAAAATTAGTGGTCCCTCTGAGTTTGGTGTGACTGTAGTTTACTGTATATACCATGTTTCTGCTGTTGTTGTACAGCTTAACTGCGGTGACATATTCACATATGTTTACGAGTGTATGTTTTCATGTGGTGTATACAAGAGTTACCATGGTTACAGGTAATGATTTGTAAGTAATTTGCTTTCTTATTTTAGATGCTGGAATACTTGCATTGACATCAGCCCAGACATCATTGCGGAAGCTGGAACTTCAGGCGTTGCCACTTCTGACAGGCCAGGGACTGTCTCAGATTACCTCCCCTTCTTTGTGGAAGGCTGACTTTCGTGGCTGTCATTCGTTATTGAACAATGGTAGGTTAATACTAGTATACTTAGCCAGTGTGTAGTTTTGACATCATCAGCCATGGAAAGTTGCTAATTACTAGGGCTGTATCGATGCATCGAACTATTGATGGATTGCAATTGTTTAGTCTCCGATAACAATTAATAGGTGTTGGAAATGTAAAACTATCGATGCATCGATAGTATGTGTGAGACTTCCGTTGATAAATGCGACCAGATTAGTTCACGTTGATTTAGAGTTATCCGACCCTGTTACCTCTTAAACAAATTTGATCTGGGTTTCAAGTTTCTTGTCAGTTATTAAGAGAGACTGAAACTAGTTCAGGTTGTTTTTATTTCCTTTTTATTTATTTTTATTTGTGTTTTTATAAACTATACATTCATTTAGGAAATGACTTCAAATGAGACAATTTAAGGAGAAAAAACTATTGGTCACGATAGACTATCGCTGGCGCAATAGTATGTTGCAATAGAGTATCGCTATCGCTATAGTTGTTTCCCCCTCAATAGTCACCCTACTAATGACTTCAGAAGTAGAAGATAATGCATAAACATGGTCAGTGCGCACATGTTTAAGAGGGTATTTATAGTTGATATAGTTTTTCTTTGAAATGTGGTGAAGTGTGGTATGTAGTTTATTACTTGGGATTTTATAATATAATCAAAGTAATTACCTTGATATTCAACTCACAAGTCGAGAGTGAGGACCCTTAGAAATCTAACACTAAATATATTTTCACAGACCATTGCTTTCATATACAATGTTGTTACCAAATTTGGAGAAATAACATTATTAACCATTATCCCTACCTTTCAATTAATGTTATGTAAATATTACGTAAAGATGATGTCGTGTGGAACATTAATCAATGATTATTAGTGGGTTAAATATATTTTGTTCTGAATTATGAAATATCTCAAACAATTTTAGTATAAAAAGAAGTTTCCACTGTCAATGTTATTTTGTTTGAAAGATATCATTTGCTCGATCACAAATATGATTCTCCCACTTGTCTTGTGACTTCACGCCTCCATGAATGAACAGCAGAAAATGCCAAATATGGCATACTGTCAATCATGAAATTAAGGTGCCTCCAAATTAATGCACCTGCTGGCCACTAGCCATAAGTGCAACTCAGTAGTAATGCAGCTTCCCCTCCAACCCCAGTGGTACATATAGTAATGAAATATCTCCTGTGAGATTTACAGGAGATATGTTTAAGCCTTGCCTCACTCCAGGCTTACATTAACCTAATCAAACTGCAAATAGGACCGCTTATTAGTGAAGACAAGTGAAGTATAAAACCATCATAAATCATCACTTCACTGATTGATATGCGGGGTAAGTGTCAACAAGCTTGTAGTCAGGCGACAAGACCATCCCTGTGGATCTGAGAATATATCGATATGTGGAATTGTTCTTTTTTACATTTTACTGGGTATTTCTGCTATCACAGTATAAACCCGTGTAGGTCCGGGTTAGAATTGATCTTCAGTAACCCAAGCTTGTCATAAGAAGCGACTAATGGGATCGGGTGGTCAGGCTCGCTGACTTGGTTGACACATGTCATCAGTTCCCATTTGCGCAGATCGATGCTCATGCTGTTGATCACTGGATTGTCTGGTCCAGACTCGATTATTTACAGACCGCCGCCATATAGCTGTAATATTGCTGAGTGTTGCATAAAACTAAACTCACTCACCCACTATCACAATATACAACTGCCAACACAGTCACTGTTTTTTCTGAAGGACCTACGCATGTTTTGATAAGTGTGAATTTGGTATGGTGGTAGTGCAATAAAATCCACCCTAACCCCCATTTTATCATTTTGTTATAAAACACGATAGATACTTTTTCAGAAAATATAGTGTTCTAGATACAGACTAGTGATAATCCTTAGTGTTTGTTTGTCAATCCAGGTATTGCAACACTCGTGCAGAAAAATCCATCCTTACAACATCTGGTGCTGGTGGACTGTCCAAAGATAGATGAGAAGATATTCTCTATAGCTGCTGTCTCCCTGCAAGCTTCTCTGGTGAGATCACTTTGTTATAAACAGTTGTAGGAACAAATTGTCAGGGATAGACTAATTTTTGTTCTATGAATTGGTACCTCTTTAAATTGGAGCCAAGAACTTCCATCACAAGGTTTAAAATGTATGAATAGGAATAGGAGATATAGTTGTTCTACCTGAAATTTCAAAACGGTAGACATTTTTCTAAATTCACTTGCTCTATCCCTATATAATGTGTGCATCTCAACCCCATGAGACTGAGCTGTTGTAATGTTCCTCCCTGAGAATGAGATGTTATTATGTCCCCATTGAGAATGAAGTGTTGTGATGTCCTCCCCACACCCTAAGAAAAGATTATTGTGATGTTTCTGATTCCTTGAAGGGGCAGTGCGTTAGCCCATTGGTTAAAGCTTTTGCTTGTCATGCCAACGGCCCGGGTTCGATTCCCCACACGGGTACAATGTGTGAAGCCCATTCCTGGTGTCCCCCTCCATGATGTTGCCGGAATTTTGCTAAAAGCAGCGTAAAACCATACTCACTCACTCTGCTTTCCCTGAGAATAAATTTCTTTGATGTTTCCCCCTCCAACAAGACTGAAGTGTTGTAATGTTTCCCCATTTCCTGAGACTGAAGTGTTGTAATGTTTCCCCATTTCTTGAGACTGAAGTGTTGTAATGTTTCCCCATTTCCTGAGACTGAAGTGTTGTAATGTTTCCCCATTTCCTGAGACTGAAGTGTTGTAATGTTTCCCCATTTCTTGAGACTGAAGTGTTGTAATGTTTCCCCATTTCCTGAGACTGAAGTGTTGTAATGTTTCCCCATTTCCTGAGACTGAAGTGTTGTAATGTTTCCCCATTTCCTGAGACTGAAGCGTTGTAATGTTTCCCCATTTCTTGAGACTGAAGCGTTGTGATGTTTCCTCATTGTCTGAGACTGAAGCGTTGTAATGTTTCTCCATTTCCTGAGACTGAAGCGTTGTAATGTTTCCCCATTTCCTGAGACTGAAGCGTTGTAATGTTTCCCCATTTCCTGAGACTGAAGCGTTGTGATGTTCTGCCTCCCCATAGATGTTGTTTGGTGATGTTGCAGGAGGAGCTTGAAACCAGTCTACACACCGTCACTGACGACAGCCTACTGCAGCTGGCCACCCACTGTCCTAACCTTAAACGGTAGGTGACTCAAGAGCAGTATAATTACTTGCCACTCTTATCCAGCCTTGGACTCAGTTGTAAATTCTGAAGGGATAATGTTATTGTTTCAACAAATGAATCATTGATGAGATTTGGTTATTGATATTTGTTGATTGTCAAGATGTTTCATACCAAGAGGGAGTGAATGAGTTTAGTTTTTTATTTATTATTATAGGATATTTATATAGCGCACATATCTAGGCAACTAGTGCTTGCTCAAGGAGATGGGGTTTTTTCCTCGATCACTGGATGTCAATCTCAACGGCACATAATATTATGAATCTCAACTCCCTGGGGAGTATACAACTCTTGCAGCCACTAGGCGCGCCGAGTTATTGTCACATCATTGGCATTGTTGGTGTCTCAAAACGTTGACACTGAGATAGTTTGCAGCAGATTAGCATGGGTACCCCGTTCTTACACATTGACTTGACAGCTGACAGTTGCTTATTGTAATTTTATTCATCCTCATTACCAAGAATTAGGCAATGGAACCAGTACCTTCTTAAAACAGCTTTTGATCCGGCTGAACCACAGACCTACCTACTGTCAGGCTGTCACCCTGATTGAGGATGTTCCTTATCATGAGGACATCATTCTCTTATTTTGTTCAAATAGTTTGGTTTCTAGAGTCAGGTTTTGCGCCTCAGTATTCTTATAGAAGATTTTTGGATATCAGTTTTATATTGTTGACTGCATATCCAGGTGAGCTCCATTGCTGTGGCAATAGCTTTTGATGATTGTTGTTGGCTTAACGTTGTTCATAGTCTCAGTAGAGTCATGAGTGAGTCTTGCAGTCTTAGTCAGTCTTGCAGTCTTGGTTCAGTCTTGGTCAGTCTTGGTCAGTCTTGCAGTCTTGCTGATACTGAAATGACTAAATGCCTAGAGGGAAGTAATAAACTTTGGTTGCAAAGTACTTCTATGCTGTTAAGTGAATGACCGTGTTCAGTTTTACGTTGCTTTAAACAAGTCCAGCAGCATGAAGGCAGGGGATGCCAGGAATGGGCTTCACACATTGTACCCATGTTGCGTCAGACACAAGGCTATGCCACTGCCTTGATATGCTGTTTAGAAATTTAGAGCAAGCATATATTGTATCATGGTGTATTGAAGTAAATGTATTATACTTCTTGGGATTCAGATTGTTTTGTGAAAACTTTTGTTCAAAAGTAGGGGAAACCCCAAAATTGTTGCAAATTTTGTATTTCTTGCTCCTTGTCAATAATGTTTTTTGTTTTGTTTTGTTTTTCAGGTTAGACTTGAATGGTTGTACCAAGGTGGGGAAAGATGCTCTGATAAAGGTAGGTACATAGAGCACACAAACCTGATTTGAATAGAGTTTCTCACTTTGTAACACTTGCCAGGTGCACCGGTAATCTTACATAAAGTTTGTTTTGTGGCTCACCTTGACATAATCACAGTGAGTTCATCATGGGATCTGTCTTTCTGCCTGCTAAAACTGTACATGTTTGGTGGATCTGGACACAGTAGGGTAATGTCAGTAAGATGTACATGTTTGGTGGATCTGGACACAGTAGGGTAATGTCAGTAAGATGTACATGTTTGGTGGATCTGGACACAGTAGGGTAATGTCAGTAAAATGTACATGTTTGGTGGACACAGTAGGGTAATGTCAGTAAAATGTACATGTTTGGTGGATCTGGACACAGTAGGGTAATGTCAGTAAAATGTATTTTATCAGAGGCCCAGATAAGCTGCGTATCCGGGTAAAATACGCATAGAAAATTCCCATTTACGCATCGAAGAATAATTGTTGGGTACCAATTACGCATTTAAAATGTTAGATACGCAAAAAGTTTAAAACAAATGCGTACGGAATATATATATAAATATCGCTTGCGTAATGAAAATGACATCGATTGCTATCAAGTTGTACTGTTAGTATAGGGCAAGTGTTGTATTGTCAGTATAGGATGAGTGATTTCCATTATATTTAAGTTGGTTTTGATTAGGTATGACATAAGGCAGACCATACCTGCTTAGTAAACTTACTCAATGACATAATGACTAAAATACGCACATATTTGAAAGCAGTGGGTAACGGTAATTGAAATACCCACTCAACATTCATAATACCCACTCCACAAAAATACAGTGGGTACAGTACCCACATGAGCTAAATCTTATCTGGAGCTCAGTTTATTGTCCTCAGTAAGAAGATTCTGAATGTCCAATTAAAGATAGATCAAACAAAGATCAACTATAGTCATTAAATGGCAGGCAGATCTCTTGTCTCAAATGTCGTCAATGTTTAAGGTAATGTTAAAAAAATATGAAATTCATGGGATCCAGTTGTTGGTTTTATTGTTTGTTAATAAGATATAGTTGACATTTACCATTTAATATATCCAAACTTAATCTAAAGGTCAAAGGCACCAAAACCTTCTACCTTTCTTTACTGGACTCCAATTACAATAAGTCATATGCACATAAAAAGTGGGAAAGAGTCTTTGAAACACAGTATGATAACACAATGCTACGAAACATATATATGATGGCAAAACGATCCACAAAATGTAGCAATTTGAAATGGTTACAGATGAAGATATTGTATGATATTATACCCACAAATATTTTCTTAAATAGGATCGGTCTAAAGGACACACCTTTATGTACATTCTGTTCAAAGGAACTAGAAACAATTGTCCATCTACTCTGTAATTGTTGTCATGTTAAAAAGATTTGGGAGAGTTTGACCAGATGGCTAATGACTGTAACTGAAGGTAACATTGACACCAGAAAACATCTTACTTGGATTTAAAGGGAAAAACAATAATTCTTTAAATGCAATGTATCTTGTTGTGAAACAGGTAATATACACAAAAAAATTAAAAGAACAAGTTCCAAATTTCAAGCATGTAGTAAGCGAGATATCAAAATACTATGAAATTACAAAATATAATGCGTATTCTACATGCAGCAACAGTGAGTTTTTTACCTTCTGGTCATCTTTCCACAATCTATTTACAGGAAATACTAGGTCAGAAAACATATAATAAATGTATTTAATTACTATTATTAGTATTGGAATCACTGAGATAAGATATACAAAACATATTCAAAGACATTTATTCATTGTATGAAGGGGATTTGTGAGGGTGTATTGAATATACTTGATATATTGTATATGAATATTTGTATGAATATACTTATGTGAATGCATTCTTCATGTACTATGTAAAATGTGGAAATAAAGATGATAAAAAAGAAGATATAGTTGAGCACAAATGGTTGTCCCAAGCCTTTCGACAATGAATAATGATGAGCTTCTTTACCTCCACTAGTCTGGTTATTAGTTTTCCTTTGTCACACCTACTGCAGGCTCATCAGTTAACCGAGCATATATCTAAATATGGCTGTGAGAGTTGTTTCCCTTCCCAGCTGTTTCAGGGATGTCCTCATCTGGAGAAGCTTGATCTGTCTTACTGCAACCGTCTCCGCCAACACCCAGAGAGTGAGGCACTGTGGACGTTGCCGCAGTCACTGCGAGAGCTGTCTCTGTGCGGAATTCTCTTGGAAGATGAGGGAATATTTGTGGAATGTCTGCAACGTCTCCGTAACATCAACTCCATCCGACTCTGTGGGGTGTCAGCCTTAAATGATGACACTCTCACAAAGGTAACTATATTTACATTTATACTGTACTGAGTGTGAAATAGTATTCATTCTGCCAAGGAACTGAATAAGTAAAGACTTACACCACTTCAGCATAATTACATGAGGTTGGGGTGGGAGATTAGCCTAATGATTAAAGCGTTCGCTCATCATACCAAAGACTCGGGTTCAGTTCCCCACATGGGTACAGTGTGTGAAACCCATTTCTGGTGTCCTCCACCGTGATATTACTGGAATATTGCTAACAGCGGTGTAAAACTAAACTCTCTCACTCACTACATGAGGTCAATTTAAAAAATTATGTGGTCACGATATAAGATCCTATAAACTCAGAAACCTGATATGCAAGTTATTGATGCAGAATTGCCATTGACAAATGATGTTAGTTTACATGTCTCTTACCCCAGTATCCCACTTTTGCTGTCTAAAATTTAATGACAAAAGATTCAGGGTTGTGATTCACCTGCAGTAAAGGAGAGATATGGACTTCAGAAATACAACTACTGTACCAGGATATGCATATGTAATATCACCATCAATAGCTAAACCCTACCTCGGATGCTTTGTTAATAAACTGTACTTAATATTTGTAAGAGCAAAAGAAATGAGTGAAATTATGCTTTAGTTTCTGCAAAAACCTGATTGTTTAAAGTGTGGGCATATAAAGCCAGCCACGGTGTGAAACAACCTGGTGGTGCTTGCAGGTGTTGGAGCACATCGGCAGCAAGTTGTCCCTCCTGGACCTGAGTGGGGGGATGACGAGGAAGCTGACAGATGAGGGGCTGGCAGCCGTGGCAAGGTACTGCACCAGCCTGGAGTCCCTCTCCCTCAGTCTCCTCCACACTCCCACAGGGATCACCCTCATGCCACTCTTCAAGGACAGGGACAGGGCCCTCCAGCTCAAGAAGCTCTTCCTCAGCTGTAACATGGTAAGTTCTGAGATGCATACCAGGGTCAGGGGTCAAGTGACCTACTGAATGGAAAATCAATGAGTGAGATTTCTTATGTTTGTTGTTGAGGGTCCTGTTTTCTTCTGATATTAATGCACTGAGCTTGAGTGTCACTCGAAAGTATATTGTTAAAGTACAGTAAACTACTGTTCTACTCAAGGAAACTGCTTATTATAGTTCATTGTAAACATCGTTCATTATGCGTATTATGACTGAACTACTAGTTTTTGTGGTACTCAAAATTCAGATCATCTACGGTCATATACAGTTTACAGTTACTGGGTGTGGTGTGAGTTGAACGAAGAATGTAGGACGTTTGAAGCTTGACTAGCAATGCCCACACTGGTACATTGCCTGACAGTATCTGAGTCAGGGAACAAAAATATGATGTTAATAATGTATCCATGTTTCCACAGATAGACCTGGAACTGCTACACAAGATAGCTGCCACCACCACTATGTCTAATGTTTCCATGTTTCCACAGATAGACCTGGAACTGCTACACAAGATAGCTGCCACCACCACTATGTCCTAATGTTTCCATGTTTCCCACAGATAGACCTGGAACTGCTACACAAGATAGCTGCCACCACCTCTATGTCTAATGTTTCCATGTTTCCACAGATAGACCTGGAACTGCTACACAAGATAGCTGCCACCACCACTATGTCTAATGTTTCCATGTCTCCACAGATAGACCTGGAACTGCTACACAAGATAGCTGCCACCACCACTATGTCTAATGTGTCCATGTCTCCACAGATAGACCTGGAACTGCTACACAAGATAGCTGCCACCACCACTATGTCTAATGTGTCCATGTTTCCACAGATAGACCTGGAACTGCTACACAAGATAGCTGCCACATGCCATCAGCTGGACCAGCTGGACCTGTCTGGCCTGGTGTGTGTCACGGACGACCTGTTGTCACAGCTGGCCCACAACTGCCAACACATCTCCCACCTCAGCATCAAGGGCTGCAGACAGGTACATATACTACTCAGAACTAGTTAAACACATGGCATGACAGATTAGATCTAGTAATATCTGGGCTTTCTTTAACTGTTTTGAGTTATAGAGTTATCCTAGGAAGTGGTGCATTGTGATATTGTAGTGATATGTTTAGGTACAGTGAAGCTATTTATCTATATAAAGTGATTCAAGAATGTGTGGAGCAAATGATTTATGGTCTGGAAAAGAATTGTAGGTTACATTTTGATGAGTGTATGTAGTATGTATTAGTTCTAAAATATTCACCCATTTGGAAAAGTAAAGTCTTGGTCCCTTTCTTCCAAAATACTTCCCCGCACCAGGAGGGAGTTTTCACAATGACTTACAGTAAAATATTGCAACAGAACATCCATTTAAAATTGGATTCAGATCTCAGTTTGACTCACACCTATGTTTGGGTCAGGTACATAGACATACTTTTAATGTTTTGTTACGTGACAATGAGAGATGGTTTGTTTGTTTTTTGTTTGATGCTGCACTGAACGATATCCCAACAATATTCCAACCATATCCCAACCATATCCTGTAAATAATTGAATATGAACCTGACAATCCAGTGATGAACAGCATGAGCATGCTACATCGATCTATTATTGCGAAAAAGCAACTGGGTTCTTATTTGTCTGTGATCTATGATAAGACTTGTCACAGATTACTTGTTGTTTACTTCCTGTTCTGTGTTAGTATCGAATTACTATGTCAGTGTGACTTATGTTCAGGTGACAGACTATGGAGTGTGTGAGGTGGTCCGGTGCTGTCCACTCCGCCGACTTGTGGTGTCCGGGATCAACAACCTGACTGACAAGTCTGTCTTTGCCCTGGCCAACAGCAACCCCTACCTTGAAGAGATCTATCTGAATGGCTGCTCAAAGACTACTCCCATGGCCATCAAGTATCTCATAGTAAGAACTGCTTCCATTATTGGGTCACAGGTGGCTGATGTTCTGAGGTATTGCACCTACATTACAGAGTTTCTACCTTAGTGGACAGTATCTGCTGGTCAATGGTTCAAATACAATATTTAGCCTGTCTTGGTCAGTGTGGACAGTGAATGGATAAAAATGGTTCAGTCATGTAAGGCGTATCAGTACCCTGTGCAGAGTTATGTCCCTTGGGTAGGCCAGAAACACATGTTTATGGTATAAATTTGTGATGTATCAAATTCATTATCTGAAATGAAGTATTTATAAAAATACTAGTCTTGCTTCTGGTTGCAATAATTCAGCGGTTGGTGTCCAGCATGCCTGCAAGGTGTCGTGCATGTATTGCTGTTCATGGTGGACACACTCGTTATTAAGTATATCTGTCATACTTACCGTACAGTGGTGCTGATTAGATTATACATGCTTCACAAAGTCAAGGGGTTCCTTTATTTTTTGTGCCTAGTATATATATTCGGTGAACATTTGCTGAATCAGATTTGAAATATTCATGATGATGTGTATTTACTCAGAAATGTTCTATTATTGAGGGTCTGCTTGACTTGAGGAGTTATAAGCAACTTGATAAGTTCAATGGACAACAATGACAAGGCTTGACAGATTTTTGATGTTATGTGTTGGGACTATTATCTGTGTATTGAGATACCACTGCATGTGGAGTTGTAAGTTGACTGTATCTGTTTGGCAGGACTGCTGTGTACCCCGCCTGTACGTCCAGCACTGTGTTCCCAACGCAGTCCCTGACCAGCTGATGGCCAAGAACCTTGACACCGGCGAGTTCTGTAGAGCTGATCTCCTCCAGACATCATGACGCTGTACTGTACGACAACGTGGGATAAGCACCTGACAGGAAGGTGTACTATATGACATGTGGGATAAGCACCTGACAGGAAGGTGTACTGTACGACAACGTGGGATAAGCACCTGACAGGAAGGTGTGCTGTACGACATTGTGGGATAAGCACCTGACAGGAAGCTGTGCTGTACGACATTGTGGGATAAGCACCTGACAGGAAGGTGTTCTGTACGACATGTGGGATAAGCACCTGACAGGAAGGTGTACTGTATGACATGTGGGATAAGCACCTGACAGGAAGGTGTACTGTACGACATTGTGGGATAAGCACCTGACAGGAAGGTGTACTGTATGATATTGTTGCAGGATATACATTTTGTAGGCTCTATCATCTCTTAGGATGTGATTAGATACCTTAGATGGTTCACTAGGTCACTATCAAATCAAAAGTGTATTTTATCCACAAATTACTGTTGATATGGTTGAAGAGACAGAGAGGATGAATGGTTAGAAATGTTTACTTGTATGCTGGTTGCCTGTATTTGTTTTGGGAAGGATGAAATCCTGCCATTGTTGTGATAATACTTGCTGAATTTATAATATATAGTATTCCATGAAGAAATTATGCCATTGTCATGCACTAAAGGTGATATAATGAGCAAGGTTAGATTGAGTATTATTCACCAGTTACATGCAGGGTGAACATGAAGGGTTGGTTCTCCTGGGGAATCCAAACATCGGTTGTATAATACCCAAGGCAAATCCTGAATATGTAAAACTCATCTAGCATAATCAAAGTTGCTATTTCCACATGTCACTATGAGTATGAACTGTATGGCAACATGAATCTTGTCATGCGCACCAATGACAAAATTGGCTCTTGAGTATTGTGGCAAATCACAACATGCAAAGTTTTATGAAATTGCTTTTAAACATAAATGTTTGATTCCAGAGTGCCTGATACTATATGCCCAGTGAGGAGTGTGTTACATGAACACTTGGTGTGACATTGCTCAAACTTAATGCATGATATGCGAGTCATTCGATCAGTCCTCTAACGAATCATTCCATATTGTCTGTCATCTTTTTTTGCTGGTTGCATAGGAGATATCGTTTGGGAGAGATCTGTGAAATCATTTGCAGACCATTGTGAATTCATTCGATAACAAGACATTGCGATCTCAAAACGTAAAAGTTGGGAGACAAGTATTTCAAGTATTAAATGGAATCTTACTCAAGAGTCTGTTGATATAAATGTATCAATTCTCATGGATTAATGTTTAAAACTCCTCAACAAGTCTCGGACAGTTAGACCTTTATCGACTCCTGTTGATATTTTCTTTGAGAGGCATTTTAGAAGTTGAGAAGAAGTAAAATCAAGTTGTATGGATAGTCAACTTCTTTATTGCAACATTCTGTTGATAAGTTTGGTGGTTTCCTTTATCAGTCGGGATCCATCAGTGAAGCAGTCAGAGTCACATGAAGTGAAGCAGTCAGAGTCACATGAAGTGAAGTAGTAGTTTCTAAGGTTACCCGTCACCAGTGTGTATGTTGCCAGCAGGGTCATGGACAACCTTCATCAAAGATATTAGCTTACGAAGCTGCATCCCTTGGACTTTGGAGACCTGTGATTAGTTTTCCCTGATCATGTTTTTCGGTGTCTATCACTGGTAAAGGTCTGAGCCCTGCTTCATTTCTGGTCTGCTTCATTTCATTAGACGGACATGCTGTGATGTACTAGTAACTGAATATTGGAAAAGTTGCATTTAGCCTGGCACACTCGCTCAGTCTGTTGCCCAGCTGTAATGAACTAGAAAAGTCTGTGCTTAGCCAGTGTCACTTGGAACAACATCATATGTGAGTGATGCTTTGGAATTTCAGTTAAGTCAGGAACAATGGCCAGGGGTAACAAATGTTCAGATTCAAATGCTTGGATATCAGATGATGTCTCTGTGGAGGGCTGTAATTCAGGCTGATTCCACCAGTTTCTGAATCCAAGTTTTTTAACTGTTACAATTGCAGCACAAATTCCATCTTACCTTGTTTTACACCAACATTCCTTATGTCCTTTGTAATGTAAGCACATGAAAGAAATATAAGATGTCTTTAATTTTGGGTTGGAAGTGATATTGGGGGCCTCAGTCTGAATGTCTTGTGTAAGATCAGGCCTTCCTGAGTATAGGGGTGTGCCACAGGGGGTGTAGTTCTTAATGTTGATGAAATACATTTTGAATCCTTGCCTTGCATCCCTTGGGCATGCCAGAAACCTTTGATTGTGGGTTTGATCTCAGTTCCCCATTTTTATGTTTCAAGGTTCATCAGCATCATATTTGTGGTAAACATATGAGACTCACATCACATCATACGTTTCTCACATGAAAGCTGAAATACTGTGATATAACTGAAATACTGTTAAAGGGTGGCTTTAAACACAACTCACTTACTCATCCGTTTGACAAGCATATATTTCAGGTTGTCTGCCCTTGTCAAACTGTTCCAGTGTATGGATTTTGTGCCTCAGAAACAAATGTTAATTGTTTTTAAAGTTCTGCCTTTTCAAGTGCTTAATGCTTTTACTTGTATTAACTTTTGTTCGGTAAGCTGTACTATATATTTTACACAATGTGTGGTGTGGTGGCCAAGTGGGTTAAGTGTTTGCTGCTCCTCATACAGAAACTATGGATTGGATTTCCACGTTGTCACAATTTATTATGTCCATTTTCTAGTGTGCCACTCTGTGATCTTGTTGAAATAGTCCTTTAAGTGGGACAACACCCAACTTGCTCACATTTCATACAAACTCATATTGGAACGAAAACTAATGTGTTTTGTTCATATGTATTGAAATGCTTGAAATGAATTAAAATAGAGATATAATTAAAATCATGCTCTTATGATTTTGTGTGATATTGTGTTAGCTAATTTATCTGCAATTCATAGGCTCCACAGTTTAATATGATAGTATTAGTTAATCTTAATGCCAATATCGCTTTATCTAGGAATCGGTTACTGGGTGTCTTTCTGTGACCAGGTGAGAGGAAAGACAACAAATATTTGTGGAGATCCATGACTGAACATTGCCATATGTGGAGATCCTGTTTATATTTCTGCATATATATTTAAAAGATGTGTCAAGTCTGTGTTTGGTTTTCCTTCTAAAGGAGGATGGCCAAGTGGTCTTGACTGAGCAAATCTCCAAGCATAGTTATGTCCCTTTGCTGTCAGGATTCACTGGTCTGGGAGTGAAAACCAGATTTGCCTGGAATATGATTCATGGCTAGTAAAAACCATATCTATACTTCTGGGTCTCTACAAAGTTGACGCCACGAGTAGCTGGAAAATTGCTGATGTGGCGTAAAGCAACATTCATTCATTCTCTACAAAGTTGTAAACATTTAGACCTGCCACCACTGTGGCACCGCATTGGTCACCCCACCTACTAATGGGCAACAACTGCAGTACCTTCTCAGGTCCAATGTGTTACCAGATGGGTAGCCCAGACTTTAATGCTTGTCATTACTTTTAACACCAATCAAGGAGCAGTTCTATGTTTTGATGTTGAATATGACTCTTTAATGTTTGAAACATAACCCTGTACATTTTCCCCATTTCCTGTTTTTGTAAATAAGCTCAGAGATTTTTAGTGCCTAAATCAGAAATCTTTGTTCCAGCCTACAGATGTTGAACCAATCCCTGTACTATTGTACGTATACTCAGTGATGGACAGTCCTAGAGCAGCTAGCTGTGTGTGATATTGTTTGTGGCTGATTGAGGACTGAAGGATTTCATTATCTGTAATATGAACATGCTTCACACAGCCACAAAAACATGTATGCCAGTGACAACAAAACTGTGACAACTGTTTTTATTTGATAGGTTTCTTTATACGTATGTCATGTTCATGGAGCATGTTATATATATGTTGAATTGTGTTTTAGTCTGGTACGTCCGTTTGCTGTGTGTTTTGTTATAAATCTGATAAATGCATCTGTTTTTAGTCAGGTACACGTTTATATGAATTTAGGAATTAAGATAGGTCATAAGAGACCCATTCAGCTCACTCATTGCACAGTATTGCATCATTTGGTCATGCCGGAAATCTCTGATTGTGGGTTCAAATTTCGTGTCACCCTGTTTAGATTTCTGTCAACACCCTGGTCGTGAGTTTCAGCAATTGTGGTAGTTGTCTGAGGCTTCTCACATCAAGCTGTCCAGCTGTGATATAAAACAGTCATAAACCCAACTCACTCACTGTCAAATACGGGTGAAAATACCCTTATGAAGGTGAACAATACTGGATGTGCTTTCTTTGTCACAACTATGGGTTAGAATTGGTCTCCTGCAACCTATGTTGGTCACTAGAGGCCACTTACCAGATTGGATGGTCAAGCTCACTGACTTATTTGATCACTGGATTGGCTGGTCCAGGCAGGAAATCCCTGAGTGCAGCATAAACAATAAACACACAGCATAATGTTATTTAACAAACAAAAAACAACTGTATTTAAGCTATGCAGATTCATCTTTTACCAGCACACAGACAACTTTGTGATGTAACTTTGCTCAATATGCTATGCAGGAACCTGTCCTTGATCCAGGGTTTGTGAAGACCTAGTCAACTAATTGTGATAACACCATTAATACAGGTAGGCTTGGAGGCTTCATGGAGATGAAGGCTTCCATGACCTGTGTCAGTTTGACTTTCTTACTCTTTCACAACTGCTCAGGTCGATATCTCTCAAGTACTGTCACAGCTTTTAATATAGCAGAGGTGGCACAGAGATCAAGGCCAATATTGTATGAGTTGTGTCCCTTTGGTGTGCAAAGCCGCTCTTGTCATGGGCTGAAACATAAGAATTGATTATGATAAGAGTTTTAACTCAATACCTGTGTTCTTGTTTCCCCCACAGTGATATTGCTGGAATTCACTCACTCACTCACCAATACCTCTGCTTGAGGGTGGCACAAAGTCAAATATGTGCATCAAGCCTTTTCCTCTACATGAAGCTGACATATAAGAGATATGTAGAGTAAAATTAATTTCGCCGGTCTCCCAACATACATTTTAATATATGATTATTAATATTTGCTGATGTTTGTATATGATAAGCCTGAGATGAGGACCTCTATGCGAAAGGTGCTACCGACTTACAGGTAGATATCTGACCCCTTCTTACAAAAAAGGTAGATGTTGGTGAGATATGCTAGTTCTGTCAAACTGAATCACATGCCTGATTTTGTGCTAGTCACAGCTTACCAGAAAGAGACCAGATTTCACTTTCTGTGACGAGTGATATTGAACAAATTATTAATCAGAATAAATGACGAATACTGTGATGCATGCTGGAACATTGAAAAATGGAATATTTGTTACAAATCAAACTTGTTCATTGTCTCTGTTATTTGATAACACTTATGAATGATCCGTGATGACACAAGTTATTATTGTTATCAGATTTCATGTTTTCTCTTCTTATTGCTTCATTGTTTACACAGTGCAAACACACACTGTTGCATAATGATTGCCATTTCTTGATCATGTCAACTTGTTCCAAAACAAATAAATGCAGATGAAATATATATATTGTTGTTTTGTTTTCCTATACACATGTTTGTTTAGCTGAGAAGTGAAATGTTTATAATGGTGTGCACAAATGTACTGAAGAGAATGACCCTCTGCTTGTCAGATATTGAGTGGCCCTTCCTTGAACATTTTTCTTGACTCTCCCCAAAAAGACAGAATTCATAGCAATTTTATATTTTATCGTGAAAAGGCCGATTTTTCGTAAACCTCCTAAATATGTGCATTATGTTATGCATTATGGACCAGACTCAAGAGATTGTCATATTATTTTTGGTTTTTTATGTTTTCCTCTGATTTACCTGGCCACCATGCCCTTTAATAAGGACCAGTCCCTAAATCAGTTTATTGATGGCTGAAAGTACAAACTGTGTCAAAAGACTAGATAAATGATGAAAATGTTGAGTTGTGTACTTGACAATTTGTGAACTAGTTGAGTACCCAGGGATTATGTGGCAGAGTGGTACGCTAACTGGGGCAGTTGTGAATGTTATGCGCTCTCATGCAACATGGTCTTGATAAATGTGGAGACACGGCCTAGTTTCCAGGATAACCGAGACAAGCCGAATAGCGAGGTTACTGAAAGGGGCGAGTGGTGACGAATGATATAGCGAGTGACGACGTTGTGTTACTGTCAGTGATACCACTGCTATCCTTGTTGCCACGCCCCTTTCTGAACGTAGTCAGTGAGAAATGGCAGGGTCAGTGCCGACCATCACTCTTAGCACTGGACAACACATGCCGGTGCTGGGGCTTGGGACATTCAATAAGTTTAAAGTAAGTACGAAATACTAAGTAGGATTTTAGCTAAGTTTTTCGAGAAGGTAAGGGACATTTACGGTATACACGACAGTGATTCATTCCCGTGAGATCTGTGCATCATGACACTTTGTGTCAATTAAATTTATGAAAATATATTGAAAATAGAATATACTAAAGTGTACGTACACTGTCGTTTTTAAATGTCGAATCTGCGTTCCATAACGCTCATTGTCGTAAACCCTCTAAAAAGACACCAGAAGAAAGCCTACCGGAAATCGGCTGGAAACCTTTTAAATATGCACTGGTGTTAAATGCAAGAAACAGTTAAATATATTTTAAGTTACTTTAAGATATTGTCAAGTGAAGCTGAATTAGGGGGTCAGGGGATCTTTAGCTTTCCCAAACCAGTGTTGCGAGGAAACGCGTCATTTTTTCGGGATGTTTCCATGGTAACCATGTTATTTTTCAGAGCACCAGAAAGCTGCATATATAGGAGTAATATCTGCACTATGAATAGTGATTTCATCATTTTTGAGAATGTATGTGCGTTGAAAATTTCTTCATATATTGTTGGTATGTCAACACAAATGACACCAGCTACATCGGTTCAGAGCTCAGTCACTATTTTATTAAACCAGATGGTGCCCAAATGAAAAGTGTCAAATAATATGATTTGAGGGGGCGTTACCGTGGCAACAAGGACATTCAATGACACTCTGTATGTGAATAAATCAAAGATCACATTTACATTTTGCTTTATGCATATGTGTTAGAGTTTATCTGTGTATCAAACAAATCAACCGTTTACAAACCGTCTTTGGTTTTTAACAAAACTCGGAAAGTCATTGAAAGTCCTGTATTAATTTCAGATGGAAATACCCCCCTTCCCTCCTCAACCCCTTCAAATCGTATTATACATCATTTTTCATCTTTACAACATCGGATTCTATAAGGTATCTAAACGATTATGCATGTCCTATGATTGTGTTTACAAACCGTCGAGACTATGAATTGTTTGGTTAGAACTCCGGATTCGAGGGTTTTGAGTTGTTGATTGTCAGCGCCCAGCTTGTGTCTCATGACAATGCTTTTTATAAAGTACGTATTGTGTGCGTTTCCAGCAAGGCGAGGTGTACGAGGCAGTGAAGTCTGCCATCAGTTGTGGGTACCGCCTGATTGACACCGCCTGGGTTTACCGGTCGGAAGGCGAGGTAGGGGATGCCATCACGGAGGTCGTCAACAGCGGTATAGTGAAGAGGGAAGACCTCTTTATAACATCAAAGGTAATACCCTTGTATGATCTTGATTCTCCCCTGTGACTGATATTTCTCAAGATAAGATCCAGAACACATGCAATTGTTCTCCTGCGTGTTACAATACCAACCGGCCATGCTTCACAGTTTCACTGTAGTCTTTGGGAAAATATTAAGTGTTTTTTAACTTCTTTTGTTGTGTATTCTAACCACTAGATCCAACTTGTGCCGACCGCTTATCGTGCTAATTCTTTGCGTTCATTTCTTCATTCAAAGAGCCATGCGTTTGTTCTTATTCAGAATTACATGGCATTAGAGAAATCACAATATAGTTAAAATGCAAAGACGTCATTTGGAGATTACGACTCAAACATTCTCGATAATGCAGAAATAGTGCTGTAATCTTGGTGGCATGTTGCCACAACTGTCAAGGCTAATAGAAGAGGTAAAACTGTTTAATTAAGACATATCTACTGGAAAGTCACTTGATCGTGCGATACCCACTCTATCTTGAGCATGTGTTTATGAATCACTGTCAAATAGTGACGATACGAGGTGTTGGAAAGTGGAGCGTATCCTGCCTCAGCAGTGGTATTTGTCACAAACACATGCAAAGGTAAGGTAATCTAAGAACACACGGGAACATTCAGTAATAATCAAGATAGGTGACCGCATGTGGCAAGCTGGGTTTTAGTTTCCAGTGAATGGGTACCTGGTGGGAGGGAAACGTTTAGCGTCTTACGCGCCGATTTAAGCTAACAAAAGCAAAATATATTTACGCATGAGCATGGATCTACGCAACTGGGATACGATGACATGTGTCAACCAAGTCAGCGAGCCTGACCACCCGATACCGTTAGTCGCCCCTTACGACAAGCATGGGTTACTGAAGATTCATTCTAACGTGGATCTTCACGTTGAACCGGTAATGAAGTCGTCGCCGTCGCCGTCACGAAAAATATCTCGTTCTGTAAGTTTCCCCAAAATGTATCATACATTAATCGAAGCATAATAATATTTTCTTGTGTTTCAAATTCTGAAGTTAGTGACTCATATGCCTTTTAGTCAAATAGACATATGACCTAAATGCTGTACCCTCTAATCCAGAAATGTTGGGTACACTCGACACAACTACCGCCATCATTGAACACAATTTCTTCCTCTCTCAATCTGTTCTTCTTCATATTTTCATTATTATTCTCCTGTCAGTTATGGAGTATCTTCCATGCCCCGGACAGTGTCGAGGTCGGCCTCAGAGAGTCTCTCAAGGACCTGAAAGTGGACTATGTCGACCTATATCTCATGCACTGGCCAATGGCGTGGCAGGTAATTTAAACGTTGTCTTTGATTGGTCGGCATATGCGGAGGTCAGATGAAACAGTATTGATTTTTTTTATTATCTATATTTCTTTAGTCATTTTTGGACAGCAGATACGCTTTCACATAAAAACGCATTAACAGTAAATATAACAGTCATGAATATTTTGCGGACTAAATTATACCCGATTTTTCTGGTATGTCGTAAAAATGATCATGATGGGCAATACACGAGGTAACACGGTGAAGTATACTGTCCTACATTGAAGGGGCTGAATCACAATTAAACTTTCATGTACTTATTGCCAATGCGTAAACGTAGTAGTGTATACCAGCTAAAACTGTAAGACTCGTGTTTTGTATCGCCTCAATCTGACAGGAACCAGCAGATCGCAATACGTGGATCATGGGGACAGACTTCAAACCTGCCGACGTGGACTTCGTTGATACTTGGCGAGTGAGTCCTTTCTTCCAACATGGTGATTCATATCATACAAGTCGAAGATATAAATACAGTAAAACAATGATTATATTTAGATGTCACAATCAACTAGGTATCCCATTATTTTGGTCGGGATACCTTCATTGCCTAATACTCTGTACATAGTGACAATTACGCTGAGCGTGCCTTGTAATCTGTACTGAGAGCACTTTACGCTGTACGTGAGAGCACTTTACGCTGTATTACGCTGTACGTGCCTAGAACTCTTTACAGAGCGAACATTACGTTGTACGTGCCTCGAACTCTGTACATAGCGAACATTACGCTGTACCTGCTCCGTACTCTGTACGTAGCGAGCATTGTGCTGTACGTGCCTCGTACTCTGTACATAGCGAACATTACGTTGAGCGTGCCTCGTACTTTGTACGTAGCGAACATTGCGCTGTATGTGCCTCATACTCTGTACATAGTGACAATTACGCTGTACGTGCCTCGTACTCTGTACATAGCGAACATTACGCCGTACGTATCTCGTACTCTGTGCAGAGCGAACATTACGCTGTACCTGCTCCGTACTCTGTACGTAGCGAACATTGTGCTGTACGTGCCTCGTACTCTGTACATAGCGAACATTACGTTGAGCGTGCCTCGTACTTTGTACGTAGCGAACATTACGCTGTGCGTGCCCCGTACTCTGTACATAGCGAACATTACGCTGTGCGTGCCCCGTACTCTGTACACAGCATACATTACGCTGTACGTATCTCGTACTCTGTGCAGAGCGAACAATACGCCATATGTGTCTCGTACGCTGGACATATCCAAGAGTTCTGTGAACATGTATTAACACTTCCATTACGTGACTTATAAGCCACAAACATTGTGTCCGGGCTGCCACAAAGACTGTGTACTTTGTTTTGTACGTCAGTTTAGATACACGCATTCAGATACACACTCAAGCAAACACACACATGCATATGTAGACATACAGACACAATCATACACATACACGCATTTAGATACACTCAAGCAAACACACACATGCGTATGTAGACATACAGACACAATCATACACATACACGCATTTAGATACACACTCAAGCAAACACACACATGCATATGTAGACATACAGACACAATTATACACATACACGCAGGCAGAGACACACTCTAGCAAACACACACATGCATATGTAGACATACAGACACAATCATACACATACACGCATTTAGATACACACTCAAGCAAACACACACATGCATATGTAGACATACAGACACAATCATACACATGCACGCATTCAGATACACACTCAAGCAAACACACACATGCATATGTAGACATACAGACACAATCATACACATGCACGCATTCAGATACACACTCTAGCAAACACACACATGCATATGTAGACATACACACACAATCATACACATACACGCATTTAGATACACACTCAAGCAAACACACACATGCATATGTAGACATACAGACACAATCATACACATACACGCATTCAGAGACACACTCAAGCAAACACACACATGCATATGTAGACATACAGACACAATCATACACATACAGGCATTCAGATACACACTCTAGCAAACACACACATGCATATGTAGACATACAGACACAATCATACACATACACCCATTTAGATACACACTCTAGCAAACACACACATGCATATGTAGACATACAGACACAATCATACACATACACGCATTCAGATACACACTCTAGCAAACACACACATGGATATGTAGACATACAGACACAATCATACACATACACGCATTCAGATACACACTCTAGCAAACACACATGCATATGTAGACATACAGACACAATCATACACATACACGCATTCAGATACACACTCTAGCAAACACACACATGCATATGTAGACATACAGACACAATTATACACATACACGCATTCAGATACACACTCTAGCAAACACACATGCATATGTAGACATACAGACACAATCATACACATACACGCATTCAGATACACACTCTAGCAAACACACACATGCATATGTAGACATACAGACACAATCATACACATACACGCATTCAGATACACACTCTAGCAAACACACACATGCATATGTAGACATACACACACAATCATACACATACACGCATTTAGATACACACTCTAGCAAACACACACATGCATATGTAGACATACAGACACAATCATACACACACACGCATTCAGATACACACTCAAGCAAACACACACATGCATATGTAGACATACAGACACAATCATACACATGCACGCATTCAGATACACACTCTAGCAAACACACACATGCATATGTAGACATACAGACACAATCATACACATACACGCATTTAGATACACACTCAAGCAAACACACACATGCATATGTAGACATACAGACACAATCATACACACACACGCATTCAGAGACACACTCAAGCAAACACACACATGCATATGTAGACATACAGACACAATCATACACATACACGCAGGCAGAGCATGCCTTGTGTGGAAGCTCTGTATTAACATGGGGAAAATAAACACAGTTTTACACATATGTTTGCGATTGGAAATTGTAAATAATACAGAATATAGCAGACCATGCACCACTATCTTAAACACGCCAAGGTTACAATTGATAACCAGGATCGGTCATAATCTATGACCAGTATCTCTTATTGTGCTGACTAGATAGCGTTAAGCTGACAGATCCAAGGTGACATTTATCTGTATTTACGGCTATGTTTATATTCCACGTTGGTCAAGTCACGTGCGTGCCAACTGGTTAGCTGTTATATACATTTATCATCGATACTTCGGTCAAAGTAAATACTGTAATTCTGTAGAGACAGGGCCATTGAAGTTCACAACAACATCTTTATCGTCAGTTCAATTAGTGAATGCGATTATCTGTGATAGCTAGAAAAGGTTATAAATACTGACGACAGTCACAAATTATTATGTGTATCATATACCGATTGTGCATATTTACTCAGGTTTTGTGTTGTTGTGTGGGCAGGTTCTAGACAGTTGTACCTCTGCCAAGCGCGTTGACTCGCCAATCCTTGTTTTATTCGCTGTATAATTATACATGTAAACACCAGGCCATGGAACGTCTTGTGGACAAGGGTCTCGTGAAGGCCATTGGCGTCTCCAACTTCAACATCACACAGCTGAAACGTCTACTGTCTGCAGACAGTCTCAAGTATAAGCCGGCCAACTTGCAGGTGCGTGATGCAGAGTCGTCATAGGACAAGCCGTGCAGCACGCACTTAGAGAATATGTTGTACTTGTAACAATGATATAAACATTATTTACGCAAATATTATCAGATAAGCCCATCTGGGAATAACTTCTAAAAGTTTGTAAGTTAAAGAATAATATTACATTGTTTTGGAAGTGTGTGTATAAAGTCTTTTGTCCCGGGCAAATGTGTAAGCATTTCATTAAATGTACGTCACATTCATTTAGATCATGCCATTTTAAATTGCGGCCGAAGACCATTCGTGGCCCCGATAACAGAGGAATGCGCCTGTCTGTCTGTCTGTCTGTATGTCTCGTGATATTTGTGCATGTTGTTGCTAAATTCCTCCGCAGTTTTTTTGTGTCAATTATGTGTCCCGTGGCCTCGCTCCACCACACGATCGAACCGCCAGGACCGTGGTTAGTCAGTGTAAAGCATGGGGCTTGTGATCACCGTCTCTGTGTGTATATATTTGTACACACAAACATATTTGTAGTTTTCATCAATTTCAGGAACATAATTTATTACTTTCCGTCATAACGTTATAAGGTAGGACATGTCCCTGGTACCTAACTGTTGCCTGGTTCTAGAATGTTTAGTGTCGTGTCTTCTCCAGATTGAGATCAGCCCTTACATGGACAACAACTACCTCGTCAACTTCTGTCTGGAACACGACATCACCGTCACGGCGTTCTCCCCCACTCGCTAAAGGAGGACAGGAATAGTCAGTAGATATAGTTTTAGATATTCAGCTAAGATTCCTAACATTTCCTAAAAAAGACATCAAAGTACATTCTCCTAAAACGTCACCAAAACAACATTGAGGACATCAGAGGTCGCTCGCTTGGGTCAGTTCGTAATGGAAGTACCGTCCTCTGAGATGTATTTACCAGCAATGAAATATAAAGACTAAAAGGACTTCCAATCTGCGTCAACGATGTAAAAAACAAAAAAACTTTAATGATCGACAGTAATATGGTGATCCAAATGAATCTTTTCCCTTAAATTTATATATTTTGCTATTTAAATGCATAGTCAAGGACACCTAATAATGCGATTAGTCTACATAGCCATTGTATCTATGGACCAAATAAGTTCCCACACTTTGAAATGATCTTACGTCTACGTAAGGTGCGGCTGATTACGAAATCATGTGTATAAGATAAAGTGTGGGGGTTACGAAATCACGTGTATAAGATAAAGTGTGGGGGTTACGAAATCATGTGTACATGTATAAGATAAAGTGTGGGGGTTACGAAATCATGTGTACATGTATAAGATAAAGTGTGGGGATTACGAAATCATGTGTATAAGATAAAGTGTGGGGGTTACGAAATCATGTGTACATGTATAAGATAAAGTGTGGGGGTTACGAAATCATGTGTACATGTATAAGATAAAGTGTGGGGGTTACGAAATCATGTGTATAAGATAAAGTGTTGGGGTTACGAAATCATGTGTATAAGATATAGTGTGGGGTTACGAAATCATGTGTATAAGATAAAGTGTGGGGTTACGAAATCATGTGTACATGTATAAGATAAAGTGTGGGGATTACGAAATCATGTGTATAAGATAAAGTGTGGGGGTTACGAAATCATGTGTATAAGATAAAGTGTGGGGGTTACGAAATCATGTGTATAAGATCAAGTTCGGGGATTGTGAAATCATGGTATAAGATAAAGTGTGGGGGTTACGAAACCATGTGTACATGTATAAGATAACGTGTGGGGGTTACGAAATCATGTGTATAAGGTAAAGTGTGGGGGTTACGAAATCATGTGTATAAGGTAAAGTGTGGGGGTTACGAAATCATGTGTTTAAGGTAAAGTGTGGGGTTACGAAATCAAGTGTATAAGGTAAAGTGTGGGGGTTACGAAATCATGTGTATAAGATAAAGTGTGGGGGTTACGAAATCATGTGTATAAGGTAAAGTGTGGGGGTTACGAAATCATGTGTATAAGGTAAAGTGTGGGGGTTACGAAATCATGTGTATAAGATAAAGTGTGGGGGTTACAAAATCATGTGTATAAGATAAAGTGTGGGGGTTACGACATCACGTGTATAAGATAAAATTCGGGGATTATGAAATCATGTGTATAAGATAAAGTTCGGGGATTATGAAATCATGTGTATAAGATAAAGTGTCGGGGATTGTGAAATAATGTGTATAAGATAAGGTTCGGGGATTGTGAAATCATGTGTATAAGATAAAGTGCGGGAATTATGAAATCATGTGTATAAGATAAAGTGCTGGGATTACGAAATCATGTGTATAAGATAAAGTTCTGGGATTATGAAATAATGTGTATAAGATAAGGTTCGGGGATTGTGAAATCATGTGTATAAGATAAAGTGCGGGGATTATGAAATCATGTGTATAAGATAAAGTGCGGGGATTACGAAATCATGTGTATAAGATAAAGTTCTGGGATTATGAAATAATGTGTATAAGATAAGGTTCGGGGATTGTGAAATCATGTGTATAAGATAAAGTTCTGGGATTATGAAATCATGTGTTTAAGATAAAGTTCTGGGATTATGAAATAATGTGTATAAGATAAGGTTCGGGGATTGTGAAATCATGTGTATAAGATAAAGTGCGGGGATTATGAAATCATGTGTATAAGATAAAGTTCTGGGATTATGAAATCATGTGTATAAGATAAAGTGTGGGCGATTACGAAATCATGTGTACAAGTTGAAGTGTGGGGATTACGAAATCATGTGTATAAGATAAAGTTCGGGGGTTATGAAATCATGTGTATAAGATAAAGTGTGGGGATTACGAAATCGGATATATAAGATAAAGTGTAGGTTTTACGAAGTCGTATATATAAGATAAAGTGTGCGAGTTACGAAGGCTTGAATTTATGATAAAGTGTAGGAGTTACGAAGTCGTGAATATAAGGTAAATAGGGGCGTTACGAAGTCGTGAATATAAGGCAAAGTAGGGGAGTATAAGATGTGTATAAGATGCAGTGATGAAGTAGTAGCTTTAGAACCAAAGTATCTGAACTGATCTGAATCTATTAAGAAACCTTTGTTATGCATGTGAGTGCTGGGTATTATTTGGAGTTAGTGAAATATTGTTTAATACAAAGACTGTTTAACTCTCCAACAGTGCCGGGAAGCCGACGCCCAATCTGATGGAGGAGAAAGTTCTCAAGGATACTGCCCGGAAATACGGGAAGACTCCAGCACAGGTATGAGACCAACTTGCTGTAAGGGTTACATGGGGGCCAATACTTGACATTACGAGGAGTTCCGGTCACCGTATGTCGAAAAGGGTAACCATACATAACGGCATTTGGGATTCTAGTCATAAAACTATTCATTCATAGAAATAAATTGACTGACCCTTGCGCATTGAGAAGTAAGATAGACATACCTCAAGTCTGATGCATGTGTTATTCCTGGAATCAGTTGAGAGTGATCACATCTCTCATTACATCTTCTCCAAGTTCACCAATGTAAACCCGTGAAGATCCGGGTTAGAACTGATCTTCAGTAACCCATACTTGTCGTAAGAGGCGACTAACGGGATCGGGTGGCCAGGTTCGCTGACTTGGTTGACACATGTCATCGCTTCCCAATTGCGTAGATCGATGCTCATGCTGTTGAGCACTGGATTGTCTGGTCCAGACTCAATTATTTACAGACCGCCGCCATGTAGATGGAATATTGCTGAGTGCGGCGTAAAACTAAACTCACTCACTCACCAGTGTAAGTTCCTTTTAGACTTCTATTTGCTTCGAAGATGCCGTTTTTATTCCACTGTTATGATGCCCAGTGTCTGATTTTCAGGAACAATGTGAAGGAAACTAAGATCACGTCAACTTCCGTATGACTGCTTCACGTCCTTAGTCTTCTCGTTCTATATTTGTTATCAGCATGTAGAAGTATTAGTAAGTTACTACATATGTTAAGGAGGTATTGGACGTCGTTGATACTTTATAATAACACGCAGGTGGCTCTGAGATGGGCCTTCCAGAGGGGATACGCCACCGTTCCTAAAAGTGTCACTGCGCACAGAATCCGGGAGAACATCGAGGTGAGAACACACAGAATTAGTACCGGGTCAGAGGTCAGGTCAGCAGCTTCTATAAGTCGTCCAGTTACCACTATGTGTGACTCTACCACGGTGGGGTAGTCTGTGGTTAAACTCTACCATACATATCAGTATCGCTGTAACACTAGTACACAGATCGGTTTCACATATCACGATTACAACGTCTTGACCTCTGATGGACATAAGCACCAGGCCGATGGACATTGATGTCTTTGGTAGCTGATCTACCACGCCCCACTCCACGACTTCAACAATAGTGTAAACGTATTGATGAAACGTACGTTATCGATGAGAGGAAATCGCTTCTTTCAACAAAGATGCGGTGACAAAGACAATGCGGGTGGGGGTAGACGGTTGTAATTAATGGCTGGCAACCAGTATTACATACGAGGTGTCGCGGAACTTTATGCCAGCAGTCTAAAGATGTGGGGATTTGAGGACTTGCCGAATTGGCGAGACATTGTAATACCAGCGCTCCACGTTGTTACGGCAATATGCCAATACATCCTAAATCAAGCTTCACGCACCTCCCACAAGATGCTGGATTCAGGAACATATGGAAAGATCCTGCTATGATACAAGGTTAACTGTTCCCTAGCATATTCCGGTCGTAAAAGTCGACATTGTTGATTGGTTGGTTACACCCGGTGACTTGCTTGTTGGCAAAAAAGTGTACAGGCCGCCGTCATAGAGTTGGAATATTTTTAAGTGCAGCGTTAAACTAAAAACATACACAATACCATGTATATATTGTAAATAAACTGGAATTGAGCTGAGCAAGGATGCAAGTGCCTTGACACATATCATCGTACCCCAACTGTATACATCAATGCTCAAGATGTTGATCACTGAATGGTCCATTCTCGACTATGTATAGGCTGCCGCCATATAGCAACAATGTTTTGTTTGTCAAACCACAAACAAACACATAAAACCAACAAAACGTCTTTCTCGGCATCGAAATGGAGATATTCATTTGCCAAGATGCTGATGTGGAGAACTATCGTTATAATACTCTCCTCAACAGACTTGTGAGGTTTTTCCGTTGATAAAGGCTTTTTATGGGCAGATACCAACCGACGAATCTTATGTTTTGGCTGCCATGGCAACATCCACAATAACATTATATACGCGATGTTAATGTCACCTGTTGTATATTACATCATTCTGTTGTCATCTATAGTCGTAAAGATGTTATATTTTTATCACATGTGATGACGTGACACTTTCTCCACCTAGTTGTTTGACTTCGAACTGTCAGCTGATGAGATGAAAGCTATCGCCACTCTGAACAAAGACTTGCGGCTCGTCTGGCTGGACAAGTAAGTGTTCGTTGTGCTCGTTTGTGAAGGATGTGTATTAAAGAAAGCCAAACACTGCACTTGTACCCCGAAAACCATATCATGGAATGTATGTGATCCGAAGACATCCTAATGAAGCAGTTTCCATGACAAATGTTGTGATCTGTATCAGGTGTACATATGATGTTGTTTGTGTGTCAGTAAAGGTCTTGTTCGAATGCATGATTTCCCATTGACGATGTTGACACATGCGTGGGTAAGACCATTCCACGTGTCTGAAATATTCTGATCGCTATCCAGCATCCACACATACTATCTCTACGACGCGGTGTCTACCTCTCCACTTGAAGGGTGTTCCACGGGTGTTGTATAATAACTTTGTGACATTAAGCTTCCATGTCGCATTTCATTTAATTTTATTGGCTTATTTTGTGACACTATACATTCATAAAACTTTTCATGATTTCCCGCTGAAATACCGCCAGTCTGAAACTCATTCATTGTCTCACACACTGTCTCATACACTCACTAACTCACACATGTACTGTCTCATACACTCACAAACGCTCACATTTACTGTCTCATACACTCACTAACTCACACATTCACTGTCTCATATACTCACGCATGCACTGTCTCATTCACTCACTAAAAGCACACATTCACTCACCAACTCACACACTCACTGACTCACTCACTGTCTCATACACTCACAAACTGATTATCATCAGTCTTTTTCTTTACAGCTTCAAGTCCTTCCCAGAATACCCCTTCGAGTACCCCCAGTAAACAGCCAGCGTCCAGGTGGTCAACATGCTGAACAGGGCCTCCTTTCACAACGCACTAAGCTGATCGTAAGTCACTAAGGTAACCTTAGTGCAATGTTAAAGAATGGGAGTTACGGTTAACCACAGTAAAAGTTGTATCGTGAAAGGAGCCCTAAGAGGGAACACGGACGATGGTCGGTCTGGATCCATGTGACAACAATTGAAGTCACTGTGTCTCTTGTGTGAAGGAGTGCATCGTTCTGGTCTGTGCTTGCATTTACTGTACAACTGACATATTTTATTCAAATTTTCGAAATAAATAAACCACAAACCATTACTGAACCATATTTTGTACCTCGTCTGTAATCAATGATTCGACTGTTGACCTGCCACCGAATCAAACACCAGTATCAGCCACTGAAAAGACAAAATTATACATTCGTTAGGAAATTCGTTTAAAAATGAACGACCGTGGATACAAAAGAATGTGACTGAGTTTAGTTTTACGCCGCACTCAGCAATATTCCAGCTATATGGCGGCGGTCTGTAAATAATCGAGTCTGGACCAGACAATTCAGTGATCAACGGCATGGGCATTGATCTGCGCAATTGGGAACCGATGACCACCCCATCCCGTTAGTCGCCTCTTACGACAAGCATGGGTTACTGAAGATCAATATTCTAACCTGGACCTTCACTATTTGAGAAAGTACTGGAACCTGATAGACAAAAATATAATTTGATTCCAACTAAATACCTACAAATTTCTAAACAGCATGGTTTCAATATCAAATTCTTCACCATATCTTACCAACAAATTCCTTACTTTTTAAAATGGGATACGCAGGCAGCAATTTATGTGGTTATTGTAATAATCAACGTGAAACAGTTGATCATCTGTTTTGGCATTGCAGCCACGCGAGTTCCATCTAGACACAATTTAAAAAATGGGTCAACCAGAAAGCCGATTTATCAATCAAACTTAACAAGAAAGATATACTTCTTGGCTCCCTGCTACCAAATTTTGGACCAATAATGTTTTTAATAATTGTATGCAAACAGTTTATTTTCAAAAATAAAACATATACGAAAACAAAATAAATTGAAATGATTCATGAAGAACTCACATGCTTTTAATACTTTACGAAATACACAGCAAAACTGTATGGACATCTTAACCAATTTACTAAATTCAGGTCATCTTGTCACCTTTTGTTTATATAGACAATTATATACATGTGCAACTATGTACAAATACAACAAAAATAAAGACAAAAAAAAAATCTAAAAAAATCTAAAAAATCTAAAAAAACATTCGTTAGAACGTAAATTTCGAGAAAGGTATTATGTTTTTATTTCCTGAATGATGAGATGTCAGACTCCTAGCTTCTTCACATCTCAATTTATCATTGTAATATCTTATCACGTAATGTGCAGGAACGAAAATACAACCTTGAAACATCGAGAGAGGGATAGAAAGCCACAGCTTAATAAGGCTGATGGTTGAGTGGAGCGATATGCTGGTCCAGTGGTTAGAGCGTTCGCAAGTTGCACTGAACCCCCCGGGTTCGATTCCTTCGTAACTAACAGTCTTTCAGAAGACAAGAATGACATGTTATTCATTTTCTATGAACCTCCATGACATCAAATGTCGAGATAGACCCTAACCCACACTGAATGAAGCGGCGGTAAAATACCACACAATGTACGTGTGTATGTGCTGTGTGTGAAGTGATTTGACAACAGTTACATTCACTTACGGTACAGAAAACATAACTGCTACGTAGTATGATGTAATACCTGATTATTCTGTGCCGTGAAGTCCAAACCATACCACAATCACAAGAAATGTCCATAAAAGCCTTTTGTACGATTTTAGCGAAACTCTCTTGCGAAATACCCTTTTGTGTGCGTGTGTACGTCACACACACACACACACACACACACACACACACACACAGAGATAGTCGCACGCACGTACACACACACACACACGAACAAACATACACACGAACGAAAACACAAACACACGAACGAACACACACACACACACACACACACAAATAAATAAAAATAGGCGCACACACGTATGATTGATTCAAAATCCAATTCTTCCATTCCGAACAATAATTGCAAACACTAACCTGGTGACCCTACTATGTCTTCAGTCCCTGTCAAATAGCCAAGCAAGGGTTAAATACTATTTACTGCTCACCGAATTATATACTTGTCTAGCGTCTCGGGGCTGTCATCTAGCGTGTGATTACTGTCTATAATGTAAGTAACAAGGTAATTGATTGGGCATCTTCTCTCCGGCATGCACGCCATGCACACATATATCGTACAAGAAGAACTTTGGGGAATCGTTCAAAACTTGATCCATTTGGAATAATAACTATGACTTAGATTGTCTAGGCTATGCCAATGATGTACCACATTACGTTCTCGCCCTAGGACAAAAGTGTAATATTCCATGAAGTGTTGCAGTCATTGGTCTCAGCGATCTCGGGGGTACAAATCACGTATCATCTTCTATATAATGACAGTCTGGACCACTGTTACAGAGAGGATGGGGAAGAGTATCACCAGGAACCACTGTTACAGTTTGCATGACACAATTTCAGCTCTTGATCATATACAGTCCTGTAACTGGATAAGCGACAATATCAAACATATGCCAGTACACGTAATACGAGAATGAACCTAAATTATCGTATGTGGATAACATGGAACATATCATAATAACCATATCACATCATATATCGAATCGTAGGCCACCAGTGGATCTGAGTGAGTTTGGTTGTAGACTATGAGCAATATTCCAGCAATATCATGGCGAGGGTCACAAGACATGGGCTCCGCACATTATACCCATTATTGGAATCGAACCCGGGTATTTGGAATATGAGCGAACCTTTAACAACTGGGCTACCCCACCGCCCACATATAATATGTCATGTCATGTTTTTGTAAAAACTGACGAATGTAAAACAAACCGAAATCTGAGTGCATCATATATGGTTAATATGTGCTACGTTCGCCTTATTCGGTCAAGCCAGACACGAACATTCAGTGGTATATTCAATATACAATCATAAAGACAAGAAGTCAGATATATCGTAATAAAACCTTCGGAGAACGTTAGTTTGAATGTTGTCATATCAGCATTTACAGTCAAAGTAAGAAAGCGACATACTATTTTATATGATCTAACAGTGTCGTTCTCTGAAATGGATGGATGGATGTGACAGGGTTGCCTCGTGGTTCCCAGTGTATTGTTGCTATAATGGATACGCCATCACCACCTTATGGAGTCTGTGTCGGAACAGATCCGAGGAGCCATATTGTCGTCACAGCCCTGTAATGACGTTCGCAAACCTAGTAATACACTGTTCCATTCTGCGAGCGATAGCCTGTCACATTATAGAGAATGACACTGATGGAATGTCCATAAGTCAGTTGTCAAGGGAGAGCAATTAAAATGGTTTTATAAGTATCCCGCAGTGATTGCTCCATCCTAGCTGTCTGGAGTTCATCGGACTGCTTCACACGGTAAATGATTAAGACACAATCGTCGAATATATAGTGAGTGAGTTGGGGTTTAAGACCGCTTTAAACAGTATTCCAATTATATCACAGCGTCTCACCTTAGTTTGAAGTTTCTTTGTGTGAAGAAGCAATGAATGGGGGTCTGAGACGTTTAGCGCTTTACGAGCATGAATATGACCAGATATGACCCTGACACACTTAGAATCAGGGCTGAGACGGATTCGAACTCACAAACACAGGTGTCTGTCGTGTACAAGGGGCGTAACTCACAAGGATAGGTTTCTGTCGTGTACAAGGGACATAACTCACAAGGATAGGTTTCTGTTGTGTACCAAATTTTCTTTATTGTTTCATGCTATACACAACAATATTTAAGCTCTATCATGGCGTTCAGTAAACATCGAGTCTGTACCAGACAATCCGGTGACTGACACCATTTATATCGATCTGGGCAGCTCATTGACGGCTGACATTGGCGGCTTGGTGAACGGGATTTGTTTAAAATGAGGCCGATTTACAAGCTATTAAGTTTTGTCAGTAAGCCCAAGGATTCTACTCCTGAAGCAGAAGCCTTTGCTCGATCCCGACTACATCACAAACACGTGTTTATGAATTTGTATCAAATGTCCACGAGTCTAGGAGATTGCGAGTGGATAAGCGTATTCTACCAGCCCATGTCATCTGTTTCGTTGTTAGCACCGGGAGACAGTGTAGGGAGTAACGAGTTTACTTCTTAACCTCTCGCGCCAAGTTACATGCATACTGGCTTCCTTGTTGGGAGCGTTCATTTTAACCGATTACGTTACATCATCCATGACAAACACAACGTCAAGTCAATTATTCACTTCAAAAATCCAAAACAAAGCCACTTGTCGAGGAAACTAGCAATTATTTTACCAGCTTTGTTTACTGGAATTGGGACGGAAGCCACACAACCGCCCAGTACTGGCGCCCTCTGCCTGCAGCATAGCCTAATGCACCTCCTTTGTTTCCTTTGCACAAAGTACAGCGCCATAATTACCTGAAAACAGACACCTTTGACCTATGTGGGAGTACATGACAGGTCAAGGACAATGTTCTAGCATTCACGCAGGCCCAATGCTTGGGAATCAATGCGATACCAACTGATCGAATGCTGTCTGAAGCAGTTACAGTAATTAATTGACAAATCCTTTCAACTTTCTGAAGTAATGAAAGAGTCGATAATCATTTATCTCCTGTTCCATCCGTAGGGCTTGGAAGTAAACCTGGGTTTACACACCACACAACAATTAAGATGCTTTCAAACCTTCGTTTACCTAATCGATTTGGATCAACGTTTCAGGAATTCTCACACGTGCAGTACGGACATGAAAGATGCAATCCTGAAATACGAACTAATGTTGAAATAAGTATATGTTTGAAAACTAATTAAGTGCACGTGTATTTAGGAAATAGTGTGGCTATTTTCCATTAACTGCACTGGCATTGTCTGATGATCTTCCCGATGATAAGGTGGTGTTCTTTATCTTCGGTTAGTTCTCACGAACGTTGATGTCCACGCTATGGTGTTTGTCTCATCAGTCGACGTCATTGCCAGCAGCCAACGAAGGCTCCCTCCGTGCAGTTATGGCTGTTGGCGACAACGTCGCGGAAGTCGACACATGGGATGAGAATGTCCACTGTCAGTCATGCTGGCAATCTGAACGGACATTAACCAAAATCCAGGAAGCATGGAAGCTTGAAATGAGAACAACAGAGACTCTCTTCTGATACAAGAGATGCTATTCCTAGATGAGTGTATAAAGGTGCACGCATA